AGTAATTAAGTAGTATTTATAAGATATAAGTAAGAAGTATATATTTAAGTATAGGAGTATAGTTATACTTAAATTAACTACTAAAAAGTTTTAAAAGATAAATTAGATATATAGTAGAGATTATAATTTATATAAATATTTCCTTTTTAAGCTCTCCTCTAGGACTAATCCTATTCTAGCTTAGTCCTATGTGTAGGACTGTGGTGGACTAATTGTTAGTCTTATTGGTCCTTGGTGGACTGTTGGGACTGCCCTTCGGTCCTGTTGGTCGTCTTTTCATTGGTCTGTATTGTCTAGGGTTTATCTGTTTCTGCTATGCCTGACCGCCTTGGGCCTTCAAAACGGTCAGCCCGTGACAGGTTGTATTCCTGATTGACTAGTCAGTTGGTTGTGGGTGTGATTGTCCTGTTGAACTTCTGTTTGACTAATTGGTTGGACTTGGTCCTGTCTAACTCCTTTGTCATGTGATCCCTTATTCTGCAGTGCCACACTGCTTCCTTGTGACCTGGTCGCGGCCATGTCGTGACAGATTGCTGGTCTAGCATCAACTCTAAGATGCTATGTTCTGCAGCAGTATGAGGCGGGATTCTTGCCGTATTTATCCCTAATTAATATGCTAGCCCCTTTCAAGAGCAGGAATTTGACGGCGGCCAGGTTTCGATGTTCTGCAGCCCGGTGTAACGGGGTACACCCATCGAAATCTTGAACGTTGGCGAGGGACAACTCTGTTACCGAGAAGGCCGCTTCGGCATAATTCCAACTGGAGTAGGCTGCCCAATGAAGAACGGTCCTGCCCTTTGTATCCTGCTCCGCGCTTTCTATGCCGAAGTCAACCCGCAAGTCCGTGAGCAGTTCTGCCAGCCCTGCTACGCACAGAGATTGACGAGATTGAACCTCTCGCAAGTATGGAGCCTTTGAACATCGTCCACTGTCATTTCCCGCAGTAGGGTCTTCAGCTCTTTTAGCTGCCCAAAGTAGGCAGCGCGTGTGAGCACGTTCATGCCATCCTGGCCAACTTTAAATATCTGCGAACGATCTCTGGAAAGTAAGACGCTTCTAACTTCCGCCCATCCTCGCAGACTTGCTGGAGCGACCGCATTTGTCTTATTCTTGTCGGTGACAGACAAATCGAGCTTCGCCTTAGGATAAGCCAGCAGTCTAATCGCCGCAGCGGCCCCATCTCCCCTGCTCAAGGCCATGATTAATGGACACATGCCATCATCATCACGCGCATTTAGGTCCAAGTCACCACGCTCAAAAAGGCAATCGATGAAGCCTACTGATTGTGGTCCTTTGCCAATCAACTCGTGTAGCACGATGCGGCCCTTCTTGCCCTTTAAGTTAACATTGAGTCTTCTACATGACAGCATCAACTTTAGCCATGAAGTATCGCCGGCTGCAATATGCAGAGGAGGGTCGCCGTCGTGGCGCCCTAAGTTGGGACTGACTGTAGGAGTGGATAAGAGCAAGACAAGAGTCTTGGTTCGAGCCTGATGAACAGCCCAGATTATTGGCGAGTACCCATGTGCATCGAGCTCATTTGGGTCTTGCCCTCGCTGAATTAGCCTCTTGACAATTTGGGAGAAGTCTCCGAGCTGAAGGAGAATGTGAATCGGAGGAGAGTCTGTCATCAGCTGAGGCTGAATATTTGATCCGAGCAGTGAAAGCTCTAACTTCAGACGAGTGTATAGCCGGTGAAAAAGTTTCATGTTGTGGGAAATGAACAGAGTGGCTTCCCGTTCAGTGGTCTCGCGGGCATGTTGGACTTTCTCCATGTGGCTGTGAAAGTGTTGGACTGCGTAGAGCAAGAAGGGGAAGGTTGGCGAGCGCTCTGCTGCCTCCGCCTCCGCCTCCTCCGCCGCTTCCAGGCCATCGGAATAAGTTAGGATGCATCCTTCATGGCCTATCCTGTCTGTAAAACTCAGTACTTTATAACAGAGCCTCGTCATGGCGTGCTCGCAGTTCAAAAGCGGCAATCGAAACTCTGTGATGACGGCATCCTCGGCTGGCGATGCCGAGTTCTCCAGGTATTCCCTGAATGAATGGTGTCGGAACTGTATCGAACCCGGCTTATCCAATGCAATGAACGGCGTGCAGTATCGTACTAAAGTGGCCTCAAAGTTATACGGTAAGTCAGCCTCGACATCCTCGAATGGCTCGTGATCCTGCCGAATTGTCACAGCAAATTGCAATTCTGGGATGGATAAAGGATGTCTCACAATGCGAAGAAGGAGGAAGATCTTCTTAAGGACTGGACGAAAATCTTCGGGTATCTTGGAGATAAGACTCGAGTATAATACGGACGAATTTAACTTCAACTTGTCCAACTCCTTGAGCTTTTGGTTGACGACGCCTCGGGTCCACAGGGACACACCTTCCGTAAAGGCAGACCAGGTAAGTGACGCGAGGAGAAGGTTGATGGTAGAACGTGCCATAATGGCACACCGTATGCCTGCTAATGTGGCGGAAGGGATGGAGTTACACTCTCCAAATTGGGAGACTTGTTTATCTATGAAGAGCTGCACTGCTTGGTGAACAGCCGTTGTATCGAGACAAATAGCTTCGATGGATGCTTCAAGGGCCGGTGTACTATAGCGAGCAGAGACAAGAATTCGGACACGACTCGACGTTTCATTGAGCGTAAGAATATCAAGGGACCGTACTAATTCCCTCGCGGATTCATCTGGCAGTTCGTCCAAAGCGTCAACAATAATCCAAAGCCGCGTGTTACGCGCTCTAGAGACGATATCGGCAAGCCATGTCCTCAATTTCGAAGTCACTGGTGCTTTCCCTGCAGGTTTGTCTTCGATATTGAGATATTTTAGAAGGTGAGGTTGGCTCCTGAGGATTTGAGGCAAGAGGCATTGTAGGACAAGAGTGGAATGTTCTTGGCCAGTCAGTTTCGCGTCGCAAAACATATAGGCCACAACATCAAGAATTTGAGTTTGTTGTGCTGACGATGCGCCGGAAGGGAGGCGTTCTTTGAGGCGGCCAATGATATATTTAGTTACTACTGACTTCCCCGAGCCTGGAGAACCGTGTATCCGAGCCATGGGGTGCCGGTACATGCAGTTTCATACCAGGACATGAATTCCGGCAAAGAAGTTATCCAGCTCCACGGCTCGGGCTCAAGCTCTGGGGTAACCCGGTATCTGTTCATCAGGTCTAACAGTAAGGTCGCTTGTTCCAAAATACGAATCAAATCCATCTGCATGCTTGTTTGAAAAACTATTATCGATTAGCCTAATGTGTACCATAACAAAGTGCTTTTCTTGCTTCCAATTCTTTCGTACTATTCGACGGGTAATAGTAAAGAGGTTTTGCGGAGTTAAGACGTAACCACCCCCACCCCGCCCCAACCTGGGGGCAGGGACATGACTCCACATTTAGGTTCGGTTTCATTTTTAACCGATCAACGTCGCCCAGCCGCACAAGCATCAACATTGAAGCCGCGTCAATTTGTTTCTGTCGACTTCCGCTAAGAATGTACTCATTGACGCGCGGATTCTGCTCCTTATTTCGCGGCTAGAGTTCGGCACTCAATGCTCTGTCAGGTAGCGGACATATAAAGGTAAGAGAATCGAGACAATCAATTTAATGTCTACTTCGCGTCTCCTCTCCAGTATCCACCAAGATCTCGTCGCCGCGCTCGCACTCATCCATCCTCCCAAGCGTCCTACCCACATGGATTACGATTACCCGGCAATACTATTTCACGTGTCGGAGTTATTGGCGAGCGAAGATGTGTTCGCTACCGTGGCCGCCGTCATCTGGTACATCTGCGGCTGGGATCACAATAATCTGATGCTCGCTGCAGTCACGTCCACGTGCATCTGGTACTACTATCAACACATTCAAAACGACCGAGTGTATTGTGTCGAGGAGACAAGGTCCTTATTTGCCAAGATTAGACCCAGAGTCTTCTACATCCTCACAACCCTAGGTCTACGCGTCTCAAAGTGGATTGCTACCGCTATCTTCACCACCTTGGGAACAGCGAACGTCTTACTATTTCTGTCGTTTTGCCTCTTGGTGGTTTTCTTTGGTCCGGCCAACTACGTTCAATTGGTCTTCCATTCGATACCAGCGTCTATCCCGACACTCGCTACTTGGATACTCGAGAGCCTCAGTCAACTGGAAATTTGGTGCCGATATAGACTTCAATGTCTACCGGAAGCGTACTGGCCGGGCGGAATTTGGAAATGGTACATGAGAGCCTTAGGGATCGACGTGGATGAGAAGTTGAAATATTCGCCAATTAACGGCGATCGAGAGATCAGGCTCTTCCAGCTATATAGGTGGATTCCCTTTGCCGGAGTAAGAGGATCCCTAATCCATGTCAAAGTTGACAACGCCCCGGAGTATCACGCAATCTCCTATCACTGGGGTGATAGCAAGGAAAGTCGTCGCATCTCAGTCAACGGTGCCAGTTTCGACGTATCATTCGCCACCCACGGTGCTCTCGATAGTTATAGCTCGCTATGGCGCCAGCGTTTAGTGTGGATCGACGCTCTCTGCATCGACCAGAAAGACGACGCCGAGAAAGGTAAGCAGGTGGCCTTCATGAAAGATATTTACTCCAAGGCCCACCGCGTTATAGTGCACCTCGCAGATCAGCCCCTGGCTCCCCACTTGCATTGGCTGCTCCACGAGTTCGGGACCATGGTTGCGCAGCCGTACTTTAGGGCCGAAAACGTGTTTACCAGATACGAAAGAGAAGGACTTTCGCCAAGGTGGCTGGCGATGATATCCTTTCTCAATTCGGGGTGGTTCTCGAGGGTCTGGATCGTGCAGGAAGTTGCCGTAGCTTCCGATATACGCGTTCGATACGCTGGCTGGACCTATGACTGGGACTTCCTGGTTACAACGCTGGAAGAGGGACTTCGGGCACCTGAGATGGCCGGACTCCTTCAAACAATCCAGAGAGGACGTCATGCTGTGCATCAGCTCGGTAACTTGGCATCATTGAGATACATGCGGACCATGATGGCTTTGGTGGAGGCGTACCGAACTTCTCGGCAGTCCAATAAATTGTTAACCAAATTTCTCAGAGCCGTGGGAGACGATGAGGCCGCCGGGAAAGTGCAAGACCAGACATCACCAACACCACTAATTTACTTGCTGGAGATGTTCATCGACTTTAAGTCGACGGACTCGAGAGATAAGGTGTACGCCTTGCTCGGCTTAATGGGCGATGACCCTCCGGCTAGCCTCGCTCCAAATTACGATCCTTCCGTTACCCCAACACACGTCTTCACGACAGCTGTTCAACACATCCTGTCCGAGACTAAGATAGAACATCGCCTCTCAGTCCTGGCCAAGGCAGGCACAGGTTACCCCGGCCGAATGGATGGACTGCCATCCTGGGTGCCCGATTGGACGCAATCGCCGCCAGGCGCGCCTCTGTCTTCTTTCCTATATCAATATCAACCATTCCGGTACAAAGCGTCCGGAAAGACAAGACCAGAAATCCACGATATCGACCCCTATTCTGGCACCTTAAGCCTCGGCTGTATCCATGCCGATGAAATCGCCTTCCTCAGTGAGCCGTACGTGGCAATAGAAGACGACAAACTCGTAGCGGATCGCTACGGCCAAATTTTCCATCCAGGAGAGCTTGTCGCTCATCACAAATGGCACACTGACACATTTGCCATGGCTGCATCCGTCCTGCGAGACCCATACCCGTTTAAACAAGGCCAGTCTGTCAAAGAGGCTTTTTGGCGGGCATTACTTGGTGATGTGCACAAGGACTCTCGGCCGGCCGCGGGCTATCTCGGCGAGCTCTACGATGACTGGGTTGCTATGCAGAAGGAGCTGCTTCCTTACGGGCGTGATGCCGGCCACACGCTTTCTTTCCCTCAGGATGATGCGTTCTGGGACCGGATGCGCCGTACAGGGCAGTGGAATAACGCCATGGCCACGTGCGCCGTAGGGCGCCGATTGTGTGTCACCAGGGAAGGATATTTAGGATGTGTACCTAGATGGGCGAGGGTCGGCGATGAGATAATCGTTATCCTAGGCGCTAGCACGCCGTTTGTCGTGCGCGGGCTTGAGAGGCAAGGAGGTGAGAGATACGAGCTGGTGGGTGAATGTTACGTGCACGGAATGATGGACGGGGAGATACTTGAGAGCGGTCGCAAGCAAAAAGTTCTTTTGTTTCAATAATATTCGGGAGAGGAGTTGTAATAGAAAAGCTTGGGGATGAGCTGCTGAATTGACTGCCATATTTTCTGTTCGGTTTTCGGATGGTCACCAGATTGAATAGTCTGAAGAGTGCTAGGTGTCGTTGGATCAGTCACAGCAGATGTTCGTTATATTACGCTCCTTCAACCTTTAATGGCGTGTTCCCCCGATAGTTCTTTGTTTCCGGCCGTGGGACATGGTACGATGTGACCTCCAGGGCCGCAGACAGACCCAAGCCAGTCGGCCACAAAGAGTTGAGCAGCACTATCCCGGCTACCCTCGGTTCACGCCGCTTCTCTTCTCAGAGTGGTCTGCGAAGGCAGAGCAACTCGTAGACAAAGGCCCTGTATGCATGTTTGGAGCCGTTGACGCTTTCGTATTGAGCTGCTCCTGGCTTCTAGGTGACAGCTTTTTCGCGTCTTTCCAGCACCGCCCAAGCTGTACCTCTCGGTGTTGATTCCAAAGGCTAGAGATCGACCGATGGAGCTCCTTTTTATCTTTTTCGGTTCTCTCGAGGGTTGCTGGGCGATTTCCTTCCCGCTGCCATCTCTCGATATCGGCCTTCATCTTGCCGATTCGGCGCTGTTTCTGCGCATTGCTTGCGCACTCTGCACAGGGTGTTCTCGTCTACCTACCTTGCTCCAATATTCCCACAGCGCTCTATTCAGTGAATTCTCGTACCTAGGCACTTTTTTATATGCTCGTATAGCAAATGTAATACAGACCTGTTTTTTCGTTAACTCTAGCGCCCACCCGACATCTATGTCGAAGGTATGCAATGCGGACAGCGAAGGGGTACAGAGATGGCGATCTTGGTGCACCGACCTTTATTGAATAACATTTGGCCGGATTCGAAAGGAAAAGAAAACCTGAAGAACGAATCCTGCCTGAACTGACTTGAATAGAAGAAAAAAAAAAAAAAAAAAAATAGAGGAGAACTTAAGACTGGAGGAAAAAAGAAACCCCCTTCTTCTGCCCTTCGCTTGACCCGGAAGAGCTTTTCCCCAGCTTCCACTAGGTCCGGAGCCACTTCTCACAATTCTAGAAGAACTCTTAAATTCTAGGCGTCCTGGTCCCCGGCGATACCTCTACCACCGTCTTAATATGATTAACCTAATAGTCAGACCACTCGTTTTAGCTGCCGAACTGTGCTTATGGCAAATTGTCTCATTGCGGAGAAGGAGGGCGAGGAACTAACCCTGTGATAGGACAGCTAGCCGCCAGGATTCCTCGCGACGCTGCCAGGGGCCAGGGAGTAATCCGAAACAATTGAATTATCACCAGGCTACAGCTTACTCCCCTAAACGTGATCTAAAGACGTAGGTCTCGATCTCTCAGCTGCTCCAGCTGCAAGTCTTGAATTTCTTCCCTCTCCTTGAATCACAAACTCCTAAAGCAGCTTTATTTCTGTCTCACAAAGTCACAATGGTTCTCAGCGCTGTCCCATTGACCGACACTGCTGCCACGGGCACTCTATCCGTGGCGACGCTAGTCGAGGAGGCGCTCGAGCAGTGCAAGGCCGAGATGGCACAGCCGAGCGACAAGTTTGACATTCTTTCCTGCACGGCGCAGCAGAGGTGGCTGGTGTCAAAGGCAGTCGAGGCTTTCCAGACGCTCAAGTGGCGAAAGTCTCCCGCGAGTCTTCGTGAGTGGTCGTGGAGGAACCTGGCAGGCATCCACAGGACTAGCGACGGGGACCTGCCGTGGTTTTCGGCCGATATCATTGCGTTGAATGAATACGGTAAGATGAAGGCTGAACGTGGGCTTCGAGAACTTCTAATAGCATCTCAGGCACCCACAATAAGCGCAGGTTCGAGCTCAGAACGACTGATGACCTTGTTCCTTTCTCTACCGAACTGCAGCATATGAGGGTATGTGGACCTGTCTTCGGTCAAAAAGAAGCGAGCTAACACTCTGCAGTATGGGTTGTTGCTCCGTATAGATTTTCTATAGTACTACTAACTGAGGTGGAAAGCTCCGACATGACTAAGAACTATTATTTCGTGTGCTCGCGACGGTCACCATCGGATCCCGACCACCTCCTTCTGTCGACGAGGCTACATTCCAGGAGGACACGGATCAAGACCTACTCTGACACCATAGTCACCTCATGCCTCCTGCTTATGAAGCACTTCCTGGGTTTTCGTGTCGCGGATCTTTGTGCATTCATGGCTGCCATTCTTCCCGCGCCGGGCGAGCAGCTAACGGAGACCAGGCTGATATCTGCACCGCCGACAAGTATGTGTTCTCGAGTCGCCTTTTACTTTTTTACAAATTAGTGACTTTATATTTCCCCGTGCCAAGGCAAGTGGTGTTCGACTGAGAAGGTTCGGGATAGTGCGCCGCCTTGCTCAACCCAAGTCCTTCGTTTCCCCGGGCCTCATCCCACATTTTCAACTGACTACATGTGGATGGAGCGACACAAGATACATGGTCAACGGCCGAATTCCATGTTTACAGTCTCTGTTTGGGGCTCTTGGAGGACCAACAGTAAGGTTTGGTCTAGTGTCGTGGCCTTCTCTGACGAGGTCGCCGCGAGCACGTATGCCGACCAGCTCCACACTCTCCTCGCCGACAGGTACGCGGCGACCATTGGGAAGCTGGGTCACCACTGGGTCGAGGGCTGCTACTACGCCTATCTCCTGTCCCTCAATGACGCGCGGATGCATTTGCTTTAAGTATGCTGATACAATAGACATTCTTGTTAGTTAAGGTCCTCTCTCCACTCTATAGAAGCTGTGCTGACGGGGGTAGCGATACCGCAATGTGTCTAGCCCGAAGAGCGGGGGTGTGCTTGCATGCGTCATGTTGATGAACCATTTAGAGCAAAACAAGGGACTAGCTAGCGCCCTCTCTGCCATCCTCCAAGCCGTCCCGGAAGAGCTGGACTATAAGCCAGACTGGATGAGGTCTATCACCAAGATGTGCGAATCACTCAAGGCAGACACGACCACAGTCTGCGAAGAGGCGAACAAAATCCGAACTCTAGTAGGCATGACCCGGTTTGAACGCCCTAGTATTAGCGACCTGACTGACATGACGCAGACCATCGACCTGCACGGCGTATCTCAGTCCCGTAGTATATCCTATCTAACCTTTTTGGCCGCCTTCTTCGTCCCCATCTCAGCTGTTTCGGTGGGTTTTAATAATAGAGCGATGTTTGGCGGGCTACACTAATAGTTTGAATCTAGGGATTTTTCGGCATGAACACTACTGAGATCAATCGATCCGCCTGGTCGACTAAGTGGTTCGGTATCATTGCTGGGCCGCTGACTGTGGTGGCTGTTCTCGTGCCGCTTATTGCCCTCGGGGTCCTGAGAGCCTTCCTCTGGCTCTTATCGCACGTCTTCCTCCGCCAGCTCATTACTAACCTTGTCTTGCTCATCCCCTTAGTTGTGAACCTGCAGGTCTCCATCCCCGCCCCCCGCCCCCCAGGCAGTCTCTGTAGGCATCCTGAATGTCGACAATTTATCCTGGGGGCCTTTTGAGTACTTTTTCTATGGCATATCTCCTGTTGTTGTCATAGGGTGGAACCTATCGACGTTATGGTTTCCTATCTTCCAAGCGCTTCGTCAACGACAGGCCACAGGTAGACGAGGTATGGGAGCTGCCCTGCCAGCCAGGTGGAAACCGGCTGCCTGCGACATTCGAGTCCACGTAATCTTGTTTATCGGTTGGCTTATTGGATTCAACATCAATGGCTGGGTTTGGATTGCTGCCCTCCTTGCTTACTTCTCTTACACAATTGGTGCTTGGGCGCGTCGGCGCCGGAGATCAAGGAGATCAAAACTCCAGCATTTGCGGCAGTAGGGTGATATGGCTTGTCACAGTTTCAGATATAAGAAGGAGTCAATGTAGTCATATGTAAGATCGCTCACTCAATCGATAACTCAGTGGGTGTGGGTAGGGGCAGTGGATAGTCGACCCCAACTCATTGACACGGCCCAACTAGGTAGCGAGGAAGCCTTGACGACAACGGCGAGCTGCGGACACTTCCAACTCTTTGATGGAGATCCGAACATCAATGCTGCCCTGACTTCTCTGATACAATGATGAATAGAAGTGCCGTCCCAGGATTCTTTGTCGACCATGCTGTGAAAGGTCAGGGTGACCCAATGTTGAGAAGGCCAGGCTGCCGTGACTGAGCCTGGTCGACACGACACACCTTACGAGATAGAGGTGGTTTCGAATTGCATTAGTCCCAAGATAGAGGGTAAAACGTCATGGGACCATTTCTCAGATTACGTCGAGCATCTAAACACCCTCAACGAAGTAAAGGTCTCTTTCACAACTCACGGGCTCAGTTACTCCAATTCCTCTGAAGCGAGTGTCAGGACGAGTTTTCCACTGCAATACAGAACGTTATTGGCCACATGTAGGCGAAAACGGAGAGATTGTTCTCTGGTGCGTAACTCTCTGGAGAGGTGCTAAGGACCCATGAATCCGTCAAATACAATTACCATCCCAAAGCCATTTTTCTCATGAAGCAGCACACCATACCCATAGTATCATTCTCCGCACGGGGGCGCCGTGCTTCTGCTAATGCTCGAATATGTTATGGTAGGATCGGTTCGTCAGGTACTAGTCCGACCGTGGGCAGAGGCGGCGGCGGCGCGGGCTCTTGAGGTAATACCTCGTCGGGATTTGCCATACTATCCGGCCGGCACAGAGCCCAGTCAGGACCAGCCCAGGAGGCACTGCGGGGGAGGATGCATTAGTTATGCTATGACATGGGAGAGCCAAGAGAGGTTTATCCTCACAAGCTAATGCTCCAACAGTGGGAGTTATCGGGACATGGTTGCCCATTCCACCACGGGCCGTCACCTAGAAATTCTAGTCAGCGACAGTTGGCAAGCCAAGATCAGGTTGTGGACGTACAGGAAATGAAGTAAGGAAGACCGAAAGGATATTGGGCCTGGGCCAATGTAGCTGCAAGGGCCAGAGCCACAGAATTGGAATATACTCTGTGTAGCATCTTCGGCCAGTTGATGGGAACCTTTGGCGTTGATGGCCTCGGACCGTCTTGCAGACGATTGAACGAGGGAAGAAGAGGAAAGATCAGAGGAAGCCTTCTTATCCTACCACAAGATTGACCATAAAGTCAGGACCTGCTCTTATAGGTTGGTCTGATCGGTGAGTTATAGATATCGGCGTATTCTTTCCTGTTCTTCTCGCTGCGCGGCTCGGCGATGCAAGAGCTACAAAGACAGTCACCGCTCCTCATTGGCCGATCAAGGGGTGGTAAAGCACATCATCCAAGGCATTCATCGGAATAATATCATACACAGGCTATGAGAGGTCAATCGAGAAGAGGGATTTACCGGGTTTAATCTGGAGAGAGCTTCGCGGTGAATCGCAGGTGGAGAACCTACTATCAAGACCCGAAACCCCGAGCCCGTGGGACGGCACGAATCTTGACCTGCTACCAATCACATCCCCTCTCTCCGACTCACGCCCGGGCGCGGGTATCAACGTATATCCGGCGATTAAGATAGGGCCTAAATATATATTCCGGTCCTTCCAAATTGCACTCCGGGAACCTTAGAGCACTCGGCAGTCCCCGCACGAAAGCTCGCCTCGCAGGGATGTTCCCTGCGAATTGCCTATTTGAAAGCTTGAGGCTCTTCAATCCTGGTGAGGCTTTTTCTCTCCAGGAGGGCATGTTCCGAGGCTTCCATGTTCCCTCCGAGAAGCAAGCACACGGGACTTCGTAACTTCAGGTAGCTCAAGTTTCTCCGGAACAGGGAAATTGGGCAAAAGAGGCTCATGGACAAAATTGGATAGACCTAAATCATATCCCGCGTCCAAAGAGTAGAGAATTAGAGGGCCTCGTTTTTCATTCACTAATGGTACCGGGCAACCCCCATCCATTTCCGGGTCACGACCAGCTCGAGGCCCATGCATTATCCGGCATATACAAATCGTCGAGAAAGCTTTCCCAGTTCGCCCATTCAGCACTACCATCAAGACTCCCGCTATCAATCCCGCCACTATTTCCCAGAGCTTCCTGGGGCCCGGAATACACCGGTGCTATAGGAGGCTGGGTATACGGCAAAGGCGAAATCGCAGTCGAGGTCGTCGACGGCGTGGCCTCTTCGGCCGTGAGGTTGCGGAGAAAGGACAACGCAGGAAGCACGGAACTCTGTGCTACATCCTCGTCTTCTCCGCCTTGATAAAAGTTTCGCACGGGCTGGAGTTGATTCTGGAACGAGGACTCGAGCGAAGACAACGGACCAGGTCGGCCGGGTAGCGTGGCGGAAGAGTCCATCTGAGCGCTGTTCCTTTGTAGAAGGCTGCTCCGTCTCGCGCGGGCCTTCTTCATCAATTTCTCCATCGGCTTCCAGGGCATCTCGCTCTGGGATTTCGCCATCAACTCCGCCGAACGAGCGTAGGCTTTCTCCACTAGATCCCAATATCTTTCGACAGTGGCGAGATCCTCGCACACACACAGTTCGGCAATGGCAACGGAAAGAGCGTGCCAGGGGGTGAAAATCGACTCGAACCAACTCCACGATTTACCGCGCGGGTCCCGTATCAGATTCTGAGATCTCTGGAGGATATCAGTGCAGACCTGCAGTAAGCTAAAACCGGATCTCGGGGGATTGTAGTTTGGGTGCTTGCGAAGTGGCCTCTCGACAGCGACGTGGAGCTGGGCTATGATCCACTCGGCGACTTGGACCGCGTACCAATGAAGAGGGTTATTTTCGGGATCGCAGTGGCGGAGGAGTGCGAGGACCCATCTTCGAAAGTCTTCGACGTAGCCACGGCGCGCCTGGATCGTGTCGAAGGCAGAGTCGCTGGGATCCAGAGCCAAGGTCATGTCAACCTGTCGACATACCGTCTGTGCCCTACAGACCAGCACGGGAAAAGTCATGTCTGTGAATGCCAACTCCGTCGTGTCCGAAAGTGGGCTGTCGAGGTTGATATTGAAACTTGCGTCGTTTACATTCGCAGGAAATGGAGTCTGCGTCCAGCTGAGGGGTACGATGGGCGTCGTTAGTCGGTCAAATGACGTCTGCAGGTCCAAGAGAGCCATAGCATATCGTAGGCGCCTGCGCATTTCTAAATCAAACGGCTTCGTTGGGACGGGAGGCGGGTCTAGATGGAGAGCCAATGCCTGTCCGATTCGAAATGCAAGGCTCATTAAAGTCCAGACTTGCCGCGTGCGGTCATAAGCGCGAGTAGCAAGCTAGAGAGAATATTATAAGCGTGGGTTCCAACATGTGAAGTGTCTCCCCATTCCCCATCCCCCACGGATTCCAATGGCCACATACCAAGTAGAGTAAGAAAGCCTGCAACACAGTTACGTCCTCTGTAGTAACGAGGCCAACCCGAGCCAGCGACTTCTCAGCCACTGAGCGGAAGACAGGCAATATCGACTTCTTTTCACAATTAAAGACGGATGCGCACTCCTCTTCACTCAGGCTACTGACCGAAACGTAATAAATAGCGCTGCTAAGGGCTTCAACAGCCGGATGATCGGGTTCGTAGTCAAGATATGATGTTCCTTGGATTAGATGTAACGTGATGGATGGTCGATGCAAAATCTTAAATATTGGATCTACTCTCACGAGGAAGACTTCCACTAGATGCTTCTTAACCCAACCTTTGTGTTCCAGCGGGTCGGATTCCTGACTCGAGGGATCTGGGATAGTGTTGAAGATGAGGCGATCGGAGAAGCTCTGCGGGCTCTGCGAACGTAATGATGGTGGCGTCGGTTGGCCTACGGATTGCTGTAAAAGTGCAGGCGGCTGAGATTGATTGGAAGCGGACTCCTCTGCAAGAACATCGATGCCATTGTCGTCACGGCGGTGATCCCCCGACGAAATCGACTGTACCCCTCCGCGATGCCGTCCCCGCGGAAGGCGGGGGCGTTCGACAGGCATGCAGGGTACACCGAGTCTCATGCAACTGGTGCAGGGATTCAACTTGTCGCATTTTGTCTTGCGCTGTCTGCACATTTCGCAGCTGAGTCTCGCGACGGCCTTGGCTGCCCTGGGATTTCCATCTCCTCCCGAACCCGCCCCACCTAGTCGCCGGCGGTGGGCACCGGAGTCCATGCTCAGATGAGCCTAATCCTGAGGAGTAATGATTATTTCTCGTTGACAGGAAATATAGAGTTGGTTGTCGACCTGCTCTCACACGTCCGTGACTTTTCATATCCGATATGCTCAAGGCTCCTTGGAATTGTTTCGCATCAGGGATCCGATCTCTGTCGCGACCACTCCAAGAAGGAGTCCACTCCTGCCGCTATCTTCCTACGGCAATTCCAGCAGGGGTTTTCGTGCTTTGTCTGGTTGCGGTTGAGGCGGCATTGTCCTTGCATGTTCGTTTGGGATAAGTTTTGCGTTGTCTCGTCTTACGATCTTGGGTTCCTGTGTGGGAAAAAGTATGGTTCTTTAAGCAGCCAATCAGAAGGCGCCTTTCCAACTTCAAGCTTTCGGCGAGATTTTAGAAAGCGGAAGATACCGCGGACCCAGAGAGCCAGAACGGAGAGCCAGATCGACAAAATCGTATACAGGACGCGGAGCTTTTCCCGCGGGCCATGAAGGTATATATATACTCAGATCTGTGAGAAGAACGGGCTGTGCAAATTTAATAACAGGCGAGTCCTGATGAAACTCAACAACGTGAGTGAATCAACCCCGTCGGAAGCGGCCAACAATTCCACCTGAGCAACGGTGAGACGGTCGAGAAGCTGCGTCCCTTTTTCGCAAAAGCGGCATCAATCATAACAGAGCGACCATGGGCTATCATTTGTGTTACTTGCTGGACTTGGGCAAGCGGTTGTCTCTCATCAAATGTGCCATGAGGTCAAGGAGTCCACAGCTCCCGCATCTCTTATCTTGAGTCTATATCTAATTGCCTAATTCTACCGATTTTGCCTTAGCGCATATTAATGTCTTCTGGAGAAAAGCAAGGGGTAGAGGATCGTTAAAAGGAACTAAACAGAAAGAAAGACACGAAAAAAAAAAAAAAAAAAAAAAAAAAAAAAAAAGGAAAACCCGAAAAGGGTTTTCGAACCCAGTGCTACCAGCTAGAATTCTTAGAAGTCCATGGGGATAACGACTAAGCTCCGAGGGTTCTTTGCTATTGGAAATCTGTACTCCAAATTTGGTATATAAGGCTTAATTCCGCGTTCGAAGATTGGGCTAAGAAGTTGGGAAGGCTCGACTGTATCTGCCTTCCTCGAACATTTCAGTCCCATCCTGAACACTCGTGTTTCCCGCATCACGACAGAACCGTAGGAGGAAGCCTCGCACAGGACGGAAGGGAGCCATCATACACAATAGAACACAGAGGGTGGATTCGCCGGTGGTCCTTTTACCCGACTTGTAACAGCTCCTTTCGGAATACGCCTCCGTTACCACTTTGAGGCAAGGATACCTGTCACGGCTCCTCGGTCATCACTCTTTCTCCTGTTGAAAGATCAGATTCGTACGAGGCGAATCTTGATGACATCAAATCTACAAAGTCTCATGTGTCCCGCCTGCACGCGCCAGTTCTAAGTCTCCTTCGCACCGACATTCGTAGGCTGTTCCTTCTTCCATCGTACAGGCCGGACCGAGAAAGACCCATTGGATTCATGTGGAGGGTGAGGTACATCGATACTCAGGGACGACAACATGCGTCATGGTATTAATTATAGTTAGAAGGAGCGTGATGTGACATTGCACTTTGCTGCTTTCTCACTTGAGGAGGAAGGAATGGCCAAATACTGAGAGGGAAGGCCTCCGTAACAAGGCAGGGTCTCCCTAGTTCCTGTCCCGATTCTCCCGTCATTGTCTATAAGAGTTTAGCCCATTCTCGCGCACGACAATGGAAGGACAGCAACAGGTTCCCTCGTTGAGGAAACACCGCCTCAAGCTATCTTTTCTTTACGAGGGAAGTTGAGTCCACAATCAGTACGGGCCCCAAACAATTGTTACTTTCCCAGGGGTGTATACGTGATTGCAATCACCAATCGCATCTGGCTTGGACAGGAAGATTAGACGTCGAGACCCTTTCCGAGCCTCGTCCAACGCCGACAATGGCAGGAAGAAGCTTTGGACGGAGACACGAGCGGGCGTTAAACCTTCTCGATTTGAGCAGGTAGCTTGAGAAGGTACCTGCTCACTCAAGCTGTAAAACCCACCGGCTATTTGACAGAGGAAACAAGACGGGGGGATAGAGTTTTACTCGATACACACCGGCGAACCTCCGTAAAAAAAAACCGGCCTCGACGAAGATGACACTTCTGCGCAGTGTCGAGGACAAGTACGCTCACCTCTTGGCCGTCGGTAACTTTTCATCCATCGACGATGGTTAGTATTCTGTAGAGACTAATAATACACCTAACCTGTTTTGGAGATATTTGCCACCATAATTTGATAATTCTGCTAATAATATAGACTAATAGCTACTATTTTAGAGGAAATTTATATAAATTTATCTACCACTGATTATAATAATTTGAGGGAAGATATTTATACGAAGTATGTAGAATCCTAATTACTATTAAGTCATTGCATTTTATATTTCCATATGATACCAATCTGACTCCGTAGTATGTAATCTATCCAGCATTCGTGTAATCTTATGAATTCATAATATCTCATCTTTTCCCGTTCCAGACAAGACACAAAGCAGGGAATAATGGGGGAACAGGATGGGAATGACCGAAAGATGCTGATAACGGCGTTATTTCGAGTCGGGTACGTCGTTGTCATCAGGGTCGGTTCCTAGGTTATGAGTATCGATATTGCCAGCCACTTGTCCAACCGACGGAGGCTGTCAGATGGTCTCTACGTCCTCGTCCCAACCCTCACGTCTATCCCTCGGGATCTTTACAAAGGTCAGGCTCAGCACAAGGGACAGCACTGCCAAGCCAAAACCAAACCACAGGGCGGCACGGAACCCGGTCACTTCGTTCAGCGTGTGCTTCACGACCTGCACTTCGATGGTGCCGGCGAAGCCGAGACCCAGGCTGTTTCCGTACAGGTTCAAGGTGCCAATCAGACTGCCGGCCGGGCCTTGGTCGCGCTTGCTGACGCTGTTGCTCACAATGACCTGGGCCGCGACGTATACGAAGTCGGCGCAGAAGCTGCTGATGAATGTGGCCGGAAACACCTGGGCCCGGTAGATCTGCTGCGCGGGCATGGTTGCCATCAGCACGGTGGCGATGATCAGAGCCACGCAGCCCATGGCGAGGAGGAACTTGGCTTCCATGATGGGGATCAGCGCGGCGGCCAGGAGGACGGCGATCGATGCGCCGACGCCGTACGGGATCCAGCCGAGAGCGACGTGGAGCGTGTCCCATTTGCGGACGAGCTGTTGCCAGGCTACCATGTACCAGAGCAGAATTCCCACCGACATGTAGATGGAAAGGACAACTACAGTAAGGGCTTTCAGATTCGATGTCTTGAATAGGCTGGGGGGCATGATGGGCTCTGCTGCCCACCTACTCTCCCAGAAGAAAAAGGCCACGAGGAGGACAAAGGACACCACTAGCATTGCGATGACGGATGCCGATTGCCACCCGAGCGAGGTCGATTGGCTTGAAAAGAATGCCACGTTAGCCAATCTAGTCTTTGCGGCGGCTCATGAATGACACTGCGAAGGGGTTGCGAACTTACTTCCAAGAAATATTGAACAAGAGCAGCCCCGCGAGCCCTAGGAATATTCCGACGTAATCAATCTTGCCGCCCCTGTCTTGGGGCTCTTCGCGGGGCAGCACAAAGACGAGACCAGCGACAGTAACAGCACCCAGACACGCTCTGCAACAATCAAGTCAGCCAAACAATTATTGAGTCCATGCCAAGGGTCCTTACACCAGGACGAAAAAATACTTCCAGGCGGAGTATTGAAGAAAAGCACCGGCTAACAGGGCGCCAGTCATGGCACCCAGCGGCGGCGATGCCGCAAACACAGCCAGGGTGAAGTTCCGCGCCTTGCCCGGCGGGATCATGAGAGTCAAGGTGGCAACGGCGTTCGGCATCAAGATGCCACCCCCAATACCGGTGATGGCCCGCATGGCGACAAAGGAGGTGTATGTGGTGCAGAAGGCATTGACGAGCGAGAATATCGCTATGATGACCACTCCCAGGAGGAGTAGCCGCTGGTGGCCGTACACTGATCCCAGCCGGCCACTAATGAGGACGAAGGTGCTCTGCGTGAGGCTACGGCATTGTCAGCATTTCCCTGTGTCTGAAACTGCGGTCTCGTTGGACGGTTCGTTTTTCCTCGGACTTACGAGTAAGCAGCAGCCATCCAGTTTGCCTGACCGGGTCCGATGTCCTGGCCGAGCTTCGAACTGAAGTCGAAACCTCCGATCACTGTCGAAAACATGGAAACAAACTAGACAAGCGATAGTTTACTGTCAGCTGGACGATCTAGCTGAGGGCTGTCATTTGGGATACAGTCAGTCCCAGCAGCACGCCTACCTGGAGAAGATTGGCAAGCAAAATCAGGACAATGATTGCACGTCTTCTGCTACTGCCTATTTTCACAGCGTCGTCCGTTCGGAACTGCTCGGCTGACTGCCCCGCCTCTACGGTGACAACTCTACTGATGATTAACGAAACCCGTCCAAGAGCAGTTTCCGCCCCGGCGGACGGGGGCATGACTTCTTTGCCATGGTCTGCCATGGTCGCTGGTTGTGAGGCTAGAGTCAGGGGGAGAGGGAGAGAGCGTAGGGGACGGGACAGAAAATCTTCTCAGCAAAGCCATTGTCAGGCCGGAGAGGATATACCCGACCAGTAGGGCGGGCGGTTGAGTTAACAGCAGTATGTGAAGGTTCACGAGACACAGACCCGCCTACAGCTATCCAGTGGCCAGCCCCACTTCTCCTGCTATCCTCCTTTTGGGTCTGTTTGCCTCCCGAGGCAAGTTGGTAAGATGTAGGCGAGTAGGTAAAGGACCTTCCAGCCAATAGCGTAAGGGAATTGTATCTGTGCCCTTCTCCATTCGACCGATAAGGATATTCCTGAGTGCTATGTGCCTTTAGAATTTAATCAGTAATTGTGTAAGATGAGAATCTTCTATCTTAGCAAACTTGTAGTGGGACAATATTTGCTGCCCTTGACTTATAGTATTGTTAGAGGAGAAGAAGAATTAAGATATAATACTAAGATTTTTAATTGTCACAACATGGCCGTGGCCCAGTCACGAGAAAGCGGTGAAGCGCGGCAGAACATAAATCACGTGCGCGATGACCTAAGGAAGTCGGACGGAGGCACGATCGACCGACATGAGAAGAGCTGAGAGGATCACGTCTATATAAGCTACGATGTTTCCCGATGTAATTAGTATGTTCCTCCAGACTCTTCAGTAGTAGTCAATACAAGTAACAACTACACCCTACACTTATATACGCACTTCTCAAAACCATATCTTGTGAATACTGCTTGACTGCCTTACTTTGCCAGTAACAGACAACACCTCGACCTTACACCAGTTGTATCCACCTGATACCGTCAACGAGCTAGTGTTAGGATCGTAACACACAGGACTTTTTAGGTGCAGACTTCCAATTATTTTATATAACGCCATGACGGCCTTTCTAGCTAACTAATAAGCAATCGATAGTGTTGTGTCGTATTCCATTTACACTGCGAGCAACCTTTTGTCCCCTATAACTTCCACGCTGGTCACTTCTTGGCCAGCCTCAGCGTCAACTACAACGCCGTCGATCAAATCACTCTCGTACACAGCGTCGTCTTCACAGACTGGTAGTTTGAAAAGCTTGTGGCCTTCCAAGAACCACGATACAGTCATGAAGATCATGAACACTCCCATCACTAGAATAGTGTAGTTCATATTCAAGCTGGTGATTGGATGCGATTGTGGGATCTGATGTTGACTAGTTAGCAGAGAGCATACCACCTGTGTTCTTGTCACTGTGACGGAACTTACAAAGGCGACGATAAAGACAAGTGCGCAGTAGAGAACAGACACGATGTAGATGGGCTTGGACCAAACTCCAAAGTTCCACTCCTTCTTGGCGGGCAACGTCCTTCCCGAGGTCAAAAGCAAGATGAGCGCTGGGAATCCTGTTTGAACTTTCGTCAGTGCATGCACCATTGTCAACCGAGTCGTCATCTTTTCTTACCAAAGCTAATAATCATACAGACGACTTGAGAACCGATGATGGCGTTGAAGGCCGCGCTCGAGAAGAGATAGCTTTGCAGACAATTGTCAGTTCAAATAATTAATGGACTCGAACTATCCAGCTCTTGGAAGAGGAGCAAGGAACTTACATGACTCCCACTAAGGCTACAAAGATAGATGGCAGGGTGATAGACCAGAAGGGTGTGTGCACGCGAGGGGTGACTTCGACCAGCCTACGTGTGTTTTGTCAGCAACTCATCATTCAATTGCAATGCACATGCACGGGATTGCTCTTACTTGCTGTTCCAGAAAAGGCCACCGTCTCGTGCAAAGGCGAAGCCCTGTCGAGTCATGGTCACGGCGCTTCCAAGGGCTGACGTCCCGTTGTTCATCATCAAGATGACACAGAAAGCAATGGAGGCGGCATTTCCTCCAGTGGCTTGCCTGATGAGCTCGAGCGTCGGGATTCTGTTGTTCCACAGTTAGTAAAATATCACCAGGGATGAGGCCTTCGTGAAGCATACCCAGTAGGAGTGGCCAAGATGGCGTCCAAGTCGGTGATCGAGAAGCCCAATACAATAATCCAGATGACACCAACAACAAACTGAGAGCCAATGACAATCAACATGATGCGAGGGAGGAGCTTCTTGGGCTGGGGAATCTCTTCCGCGAGATGGGCAGGCCCGTCAAGCGCCATTAGTGTAGCGAAGCTGGTGAAGAGCCCAAGAAAGATCGCTGTACTCATCGACGAGTACCTAAATACGTATTAGAATTGTTGAAACCATGAGCCTCCTATGCCGGGGGGTTGACTTACCCAGTATCGTTCGTCGTGTCAACAAAAACAAAGCTAGGCTCGGCCTTGGGGGCCTTGACCAGCAGGAGGATAGTATAAGCAATGAACCCGAAAATAGTTGCTTAGCCTATATATATATGTTAGTCAAGAGCCTCTCGGGCATGCAGTGGTTGGTGTCGTCTTTTGTTTAGAAGGGAAGGGAATCGTGGGGGAGAGAGAGGCTTTGCTTACATCCAAGGAGCTCTAGTGTCGGGATTCCACGCAGACCCCAGACGTTAACACCCCAGCAGAGCAAAACCATGGCCTCGTAGACGAGGAACAGGCGCCATCTGATGGATGTATCAAAGCTCGGGTCACACAGGTTGACGAGAGCCATCGTGCAAGTAGCAACAATGGAGCAGCAAGCCGCATGTGTGAAGATCCATCCCAGGTAGTTGAGCCACCCCAGCACGTACGAGACGGAGCGCCTATATTGGTCGGGCAGAAGGAAACACGCGTAGTGGTATGCACCCCCTGGAAGAAAGACACTCGGTTAGTTTGCGAGGCACGGGTGTCGGCGGCGTATACACATACCAGCAGTGGAGTATCGCGAAGCGCATTGCGCAAAAGTCAGGATGATGCAAAATACGGCGAAAGACGAGCCGATGCTATTTAAATTTAGTCTCATAGAAATAGGCCGCTATGTACGGGTAGAGCCACGATGGCGAGGGAGACTCACAAGCCATAGAGAATGGCAGGAAGACCGCCGGCAGACAGAGCAAAAGCAAGGATGAGGGACATGCCACCAAATACATTCAGAGTAATCCATCCGAGGCCCACGGCACTCCAGAGGCCGAAGTGTTTACCAAACGTGCCTTCATTGGCCTTTTCGGTCGCCATATTTGTCGATGATATTGATGATGTATTTGGAAGGCTGGAGAATGTCGTACACTGACTAGGGAGTGAATATCATTACTTCTCCGAGGGGACAGCAGATCTACGAGGGTATATAAGAGTCCGATACGCCATGCCTCCGTGTCAAAAGAATCCATACTATATCCTTTCTTCTGCGATATGTGATAGTTGTGATTGTCGCGATAGGGCTCTGACCAAAGTCTTTAGTGGCAATCGGGGTCTCTGACACGGGCGTTGCAGATATGATAACGACAGCTTTCGCCGTAAAGGCGAGACCAAACCACCTGGGGCTCTGTTTGGGAGGATGACTATGGCAAGACATTCGGCAAGCTTTCCCAAACAGGGGTGCGACGGGGTGCGACTTGCCGACGAGATAACAACCAGTCAACTATCAGACTAGCTCGAAAATTAACATGTGCCATGAAAGGATCAGGAACTGATAATACCAATCCACACATTCAGACAGCATGAGGTACGGAATACTGTACTTCATAAAGTCGAGCTTGGCGCTCCCGTCCATGCGAATACAGAATATTATCTTAATATTATCTTAATATTGTTTATTATCCTGTGAAGACTACGAGGGGGAACAGTATTCATTGGTGATAAGGAAATTCACCTTTGCTCATCGCGTCGCTCGCTCTTCCTTTTTTTTTTCTTTTTTTTTTTTTTTTTTGCCGTTGCGTTAAGCAGCTCTGTTCTGGCTCATGTGTTCCCGAATCTCGTGGTTTCGTATTTCAGGCCCATAAACAAGAGGACAGAAATAATTACTTGGTAAATTGTAAGGGGAAAAGCGATGGGGATTTAATTCGGGAGGGGAGAGGGGTTGCTATTGGTAAGTGAGCAATGAAAGATAAGTGTAACACTCCGTGTCCGCGTCCTCCTAGTTCGCGGGTCCAAGTCCGTCCAACCCATAGCCACTGCGAGGTAATCGAGATGGCCTCATTCGCTGAAACTTATTCTTCATCAGTCTCCACACAAGGTGCTCCACTGCACTAGCACCCCCGAGCTAATATCCCTGAATCACCCCGCCAACTTTATCTCTGATCTCCCGGCAATCCTCCGAGTATTGTCGTTATCGCCAGGCAGAACCTAGGGGAGGGGAGGCCAGTTAGTTATCTCCTCTCCTCCTCCGCAGAAGGCCCGGAGAGTCCCTCCCAGTCTCTCACCAGGAGTCGTTATAGCACAATACAACCATGTCCACTGCACAGAAAAAGAGATCTAGAAGCGGTTTGTTTTGCCTCTCCTCGTGTTGCCGTTTCCATTCAAGCAGACTTATCTAAGATCGCCAGGGTGCTGGACGTGTCGGAAGCGACACCAGAAATGCGATGAGACAAAGCCTTCGTGTGCCAATTGCCGCATTCGCGGCGTCCAATGTGGTGGCTACGATGTGCGCCTCGCCGACTTTACTGCCCGGAAGGGCGGTTTTGACGGCCAGATGGTATCCAGGATAAGGCGACTGGGCCGGCATGATGAGTCGAGGGACCGTAAAACGCCACGCAAAGAGGAGACCAAGTCCGAACTGCCGGCCGAGACAGACCCGAAACAATACGAGCCAGAGGAACCGTCCAGTGACCGTGGCGGCACCTCGCCAACATTTTCGGTTCTTTCTCTTGTAGGCGTGTCTCGGGATGCAGACATGTGCCCCGGAGGACCCTCAGTAACTGCAAAGGGCCCGAGCCCGCGAGTCTACATGGCAGACAAGGGAGATGCGGGGCAGCAAACTTGCGATGCGGGATCATCCGCATTCGGCTTTGAGATGCACGGCGTTGCTGAGCACGACAGTCTTGGCAAGGATGCTGATGGCTCCCCTTCGGAACATCTCCAAGAGGCGAGCATTACTTCCGATATATCACCACAGGCTTCCTACGATACAGTGCTGTTTGACTCGGAATCTCTGGCCTTTCATATCGATGTGTCGTCGTTTTTCAGTCTCGAAGGGGCGCTCCCAACGGAAACTGCAGACGGCGACGCATGTTTAGACTCAACCGCTCTGGACGCTTCCGATCCAGCTGGCTCGGACGTTTCAGAATTCCTAGCTACCGATTCCCCCGCGGTAGATGAAGAGTACCAGCCACTCTTTGATATATTAAGCAAATCTAGTTTACCGCAGACGCCTAGTGATCCTTTCGAGCAGTATTTATTCGCTCACTGTATGCTAGCATTCCATCTTGTGCGAGATCAAGCCATCATACATGGCTAACCGAGTTTGCAGATCTTGGCACTCTGTCCTACCGTCTCTATCCCGTCGCGAAGGCCCAGAACCCCTACCATGCTGTCTATGCTAGACTTGCTATGCGATCAGACCCGGTCCGAGACGCCATCCTGTTCGCCTCAGCTTTGCACTTGTCGAAGCTCGGCCGGCTGCCGGTGTTTGCCGTACAGCCATATCGGGAGACTATGAGAGAGTCGTTTCGTAAGGCCATTGTCGCAGACGACGACGACGAGTCACTTGCCGCAACTATCATTCTGACAATCGTATTTGATGTGAGTACTTGGGATCTTCGTTACTAGAGCATCGTAGCCAAATGTATATTTTGACACATTCTTTTATCCTGTAGTCAATTGGCACCGGCCTTGAGTCTTGGGGCACAAACCTTGTTGGATGCCGCCGATTGTTGCAACGAGTATTGTCCTCGAGCAAAGCCTTTAGACCCGAACTCGAATGCATGATCATGCTGTACAACTGGGCAGCTATTATGAGCCAGACCATTGTGAAGGATATCCAATCGCCCGATGTGCTCGAACAGCTAGTCTGCATCAACGATGGTACGTGTGACCTACCTCTACGGAAGTGTAGCCAGACAGCGAGCGCTGACCAGTCCATCCAGTCACTGTAGCAAGTCCAGATCCGTGCGGGGCCCTCCAAACGGTCGAGGGCGCGAATGGCCAGTCGCAATGGTGGCATAACCTACCGGACTACCAGATGTATGTACTTTTGCGGGAGGCAACGGAGTTGTCGAGAACACTGGACCGGTTGCGAAGCGAACCCAACCAGTCCACGAAGGAGGTGTTCCAGCTCATGCCATGCATATTCGATCTCGTGGAGAGGGTGAAGAGCTGGCGACCGGCAAACTCTGCCCTCGGTGAAGCACACACGTCTTCCATCGGCACTTCAACAACATCTGGAGACAGGGGATGCTCTGTTACGTCTACGACGAGCTCTGTCAAGTGAACTCGAGCGACAAACGGATCCAGGAGTGCGTAGAGGCGTCTCTGACGTCGTTCAAAACTCTACCTTGGCTCCAGGCGTGTCTCTTTCCGGTGTTCATAACGGCTGTACATGCACAGACTGAAGAGTCGAGGTCGTGTTTCGAGAGTGGTTTGATGCGGATGCACACAGGTCTGGCTTTCCAGGGCCCTCTATCCATCGCTTTGGCGCTGCGGAATGTTTGGGAGCAGGCCGATGCTAGTCAGACTCGGTGGAGGGAGACTCTGAAGGGGTTAGCAGTGGAACTCAACATACTCTTGTGACTGGCTCATTCAACTGAACTATTCTATTCCTGCCGGAAGAAGCCTCCTAATGAGTGTGCCATCGTGAATAAATTATGTCACTGTAGGCGAAGCATAAAACCAATTCAGGGATCAAATTGTTTATATATATCTATCCAGTCTATTACTATTTCACCTACCTCCACTCCCGTCTTTGCGGACTGTTCCATATTTACCTATGCATACACTCTATTTCAGTGCGCATTTAATTTAAACACCAAGTTAAACTCAAAAACAAGTAATTCAAATGGTTGCAATTTACTAAAGATTAAGCTAATTGTTAATTCCAAAAACCAAATGTGCTCCCAATAACCAAGGGCCTATGCCTTGGTCTCGACCTCGCGACCCATAAAGCTGCCATAGCTAAAGGGATCGGGCTTGCTGCCCAGAATCTCAATAGGGTCCTTCATATCCACATGGCCAAGGGCGGGGTGGCTGACGGAATAGCCAAGGAGGGCCTGGACCTCGGGCTCGTATTTGTCGACAATGTCTTGGTCCACGGCAATCCACTGGTTCTCGTCGGACCGCATGGTGCCGCGGGTCATGTGGCAGGAGTAGATGATTCTGCGCGTTGGGGGGTTGGTCTTGTTCTCGCCCGCACCGTGCCAGATGCTGCCGATAATGAAGACAGCATCGCCCTTGCTCATCTCGCACGTGGAGCAGAGAGAACGGTCGGCGGGACCGGTGATGGCACCCTCCGCCCACTTGTGAGAGCCGACGATGACCTGGGTCGCGCCGTTTTCGAAAGTTGTGTCCTGCACATCGTATTCATGGTTAGTGGCTAGACTTCAAACAGGCTGGAGTTGGACGGGTACATACAACACCAGCAACTAGCAAGCCAAGAAGGGAGCTCTCTCCACTCCCCGCAAGGTGGTCAAAGTGCTGCGCCATATCGTCGCGGTGGAGCTGCTGTGCGGTCGAGGGAGAGCCACGGTTAAAGGCCTCCGACACTGCGAGAATAGGGTTCGATACAACGTTGTATCTCTTTCCATCACGGTACACGGTACTGAGACAACCACCTTGTCAGCGGGAGTATCACCAAGAAGGGCACTCGAGAGTAGCGTCCTTTGCAACTGCACTTACGATTCCTCTTTTAATAGAGCCTTGGCAACTTCTCTGTATGTGGGGTGGTTGATGGCCTTGTGGGCGAAGGTGCGAGACTTGGCGGCGAAAGAGCTAGAAGGGCTGTCAGGCCAGGTTCATCCAGACGGTAACACGCAAGACGAAATTCCATCGCTTACCAGAGAGGGGGGTCGGTGGCATCGAACAGCTTTCCCTGGTATTGTCCGAGGGTCTTCCAGAATGGCTCTGCCTCAGCGTGGATCTGGTCGATAGTTTCGGGAGTGAGGAAGTTCTTGATGATGATGCCTCCATCGCGCTTGATCACGTCGACGATGTCTTGGATAGGAGCCGAGGCGTCCATCTCCACAACCTCAGGGTTGTGACCTTGGTGAGGAGGGTTTGGCATCTTTGAAAAAAAAAGTTGGTACTAAGTTAATGACACAAAAAAAGGTATGAATGTGGTAGTATGAGAAGTCGACTGGAAAGATGTTTTTGATGTACAATTAAAGCCTGTTGGGAAGATCGATACCGGCAGAGTGTGAGTTGGCGTATTAATATAGTTGTAGGGTCCGGGGGTATAGGGATATGATTACTGGTTGGGGTACGGGTTGCAGTGATCTGTGATCCGATCTGGTGCTAACCGAGCTTTCAGTGCGCCGTTCGGCGACCATAGCACACAGCATAGCCTACGTCTCGCTTTGCCTGTCATAGCTATCTGATAAGACACACCTGGAGGGCAAGTTGGATTGTGGCAAGGTCTACTATATAATCCCAAATAGGCCTCCTTTGCCGCGCTTAGTGCGGGTTGGGGGGATCGGCCTGAGAAGTGTGATAAGCGGCTCCGAGGTTATCGCTACTGGTTTTACAGGCTTATCGGCATCGTACTCACAGCCGATAGTACTGCAACACCGGCGATACTACCGGTTCCGAGGAAGTAGACTCCCGCAGTGGAAAGCGATACTATTCCGCGTGTATAGTCAATCTCTCAGGCGATGTCGCCACTTCTTCCCCATGACAGCCAGGCCAGGTTAAACTCCTGCGACACTTCTTTCTAGGCTTTAAACCCGCTTGCCGCGACCAAGGTTTAGTATGTCCTGATTTCCACATTCAACGCATACCTCCTTCTTCCATCCATTACACCATCCTTCCACACCATATCCTTGTCTCCTACTCATCACACACATCTTCCTTCCTTTCTCTAGTCTCTCCTCGCATCCAGTCATACACCATGTACCCCGTCAAGCGCTTTTCCCCCAACGCCGACCCTCTGCTGATCCAGCAATACTTGAAGGCAGATGGCGTGGTCATCATCGAGGGCCTTGCCATGCGTCAGGTGCTCGACGACGTTCTCTCCGAGCTGCCTGCTGAAGCAAAGACCCAACCCGAGACGTTCGGTCTCGCCTCCAAGAGCAAGACTTTCGCCACAGAGCTCATGATGCAACCGGTCTACCTTGACCTCGTGCGCCGTATTCTTATCGACGCCTGCATCATCTACTACGAGCAGGACAGGACCGTGTCTGTTGCCGAGCCCCAGCTCTCCCAGGCGTGGTCCATCGCCGCCCAGCCCGGATCGTCCGGCTGGGGTCTGCGGAGGCAAGACGAGTGCCACCACGTTAAGCACCCCGCAAAACGGGAGGCCGACTTTGGCATTCTTTACGCTGCGACCGACATCACCAAGGAGAACGGCGCCATCAGGGTGGCTGTTGGTTCCAACAACTGGCTGGACACTCGCGACCCCAAGCCCGAGGAGGAGACTCTCATTGAGCTGCGCAAGGGCGACGCCCTTCCCTGGTAAGTATATCCTCTCACTTATGTCAGAGTCCCTATATATATAAATACTGACATCAAAAACCATAACCAGCACTGGGTCAACCTTCTACGGTCAGGCTCCCAACACCACCGACACGCCCAGTATTCTCCTAGGCGCCTTTTCCACGCCGGGCTACCTCCGCCAGCAAGAAAACCAGTACCTTGCTGTTCCCTGGGAGGTTGCCGAGAAGTACCCCCTCGAGGTGCAGAAGTTCCTTGGCTACTCCATCAGCCGGCCATACGGAGGATCCATCGAGCACATGGAACCCTACGAATACCTGAAGGTCAAGAGAGACCCCACGAAGTACGTTTGCGGTGATATTATTTAATGGGCGAGGAGATGGAGAGTGTGGCAACGGGCATCCGGCGGCCGTAGAGTGGGGATATTTACGCCATTGTCCCAGGCATCAGAATTCAAGCGAGCCAGTTGTTATGTCTGTATATAAATGAGATATGTCATTGAACTTTTGATCCCCGTCATTGCGCTTTCATATTCGGTGCATCCTCGCCTGGTTACTCGCTCCAGCTATTGAATACTGCGCTCAAGAGGAGCGGAGGGCATATTAGACAACCGAAACGATAGATGAAGGATATCTTGCATGTTACTTAATATTGTAGATTTGTGGATTGCAGATGAGCCAAGCCTCGGAACATGACTTGGTGAGCGGAAACCAAGTCATCTAATTCAACCAGCTTTAAGCATTCGCTCGTAAGCATCATCCATCTCTCGTCCTGCGCTCCACGTTTTTCTGGATTCCAGTCTAACGTTTATCTTTGCCCAGTTCTCAACTTCTTTCCAAGATCCCATCACGAACTAAACCTACTTGATCCGAACCCACCTGATCCGATGGAGCCGATCTCTCAATACAGCCATGATGTCAGCATCATTGGCCCTGCCACGAAACCCAAACCAACCGGCATACCGCAATTCTGTTGCCCGCCATTATTCTCTACGCCAAGTCTAAGAAACATGCAAACTATTCAAGGCAATCACACTCGCCGCTTGCACAAACCCGCCCACAAGCCCAATCTCAATCGACTCTCTTGAGTCTCGTCCAGTCCCTACGGGGGTAATTCCTACCAGCTCGAGTTGTTCTGTCCAAGTCGCTCAAGCTAGTCAACCTATGCATTTGAGCCCCTACGATGATCGAGACCTACAGTCGGCTAGTTGACAGGGCTGACCCCACTTACGCCTGTGTCAACTGGCTGGCAAAAGATGTCCCAAGTGTTGCAGCCGCGCAACAACCGCCGTAGGTCCCCTTATGCAAGTTTCTGCCACAGCTGACTCTTGCACGAGTAATTGAGCCATTATGAAGACGGAATCTTCAAATCGAACGGTAACGTCTTCGATCCGCACTATCACGTCGAGAAGGCAATGACTGAGGTAAATATCTTGCTCGCCTGTTGTTTTCTTTATCCCCACTGGTGCTATCTGCTCCATCCGCCTTATTTCCCATCCCTTTATCATCCAATTAACATCATCCTCGGCCTTTATTTGGGCTTGCTAGTCTTCCTACTAGCAGCATCACTCATTAGCTGCGTAAACCGATTTGAAAATTTCAAAAAAAAAAAAAAAAAAAAAAAAAAAAAAATGGCATTCTCCTCCCGGATTCTTGCGTCTACCTGCTGCTGCCTCTTCATCTACATTGTATTTGCAGCACTAAGGTAAGTAACAGCTCCAAAGAGGCCTTTTCGCGTCTGGGACTCCCTTATTCTGTCCCGGGTTGGCGGGGGGATAACCGCACCGCTCGACAAATTTAATGTTATCATAGAATGATGCGGCTTGATTGTTTCAGTTTTGTCCATCTCTTTGCTTCGGTGACGAATCGAGGAAATTTTGATTGTTGGTTAGGCATGGTGGTGTCAGGATCTAGGTTCGCGTTGGAAGATTAGGTTGTAACTTAGGAAAGGGAAAGAAACAGGATGGTTAAACCTACAGTAATACCCATTCTCCTATTTATATAAAGGCTCGAATGTCTGTTTGCCTTTACCTTCCTGAAAGTCTATGTCATGGAGTCGTTGGCTCCCTGGTCTTGCTTCCTCTGCGAGATAGCGTTACCTATCCGTTTGCAGGCCACCTGATACTGAATGACGCATGTTGTCTATATAACTTACCACTCTCGTCCGTCCCATCGACGAACCATTTCGATATATTCTCTCACTTTCATTCTCACCCTCACTCTTACTTGCTCAACATTAACCTCCACTATCAATCCGCCCGCCCAAACCATGATCCAGTCCTGTCTAGCCTCACAAGTAGTGACAGAGAATTCAACACCCAATTTCCAGCCACTTGTTCTTAGGGGGAGATGAAGGACGAAAAGAAGCTCTTACGCGACAGCCAGAAGCGGTTCAATGCCATACGGAACCATGTCTACTATTACCGAGGGCTTCCCGACCACACGGGGAAGACTATCCGGGACAATAAAAAATACCAAGATGCGCTTTCTCAACTCTTTCTAGACCTGTCCGCCAAGCTAGACACTCTGAGGCTAGAAGAGAAACAAGGAAGGGAAGCGATTAAGCAAGAAAGGAAGGTCTTGGACCTCGCAGTGCAACATATTTCTATGGCTGGAGCGCTGATCCAGCATCCCCGTCGATATAAGTATAGACAAATGTCTCTCCACGACCAGTTTCGAAAATCTCCTGAATTTTACGCCGAGCTCGGGAAAGTCAAGGAACGTAAAGCCGCGTTGAAGGCACTGATTTCAGAGGCACGGAGGCTCTCTTGCAAGACTTCAAAGTTCAATGTGCCCAGTTAATGAGGGAATATGCCGGCATCAGTGATCCTGTCGACAAGGATCATCCTAGCGAAGATGAAAAACAGGATGTGAGAGACGAGAAACGCGAACTGGTGGAGGACGGGAATCAGGAAGACGAGATTAAGAAAATTGACGGATCCGTGTGCTCTCGGGGGTCGGATACCCCTCGTACCTCTTGTGAATTTAGTTAGGATCTTGGCCAGACGTCTTTTCTCCGAAAACCCCTTGCATCAAGCAAGCAGCTTAATCGCCGTGTCAAGTACAAAGGTGGTGAGATCCAGGTCAAGTAGTTGCAACGGTTATGATGACGAGACGGGCTGAGTGCCATTTCCACTTAGCACTGGATGTTTGGGAAGACATCATCAATGCGTGCAATTAGAACTTAGAATACGCTTTAGTCTCCAAACTCCTTCAATTCAAAGTCAGTTAAAGAACACGAAAAGAGCGATTAAGCTCCATCCGCATCATCGCCAGCTTATGCTTACCCCGAAAATGCGTCATTGAAGATGAGGGGCAGCGATGAGCTATTATGGGATTTAAAAGTTTAAAAAAAGGAAAAGAAAAAAAGAATTATCGGGATCTGCGTTGAGCCAGCCTACCGTGGGAAAACCTGATCACATCCATGGCTCAACCTGGGGTCGAACCAGGAACACCTCTAGCGCTTTCCACCAGCTGCCTAGAGGAGAAAGGTTTTAACCAGCCAGCTTAGCTCGCAGATCCCTTGATGACACTTCAATTTGTTCACTGCTATGTAGTTTACATGGTTGTAGGTGAGGCGAGGTGGTTCCTTCCTCTGGAGATAGACCCAAGTCGCTCCTTCCTCACTAGGTGTATCACGGAGTTTTGAGTTTGACACTAACAGTTGTCTGCACCTTCACCTTCGATGCGGAGAAGCTCTCGAACGCGACATCTCTCTCCATTACAGGCGATCGCGTATTTTGATCGAGCCTCGCATTGCTCCTTTGTTAAGGGGTCTCTAAGCTGGCCTCAGTAACATCTTTGGCCTGCTCAGTGCCGGTCCGCAAGTAACCAAGTCAGAAGGCATACCACAGCTGTGCGCAAGCATATGGAGTCGTCTGGAATTACCAGCACGCCACACCTCCTTGCGGAAGATTAAGGGGGTGATATGTTCCTAGTTTCAATGGTTGATCAGAAGGGGAAAGAATGAAGCGTCCATTCGGATCTTTACTACCCACAAGCCTTCGACTCATCTCGGATTTAGGAGAAAAATAAGCTACTAAACCACGCAAATCTTGTCAATTTTCGTATGTTATTAGATCTACAGAAACCTTGAATATGCTTGGATGGATCAAAGGAGGCAGACCAGTACGTGGAATGGTGTGCGAGGGTCCCAGTTCGGACAAAATGATCGATCTTAAAATACATCACAAGAGGTTAAATCCCGACTCCCGACAAAGGCAGGAGCGCAGAAAAACCTTATCGCACATTACTACTTTAAACTCAATCTAAAATGGGCCAATAGTAAAATTCGAAGTACATATTTTCATCCTGCTTCTCGTCATTCAGATCGGCACGCGTGGCCGAGTCGGGGTCGGGTCCTGAAGGTTACCCGATCCCCCGGATTGTTATCAGACCTCACACGCGGGACTCATGGGCGATGCGTCAAGGTGTCTCGGATACTTCGCGTTGGTCGTCGCCGAATCGACCCATTACGCGTCATAGACAAACCCCGATCGGACATGATCGCCCGGCGCCAATCCAAGGAAGGAGCGTTCCAGGTTCCGGCTCAAAAGCCGATGCCTCAAAATCCGACAAAACCCGCCAATCAGAACTCGTATCCTTGTCGTATTTTCGAACACCATCTCGACCAGCTCTCCTGACTTCTCTCTCGTTCTGCGATCTGAGATGTATATATATTCGGCTCCTCTTTCGCTCGTAGGGCTTAGTTTCTTTTCGTCGATTTCATACCACTTCATTCTTCAGACATAATAATTGAAGAATAATTACCCGCCCAGATCGAAAAGCAGTACAGTCAACCAACACTTTGTCGACTGCGACACATCTTACAATACAGTCTCTAGTCATCACCAGATCATGTCTTTTCCGCGCTGTTTCTTAAGAGAGAGACGCATCACGCCCGCCACCCTCGTAACCGCAGCTGTCGTCGGCGCCGTCGGCTTCTACTCCTTCCGACGCGTTTTCACTTCCGACGCCCACGCCGAAAGCCCTCGCAAGATCTGTCCCCTGCAGCAACAGGGCGAGCAGAAATCCATGGCAGGACCCTTTGGACGTCTTGGATTCACCACCCTTCGGTTGCAGAGCGTCCAGGTGGTGAACCACAACACCAAGCGCCTACTCTTCGAACTTCCTGAGTCGAGTTCGCTAGCTCGGTTGCCCTTGACCTGTAAGTATATACCTAGACGAGGCCTGCGATTTGCCATGGAGCTGAATTGATGGGATGCAACATTGCTGACACCATGCCCTTTCCAGCCTTCATCCTCACTTTCCACAAGCCAGCGGGAAGCATATTCCCCGTCATCAGGCCCTATACACCAATTAACCGCCAAGGTAGGTAAAAACCTGTGAACTAGAGTGCGAAGAATGCTGAAAACTAACAAATACGTCTAGATGATACGGGCCACATCGAGTTTCTCGTGAAGAAGTATCCCAACGGAAGAGCCAGCGGCCACATGCACTCGCTTAAACCTGGCGACTCTCTATCCGTCGCAGGCCCCATGCGCGGATACTCCTGGAGAGTCAACGAGTGCGACCAAGTCAACCTAATCGCCGGTGGTGCCGGCATCACGCCTATCTACCAGCTGCTGCAAGGTATCTTGAACAACGAGGAGGAGAAAACCAAAGTGAAGCTCATCTTCGGCGTCAACACCGACCAGGATGTCCTCCTGAAAGATGAGCTTGATGCCTTTGAGCGTCGATTCCCTGATCGCTTCAAGGTCGTGTACACCATTTCGAAACCTTCCGGAAACTCGCCGTTCAGGCAAGGCCGCGTGACGAAGGAGCTTCTGAAGGAGGAGCTTGTTGAGAATGGAAAGGTTTTCGTTTGCGGACCGCCCGCTATGGAAGCGTCGTTGATGGGGACCAGAGGTGTGTGGGGAAAGAAGGGAATTTTGGAGGAGTTGGGATACTCTCGCCAACAGATCTATAAATTTTAGACAGGGCAAACAGAGGTAATGAAAGAAAGGGGAAACGGGACCGGGAATCAGAATTGAACAAAGGAAGGACAAAAAAGGAGAAAAACAAAGGAAAATGAAAATTATAGAACAGAAGAAACAAGGATCAAGAGATCTTTCATGTACTACCATATATCGAAATTGCATGTAATATTTAGAGAGATTCCCTCACACACACGTCTTGGGGCTTCGCTTTTGGGATACCTTGTTTGGAGGAAGAGTCGGTCCGTGAGGGGGAGGATGCCAACCCACGTTGCGCAGGGATGCTATTCAGGGAAAAGAGCCAGGTGCCAGAAAGGGCTACCAATGCGCTGAAATTACGTCGTTTGATTCAGCTTGCATCTCTGTGCCTTTAAAGCTTGTCTTGGCGGCTCTTGGCACCACTCGAGATCTAGGCACCGTTCAGCCTCGATCTTGGAGTCCTCCAGAATTCACAGGCGATATCTTCGGTCTGTCCAACATTAGGACCCCCAAATCCAACGAACATGGATTCTCACAAGTTTGTGCCTCGAGATTCTCAAGGCTCTGCTTCGATCATGGATCCATCTCAGAATACATCGACGGATGGAAATGTCTCCCTCCTTGAAACCCTTCCATTACAGATCGTGGCTTCGATTCTCTCCTTGTTAGGCCGTCCCCCTGACATCCTCTCCGCCATTCTGTCTCATCGTGTATTCTACGGAGCTTTCAAGCAGCACCAGAAATCGATCATATCGGACCTTGTCAAGAATATGATTCCACCGAGCTTGTTAGCGTACGCCCTGCTACTTCTTTATTCCTCCAAAATCAAGCCCCATGACGCCGATGGAGTCACAGCATTTCTAGGGCAATACCGAAAAGGAATGTCCAGCACTGAAGTGACATGCCGTCTCTCGAATCTCTCCCACTCCGATGTCTCTATCATCATCAAGAACTGGGCAGCAGCTCAGGCTCTCTGCAAACTTTATGCCACGGAAGCCCTCCGAGAACTAGAGGATAGGACAGGGATCAAGCATAGCGGAACACTGTCCACAAACGAAGAGAAGCGGATTTACCGTGCCATTTTCCGATACCAAATCTTGTGGAACCTATGTGATAGCCAAACGCCCCACGAAGCGGCGTTTGAAGAGCCAATCGATGCTTTCTTTGCCACTCATTCACCTTGGGTGAACAAGCAGCTGAGCCATTTCTTCTACTTCATAGAGGTAAAGACACACGACGGTAAGCTAAACCACTCCGCAACACTAATTGATGCCTACGCGCAGTCTATTCTTGGAATTTTCTCTGAAGTGCATCGTAAATCATACTTACATTGTCCCAATTAGCATTTATGGAGATGGCAACTTACGACATAAATTGGGCCGGCTGCTTCGATTGGATTCCCGGTCCGGCGGGAGTCAACGACTTTCCAGATCTTGTATGTTTACGCGCTCGAACACGACCGTCATCCCCGCCACCCGCTTCGCATGCTTCGAACCAACTGACCGAAAACTCGATAGAAACGAGGCACGGACCTGTCCTTCCTCGTAAAGTTGTGCGAAGCGAAGTCTTACAGCGAGTGGAGAACCCTCATTCAACCTGGTTCCTCTCCGGCAGCGACCACGATGAAAAGGGGAAGATGCATGACATTCATGTCCTCCGCTCCTCCCCTTTCCTACTACGCATCTCACCAGTCGCCTACTGACGATCAAACCACCGCCGAGAATGAGGAACCTCTACTGGAAGACTTCAGCGGCGTGGAATTCCCGAAGGACGACTTCGACGACAGAGTTGGCTCGAGAGCATTTGACATCTGGCACCGAGGGCGTCTCCACGTCAATCCGGGCACAGGCATAATAAGGCATGTGTACGACCATAAGTATCAAGGATTCGGCTACGTTATGTGGGACTACGAAGGGCTCGAGACCAGTGCAGTGCATGAAAAGATTATAACAGCGAAGCCTCCTCTTGTCCCCCATTTTACCAGCTCGTTTCAACGCAGGCTTCAGCTTGTCCACGATACTCTCCAGGAGAGACGCGATATTCTGCGCTTAGGCGGTCGTGGGTATTGGAAGGATAGGGATTTTAGCAGGGTTGATGGACTATCTGAAGAGGACATCTCGTTCTTGGAAGAGGTGTGGGAGGACCGCAAAAGACAGAGTCTTGACTAGAGTTTGGGGGCTACTGAGCAGACGTAGGAATGTTCTCGAAACAGTAAATCAATGCAAGGATGTTAACCTTTATTTTCCTTTGAAATACACAGGGTTGGCCTATTCATATGAAGCACTCTACAAACCCGAATGGCTAGCAGCGGGTCTGCCCGACGATCTACACTCTCACTCTTCGATGGCTCTCGACCGACAGGCAGTATAATGCCTCTTACATATCGATGGTGGTAAAGTGGATATGCGCCTTTAGTGATATTAACAAGATTCCACGCCTTGGTCCAGCGCGTGGAAGAGGATACAAAATACCAGATTGGAGTTCCTGGGACAGAGTAGTAAACCCGGTATTCCAGAAGAGGCTAAATACAAGTCGATGGAGAAAGTCAAAAGTGAATCCCGTTTCTGCGTGGCAGTTTCTAAACGGAAAGAGCAGCGTCATGAACCTTGGGAACAAAGAGAAATCGAGGAATACATCGTCAGCCGCTGCTGGAGATCCCAGCCAAGCCATCTTGGTGAAGGGCACTGCATCAGCCATGAACAGCACCTTAACGCCCTCGCCGGCTCAGGAATTCTTGAATTCATATGCAGAACACCGGCAATTGGAGGCACATCCTGCCGGCTAAGTATGATTGTGCGGGGAGGATTTATTAAAGACGTGCGGATAGATATTAAGACTAACTCAAGTTGAAACTTGCGAGATGACTCAGCTGGCCAAACAACGTCACTCGACGGCTTCTCGAGAATATTATAGTTTATGGGACCAGGAAGAAGCATCTCAGCTTGGAGGTAGAAGGCGGATCGCGAGGGACAAGCGACAGTTATTAGGTGTTCCTGGGATTAGATATACCAGCTTCAACCATGTGGTGATTACGACTTCTGGAACCTGGGGTGGTAAGAACTCTAAACTCGAGTCGGATTGATGGAAACGAAGAGTGCAATATAGAAATAGTCTTTTAGAAATGACGGAGGGAGTTGAGTTTGATCGTTGGACTTGTGTTGAGATCCTTAGCGAACATGCTTCGCTCGAGATATTCAAATCTCTTCCCAAAGATGATGTCTCCAGGTCCATCGCTACCCTTGTTTACGTTCTAAACACCTCGATAGAGTCCGCACACTTCCTGACGCTCGAGGACCGAGAAACAAGGATTCACGGTCGACTGGGGATATTAAACAGAAATAAAACATGAACAGATGACAGCTCCCCTCGTCCCCGGTTCTGGGGAAACGTCAAACGGTAGGACATAGGCTATTCTTTGTCGATCTTAGACTTGATATTCCTCGTACCCCAATCCCGGTCGTGATTCCACATGCATGCATAGAAGATGATCTACAAAAGACAGCTATTAACAGTCTACACTAATAGAAGTGCTGGAAGGACAGGCATGATATACGATGCTGAATGTTGAATCAGGACTGATCCTCTCATTTCGCTCCTAGGAAGGCTAATCTCATGTTGATATCGGGGGAGAGTCAGTCTATCTAACAACAACTCCATCGCAATCTCGAGGTAGGGTGGGGTAAAGTGTTTCCCCAACTTGGGATGATGCTTTCCTTGACATTTGATACGCCAACATGGTCGGTGTGGCAGGCTGGGCTCACCCTCGACGATTTCTTCCACACCCATGATCCCTGCAAAACGAAATGTTTCGACATTAACAGTTCCACTCCCTTTAACAAGTCGTCTGTTCGGGCTGATACTGCGGGGCAAAATGTCGTCTTAATAGTGAAGGAGACCGATTCTTTTCCGTTCTTGAAAGGGCTTCATTCTTGACATGGACGTGGTTGATCGAGTCTTGATTAAGAGAGCCAGGATCAAGGGAGAAGCAATGGAAGCCCCAGTGTGACGGTCAATGATATGATATATCTAGTTCCATAAATATAAGATGACGACGACGAATTTTTTCTCCAATTTTCCATGCTTGGCACCTTAGACGGGACTTGGATAAATCCAAATGCAGTATGTAAAGTGGATATCAAACGTTCCTTTTACCCAGGTCACATGGCGGATATATCGAGGATCAAGGATTTGAGCATATTATATGTTTGCACCTGCCATGTACAGGATGAAACGGAGCGATGAGCGATTTGAGAAGGTGGAAAAGGAATATCTTCGACCAATATCAGATACATCTCATTTTCTGCTCATTTGTCTCGCTCACCAATGCCTTGTTCACCATCTTGACATGCTCGTGTACTTAGATCTAATACTCCTACAGTAATAGAGTCCCTCCAACCCTATTTCTATCAATTCCATGCTTGCATCCGGTGGCTGACGGGTGGTCCCAGCACGATAGGTCATGAAGGCTCCGGAAAAAGTCAAATGACCCAATCTAAGAACCTGGTTTATGTTTAATAAATTCTCCGCACACACACAAACCCCCCCCCCAGCTTTGGAGTTCTCCCGCTTGATGGGGAATTCCTTCCGAGCCAATTCTTCCAGGACGCAGAACCTACCCCAAAATCACAGAAAACGGCCCTCTGCTGGACGTTGTTTCAGCCTTGGTATTGCTCTTGGCGCTGTTTATCTCCCGAGGAGCCGAGACCGTAGGCTAACATTATCAGAGGGACGAGGACTCTGCCGGGAGAAATGCCGTCCTCCGCATCATGCAACACCTCCCTCGGTGGACCTTCTATCACATTGGTGGAGTGGGGGCGGTTAGTCTTGATTCTTCCGCCCCCTCCATTTCTCCCGGAGTGGCGTCGAATCGAAGACTTTCTGTGCAGGCATCCTATAGTCTAGAAGGAGCGGGAGATGGTTCAACCATGTGGGGTTACCGGACGTGGATATATATGAATGACTCGCAAGGGCCTGTCGAGGGTCCAATGTAGCCGGATGAGAGCGAGGTGGGGATAGAATGAGCCGGAGTATTATATCAAAACCCTTGGAGCTGTAAGTGGAGTCGAAGAAAGAAAATAGGCAAACTGAGAAAGGTATATAAATCCTCCGCCGCAACCAGGAAGAGCCCGCCTCTTTCCTGCGTTCACTAAGAACCCCCGTCTTCTCTTACCCAAAGCCGTGTCTGTTGTCTACCGTAGGCATACATACAACCCCCCCATACACATAGACATCCCAACATGTTCTACTCTACTCTCGCCACGGTTTCCTTGGCCATCACCGGCGCCATCGCCTCGCCGGCCGCCTCGCCCTTCGATCTCATGAGGAGGCAAGGCATCACTCCCAACTCGGTCGGCACCCACGATGGTTACTACTACTCTTGGTGGTCCGACGGCGCTTCCCCCGTCACCTATACCAACCTTGCGGGCGGCTCTTACAGCGTCCAGTGGCAGTCTGGTGGCAACTTGGTCGGTGGAAAGGGTTGGAAGCCCGGGTCGGCTAAGAACATTACCTACTCGGGAACCTGGACTCCGGTCAACAACGGCAACTCTGTAAGTCCCTCTAGATGGTTGAAAAAGTAGAAGAAGAGAAAGAAGGAGATGGAGCGTTTTGTAAGGGGAATGTGATAGCGTTTTGTAAGGGGAATGTGATAGCGTTTTGTAAGGGGAATGTGATTTGTTACAGCACGAATGCTGACCCTATCCCCCCTTCCCCTAGTACCTCACTGTCTACGGCTGGACCCGTAATCCCTTAGTCGAGTACTACATTATCGAAAACTTCGGCGAGTACAACCCCGGAAGCTCCGCCACGCCCAAGGGCACCGTCCAGACGTCGGAAGGCACGTATAATCTCTTCCAGAGCACGCGTGTACAGCAGCCTTCCATCGAGGGAACCTCCACATTCAATCAGTACTGGGCCATCCGAACCGAGAAGCGCACCGGCGGCACTGTTGACACTGGTATCTTCTTCGATGCTTGGGAGAAGGCCGGTATGCCTCTCGGCACTCATGACTACATGGTCGTCGCTACCGAGGCTTACAGGAGCGCTGGTAGCTCTCACATCACTGTTGAGTCTCCTCCTTGAATGGCCTTGTTGAGATAAGCTGTCTGGTTGCCTGAATCGGCGTTCTTTATTCATGCACATGAACGAGTAACGAGAGGAACTTATGAGACGCTACGTTGCGTACACGCGGTGGAGAAAACTTGTATTTAGGATAACAGGAGGAGAGCAGCTTATTTTGTCTTGTACATATTGAGATATCTTGAGCGTTATATTTATAAGCCGCCCTAGGCCCGTTGAACATGGTATTTGACCGGGGTGGAGTTGGACTTGTTGACTCTCAAAGTCTCAATAGTGCTACGGTGATTGTGTCTGTTCATGTCGCCATAATGGCGTTGGTCAAAGCTGTCTCCATATGGGAGGACGCGAATCCCGGGGTCCAAGCGTTGTTTCTATATCTCGGCCTTAAGCATAAACCTCATGTCAATGGAGGATTAAGGCATTTGCCAATCGGACTGAACCTGGGAAACGGAACGAACAGAACCAGGTCCCAATGCTTGCTTGGTAGTACCCTCGGGCACACGCTTGCACAACTAAGTTCAAAAACACAATCCGGCTGGTGTACTTCAAAATTCAACTCCATATAAAGAGGGCTTACTCGCTCTTCTTGGAATGTGCTTCCAAGCTCAATGATTGAGACATTTTCAACTTCGGTCAAATTGGACGTGATGGGGCAGGACTGGAAGGTACGATGGGAAGGGTCAATGTGGTCGACAGCTCCTTCCACCATCCGCCACCCCAAAATGAGCATAGCAGCCTCACAAGGGATAATTCAGCAAGACTTTCTAACCGGGCAGCTCAAGCAGAAATGCGACCGTTGAGAGAGGGCCTAGCAGTATCAGACATTGGAGCGCTCAATGGCCAGAGCAATGAGCGTGGTTCGGGAGTAGCGATCCTCACCGGGATGCTCTGAACTAATTTATATTTTTTACATTTTATTTTATACGTTCTCACCTGAACACCAGAAGGGAGAAAAAAAAATCTTGCACGTATGATGAACGTTTTGTCGACTTTTCCATTCTTTTCTTTTCTTTTCTTCCGGTCTGAACGCCCTTCTCGACATACTACATCGTCGGCTGTTTCCGTGAGATGTTCCTCTCAAGATTGCTGTTCGAGATGTCGTCGTTGGCTTCACATGAATGTAGACGGGATTAGTCAGACCGAGGATATCAAGCGGTTCGTTTGCAATCTCGCCAAGAGCTGCACTCTTCGGCGAACAGCAAAAAGGCCGTTGAGCCTAGGTCGCTAAGACGGGCGTGCCGGATGAGCCCCGTTGGAGGGGCGGATGGGTCTGGGATTCTGGATACGTTTCTCGGCCCATTCTCGATTGAATCTGGCGCCAATGTTGGGTTGGGTAAGTTTCGTGTTCGAGAGGACGGATGGGTCCAAGTGCCGAGGTAGGGCTGGTCTAATACTGGTTGTTAGACTTCGTATGACGCAGTTCGAGCGTGAAAGCTCAAGGGCATTTTGCCAGTTTCCGAAGTAGGAGTGTACAAGTCGTTTGCTGACGGTCTTCGGGTTTTCGCCGTTCATTGATCGACGATTGGGGCTCATGTCCTATGGGGGAAAAGGCCAATGACGATCTGCACTGGCATTTCGATCCGTCGATGAGAGGCTGCACGCTATGTTCCTTTCCAGAGTAACATTCGCACTCTGAGACCCCAGTAAGTTACAGGCACTAATAATATCAATTGACCCATACCAAGAAACCTCCCTGCTTGAACATGGGATATAATTCCCCCCAAAAAGCTAGCCAAGCTCGGATCAAACGGCACGGTTCTTGGAGATTTCGAGGTTACGTCAAACCAAGCTCGGGGATACCCGACCGACCAGGCCAGGTGCAGAAGGGCACAAAGGAGCCACTCAGAATTCGTGGCGACGGGACGGACGGTGCCGCAAGGAGTCTAGCCAGCTGTCACAGGAGACTGGCTGGGGACCTCTGATCGTCCTGACGCGAGGGCTTGGCAAACCGGCAGGGGGTTGCTCACTGGAGTCATCACGGTGAACCGGTTGGCTGCTGATTGGGCTGATGGGGAACATACTTCGTAGGTGCAGTGTTTCCAGGGGCGGCACGGACTGGGGACGGGTCAGACGAATTGATGAGTTGGTGTGACCCTATGCCCCTCGACACGATGCGATGTCAGCCATGCTACGCGGCCAGGCCAGACCACGGAGCAGCCCCCAACAGTTACGAGGGGGCGGCTGAAGGATCAATGATGTTTAGGGGGATGCAGCTATGCAATGGTGCCCACGCTCGCGTATCAGGATTCAAGGGTGGCTTGGAGGGGAAGGACTTAAGGCTTGCTTTCTCAAACGGGCCCTGCTTGGTTACAACTAGCGGCCTTATGGGGCAGATCAAGAGACCCTGGCCCGATGCAGTGGGCAAATAGTGGGGGAGGACGCGCGTCGGGGCCCCAGCTCAAGCAAAAAGCACCGAAGAAGGTGGAAGAGTGAGAATGAATGGATGGAACATTGAACATTGATTCATTCCAGATGGAAGACATCCACCAAATATTACTTGCAACGCTGCGGATCGATATCGGTTGGATGCCTCCCAGAGTCGCAAAGAGAGCCTCCATCTTGAGCCGGGGAGCCGGAGAGCCGTCCTTTATTGCGCAGGCTAGCAATGTGCGAAGTAGTTCAAAAGTCAACAAGTGGTCCAAAACCTAACAACTGATACTCATCTAGCTTGTACTCGGTAGCAACCATTTGGAAGAGCCCCGTTGTTGACGATTCATTCCCACGAGGCCCTCGGCTCTGGTCCTATTTTCGTCAAGCGCCGTCAATCCACGACTTCGGCCAACTCTCTAGTCAGTCTTGGCGGACATTCGCTTGCAATTGTTCGCTGTGCTGTACATCAAATACAGACGTGGATGACCATGTAGTGCAGTCGCCGCAGTGTACTTGGTAGAAATTGGTCCTCGTCCTTGGCGTCTGGAGTGATTCCATCCGTTCGCATCCGTCCACATCCGTCTCAACGTACATGTTTTCGTTCTTGGCTGCCCTGCGCCTTGCTCCTTCCTCGTGTCTTGTCTTGTTTGTGAGGATAAACGATAAACCCAAATAAGCCGAGTCGCCGAATTTCCTCTTTCTCTCTCTCTCTCTCATTCAAACCGTTCCGGCTTCCCTCCCAGTTTGCCTGGTTCTATTTTCGTCTCTGTTTTCTCACCGTGGTTTTTCTCTTTCCAAGTCTCGACCTTATTACCTACTTTCTTTCCCACTTCACACTTCATCCCAAATTCTTCCACCTCCAGCTTGATTCTCGTCGAGTCCATCCCAAACAACTCCCTTTCCTCTCAACAACCTCGCCTTACGATTTACAATCGAAATGTCTCAGCAAGGGTTAGTTCTCTTCATCCTGTCGATATTGGTCCTCTTCGGTGAAGTTCCACTGGCCTTGAGGCTCTCCGAGGGGTCTTCAATCCTCTCACGCCAAATCCCCAACGCGACATCCCCGCCGAGTAATCAAGATCATTAATCAAGAAGCTCAACTGACAATCGATTTTCGTTTCGCGTTACAGTTACTATCCTCCTCCTCAGGGCGGCTACCCTCCCCCGCAGGGTGGCTATCCTCCTCAGGGCTACCCTCCTCCTCAGCCTGTGAGTATCCAGCTTCGAAAGCTGCCGCTGTCTCTCTCGTCTCTTTCGAGATTTTGAAGCCTAACTCTTTCTCTCTCCGTTCTAGATGCAATACCAGCAGGCTCCTCCTCCTCAGGAAAAGAGCCACGGCTGTCTCTACACTTGGTACGTTATCTCTTTTTTTCGCGAAGCGACAATTAATACCTTCCCGCCCCGCCGCCCATCGCGCGACAAGCGATTTCTACCGCGAAACCGGGTCAAATGCTGACAACCTCGCCCGTCATTTAGTATCGCCGCGATGTGCTGCTGCTGGCTCTGTGGTGAGACTTGCGAATGCTGTCTCGAGTGTCTAGATTGCTGTTGCTAGTCCTCTCCATAACCTCGACCCCCCGCCGATGACTCCAACCCTCTTTTCTACGCCGCCCGACCCTGATACGAATCCAGAAGGGCAGGTGGAAGAAAAGGGTACCACATAGCGTTCCTGCTAAAACAAACAACAAAAACATTCCTTTGTCTCTCGATGATGAATTGATCTGGTTCCGATGGCATTTTTCAATTGGTCGTGTTTATTCTGGGGCTAGTGATAATACCTTTTTTACCTCATGCTTCTTTTATTTATTTCTCTCTTAACACGATGATTTTCGATTCTACTCTCTCTCCTCTTGCCGATCCTTGACCGATGAGAGAGCTTTCAGTGAGATAAGAGAAAAGAGAGCCCAATTTGCTGCGCTCCAGAATGTGACCTCTTTTGCTCGTCCGTTGGAGAGCTGCCGACCTTGTGGCGCTGTCCCTCGTCGCTATTGGATGGTGCTTGTGCTCTGTCGCTCGACACCCAATCCCCGAGTCCTTTCGAGCGCGTGATCCGCGATGGTGTACGGAGTAGAGTGGATTTCCCTTGCTGGAAGAACGTATATACCTTGGTAATCTTTCTCGGATTTTCCCATCGAGTTTTTGTGATTTGACAGAGAAGATCAGAGGCACTCAATTCCAGTCCCGCGTCATTACCCCCAAAGCTGAAACCCCGCAACCTGGATTCGAGGCGGACAAAAAGCGGCAAGTGGAAAGTTACTTTCGCCCTAGCTGAGGAGGCAGTGCAAGCAGCTTCCCCAAAGACACCCAATGAGACTCGTTTTCTCCGATCGAAATGCCGGGAAGCTGGCAGGCAGTTAGTTTTAAGCTTTCTTTGGGATATTAGCTCCAGATTCTTGTGTATGATTCGAGGATCCTGGACGTATTTGGTTGACAGTTCGTTGTTAGATATGCATCAACTTCTCTTCTAGAACCAGCACAAGGTGGCCACAGTTTTTTTACGCCTCTGCGACCGTCACGTGCAGTCGTAGACAGGTAGCCGCAGGGAATACAAACCCCGGCTCCCCTTGACCATAATCGCCATGTCGCGTTCTCCATCTCATACACTTTGCTCTGCCCGCCACAGCGACCCCCCCGACACGCCCTGCACCACCTGCAGTTGGTTCGCAGACCACCAGGAGCAATTTGGATACTACAGCACCATCAAATTTTCAGGAATCTGGTCCATATGACCAAAGTTGAGAAGAATCGCGTCGCGACGCAGACGACCGACTACCTAGGCCAACTCCGAACGCTGCACTCCATTCAGATCGAAAAGCGCCGGCGGAGAGCCGACCGACTTGGCTTTCTTGTTCCCCGTTGGCTCGGGCATACCATACGGCCATTCTCTACTAATGAAGAACTCGGGGAAGAGTTGGCGAAGGCGTTAAAAAGGAGTGCCCCCGGAAAGCTGACCAACGATTTCGAGACCGCTTGCCTGCCTTCAACGCGGTTTTCTTTGACTTATGGAGATTTGACAGGTGTGAACATCATTTTAGAGGATGCCAACCTCGTTGGGGTTATTGATTGGGAGGCCAGTAGATATTTCCCAGTCTGGTGGGAGTTTGCCTGTGCGAGCATTGGAATCCTACATTAAGGGAAGCGTTTATTGGGCGCTCGAGTCTGAGTTCACTCCGGGTCCTCTCCCGTCGCGTTCATTACAAAAGGTGGGAATAACCTGTCTTTCGCCAAGTACCATGTTCAAATTCGTTATATTCATATCAGAGAAAATCATTCTCGCTTAAAACTACGAAACGTTTAGTCGTATGGAGGGCTTCTCCGCCGCGATAATCCGCCTACATAATGAATCGCAAATCGGTGTCTAGAGTTTGAATACATTAGTATTACTTGATCATCTCGTAGGAAAGAAACATTGCGGTGGGTAAGGTGACATACCAATGGGATGACTCGCGGACAGCTGGGGCAGCTGCGAGTAGTTCTCCTCGAGCAAGTCCCTGATGTTATTGAGAAGCTGGACGTAGCTCTGCTCGGGATTCTTCTTCATCGAAGAAATGAAAGCCCACGACATGGCGCCAGTGGCCTGAGAGCCAATGGTCGCATCAGCCCTATCAATCAAAGTCAGCGCACGTTCCATAACTCTTTTGTTGACTCCTAGAGAGGGCAAGGCAAGCTTTGCAGAAAGAGAGACAGAGACAGAGAAACATACGAAGTCTGGCTGTCCTTGCTTCCAGACCACATGATAACATCCGCAGGCGACGTACGCGTCTCCTTGGTCTTATTATAGGCACCATCCCCAGAGATAGCCGTCTTCGCAAGACTAAAGATGCTCGACGCAGCACCCATAACATCACCACGACTGTAAGCCGAGACCGCGCTAAACAAACCCTCAGCGGCTTCCTTGGCGAGGTTGGGCTCCTTGAGGACACCCTTGGTGGAGTAGATGTAGGGCAGGTCCATGACGGAACCGGAATGGCACGAGTCGAAGATGGCCGTCAGCCGCACTCCGGGCTGCAGGGGCTTCACGACGACATGGTGGATCTCGTCGTCGACGATGTGGCCGTGTTCTTTGAAGTCGACGGGGTAGATGACTTCGTCGTGTCCATCTTCCTCATCGCCGTCGTGATCCTCGGTTTGACCACCGTGACCTAGAGCATGACCTTATCAGCGCCGACTGGACTCCTGGAGTAGTTTTCTCGTCTTTTTTTATTTTTACTTACCCGAGTAGTGCAAGAACAAAGAGTCATTCGGCTGCGCATTCGAAACAAGCCACTGCATAGCCCTCAAAATATTCTCTTTCGTAGGCTGATTCCTCGGATCCTGCTGGTCATCCGTCAATATCACCATGTCCTCCCTCCGGTACCCGAACTGCTCCGTCAGGAACGCCGACACGTTCTTAACGTCGTTGATGCACCCGCGGAGCTCGCCCTCCTGGCCGAAGTAGTTGATGCCGATCAGCAGCGCCTTCCTCTTGCCCGTGCAGTCCGAGTACTGGAACGAGTAGCCCTCCGGCGCGCCGTGGCCGAATTGCTGCGCGCCAGAAGGTGGTGGGGGCGGGGCACCTGCTGAGCGAGTTCCCCCGCCATAGTGACCTCCTAAAGAACGCAGAAGAGACGGTTAGCCGAGCAATAATTTCTTTTGGCAATTTTCTTTCGCCTGACAACGCGTCTTCAAAACCCTTACCTCCTTGGTGGTTGGGCATGCCATAGCGATCTAGGTGCGACGGAGGAGGTCCCTGGGGCGGGGGATAGTAGTTGCCTTGGGGCTGCTGAGGAGGGGGATAGTAGCCCTGCTGTCCCTGAGGGGGGTAATACTGTTGGCCAGGTGGGGGATATCCCCCGCCGTAGCCCTGGCCGGGGTAGCCGCCGTGACCGCCGTGGCCTTGTCCGGGATAATAAGACATTGAGGGATGAGAAGGTAAGGAAGAGGATGAATAGGTACGCGCGCCTACTGCCGGAAAGGTAAGAATCAAGCTTGGAGTGGGAAGGCAAAGAGAGAAGAAAAAGGTCAATGGTGGGAGATTTTGTCTGTGGAGGCTGGAATGCGCTGCGCGGGAGCTAGTGAGCTTACGGCTTGGGGTTACTTTAGATGCGAGAGAGCTGAGTAGGTTGGAGATTGCACAATCACGATTGGGCTGAATCTGGATTTCCTTTTTTTTTCGAATTGCGACCCCTCAGCGCCAAGGAAACCAGGTATGGTTGGCTGGCGAGATGGTGGAGGCAAGCGCAGCCCACGAAGTCACTATTTGCAGATTCATCGCGCGTTTTGGGCTGCAATCAATCGCCAATCTGAAGCCGGCAGGAGCAACCCGAGTTGTGGTCTTGTCTTAGCGTGATATGGGCGCATTTTGGCAAGCCTGGGGAGGCAGCCCAGGGGTGCCACCACCATCAGCATGAGGGGGAATCAATTTGGGAAATCCCGCAGTGCGGGCACAGCACTAATCAATTGATTGTTCTCTCAACCCCGGGCCTGTCTAACAAGACCCAAACACGGCTCGGGAGGCAGGCGAGATATTGGCACGAAATCGTGTCACATTCCGGTGCTCCGTGTGTCGTTTGATACTGGTCATATTGGATCACAACGCTGGCCGGCTGGCTGGCCATCTCGGCTTGCAACTCCGAGTGTCTGACGCGCGTCGCCCTGCAGGGCATTCCTCCCCGCCATGGCGAACCACCAATCTCAGGATCACCCTGCGACAAAGCTCCAACCACCACGAACACAGTCACAGAAAAACGGAACAGATAATAAGCTTCATTAAAATACGAGATGGGGCCATTTCATCACCGCTTAGTTAGGTACGCTTAAGACATAGAGTGTTAAAACCCATGCGGGTAGATGCAGACATGATTGCGCTAGGGTCGGAAACCCCTTCAGAAGGGCGTGTCAAGTTCTGGCTCCTCGGCCTTTTTACACCTTGACCCTAATCATCGTAGGCCTCCTCGTAAGCTTCCTCGTACTCTTCGCGAGCTTCTTCCAGCTCCTCTCGATCACTACTACTCGCGCTAGAGGATGCCGCATCTTCAAGTGCCTGCTCATAGTCCTCCCGTGCCTCATCAAGCTCCTCCTGGTCGCTAGATGAGACGCTGCGAGTGTCCTCTTCGGGGGGCGGTGCGGAGTAATGATGGTGATGAACAACATGTTGCTCCTCGTCAGACGAATCATCTAGATAATGTTAACCATCAAGAGTAAAAAGGGTAATTTTTTCAAGAAAAGAGACAAACACTTACGCAAAGCGTTCGCAATGAGGGCACCTCCGATAGCCCCAGCAGCCAAACCACCAGCAGCGCCCAAGAGCATACCGCCCTTGCCGCTCTTCTTTTCCTTCTCGTGCCCATCTCCGGAATAGCCGCCATCATAGTGGCCGCCCTGTGAAGGATAGCCCTGAGGAGGATAATATCCTCCTGGAGCACCACCATATTGACCACCACTATAATGCGCATCATGTCCTCGGGTGTTGGAATCATACCCGGCAGGAGGGCCCGCGGAATATCCGGAAGGAAGAGGTCGCTCCCACTGCGTGTGGCCGGTAGCTTGCTCCGCATAGTAATAACGGCCAGACTGCGAATCCCACTGGGCTACCCAGCCTTCAGGTAGAGGAGGGAGGTGTCCCGGCATCGGTGGAGGTCCCGACGGACCGGGAGGCGACGCGGAGTCGTATCCATGGGACTGCGGAGGGCCAGGAGGCGGAGCGCCGTAGCCCTGGTACGGGTTCTGTTGGTAGGAAGGATCTTGCGGGGGAGGGTAGCCCTGCTGGGGAGGGTAGGGAGATCCGCCTCCCTGGTAGGGCTGATGGTATCCGGGTTGCGCTGCTCCAGCAAGACTAGTCAGGAACGGTCTCAAACGGTTTACGATGCCGTTGTGGCGAAAAAGAGAAAGCCCCAAGCTAGTGCAAGCTTGGGGCTTAGGAGGAGGATGTGGACTTACGGTAGTCTCGGGTACCGCCGCCGCTCTGGTCCTGGCTTTGGCTCTGGCCCTCGTCCTTCTTGTCGGACAAGGACGCCGTGAGCGAGTCGAACTCTTTAGTGAGCTTCTTGAAAAAGGACATCGGATAAGTAGGCAAGACTTGAACTGAGATTATCTACTGCTGTTGATTGAGTCGAGTCGGAATCGACGCAAGAGGAAATCTTCTTGGTGGGAGAAATGCGCAACAGTCTTGGGATGTGTGCAAGCAAGGTGGGGGAGAATTGTCAATAAGAGGAGGGGCAAGGCCGAGAGGGGAGCTCAGGATATCAATGGAGCTTGCCTTGCAGGGCAGGAGCGAGCGAGCCGTTGTGCCGCTGACATGCCTGCCTCAAGTCTGGGCATGCTGGGCATTGCGCAACCAAACGGAGAAGGAGGCCTCCACAGGCCTTGTGAGATATGAGCAGGGCCAGCCCCAGAAATTGCCAAGCAATTGACACGTCGTGTCTGTGGGTGCCACGGGTGCATCTCACGATAATTTTGATCAAATTATTGCATATTCTAACGTCTCCGCCAGGGTATGTTTTGGGGGCTTTAGGGGGTCTTGGCTGCTGGTCATTTTAATGCTGGGGGAGATGCGGCTTAGAGGCGTTGGTCCTGAAAGGGTCCCGTTGCCGCCCGTTGCCCTAGAACCGGTTCGGGAACAGAAACGGCTAGACCCCTGCGGCATGATCCGAGATATCTCGGGGAGGAAGATCCAGAACATCACTGGGTCAGGGGCCCAGGAATCATGAGGGGCAGATCCAAGGCCAGAGAGCTTGGATGGAACGTCCGTCGGCCTGGTTTCAAATCGCAATTTTTTTTTCTTCAGAGAGAGAAATCAATAGCACGGGGCAACCTGCACACCACTGGCTCACCATTTTGTCGTCAACACACGATCAAAGAACGAACTCCGTCAAAACTAGGCAAGTTATTGCCGAGAAACAAACATTGAACGCACCATATCAGAGAAAAATAAATGAAGGAAGTTCCGGTGTTGAAACTGATTTGTTGCTGGGAGGCATCGCGACAGAAATGGCTTTTTTCATGACTCAGGGTCCCCGACTCAAAGTCTCATTTATCAAAAATGTTCCAGGTTGTTTTCGACGTTAAACATCTCCCAGTGAGCCGGCCACGGCTCCATCTAGAGTTCCGGGCGTGGATGCGACTCCCGGGCAATCACGAGGAAACAAACAACTCGAGTGAGGACCGAATTTTCCGAGATCTATAATTGGGTCAAACGGAGCCGGACTCCTTAGAGGCCCGAGAAGTTGCTCGCTTTCTGGGTCTGGATGCATAGTGATATGATAGTAAGTGGCGGCGGTTTGTCATGCGCCGCCAGGCGTCCAGTGTCGACGAATGACGACACCATTTACCTGATCCAACTGACCATCACCAATAAGCTGCAGAGCTACGTCTGCATGTTCCTTACCCCGTCATCCTGGCACCGTACATGTCTAATACAGCCAGTTCGACGTTGCTACCTCAGTACAGAATGTCAATATGGACGAAGCCAGTGAGCCACACACAAGTCGCACCTTCCAGTGATCTGCTAGTGACGTGATGATTGCGCCTTGTCTCGATTCGCCCAAAATGGTCTCACCTCTTTAAAGGAAAGAGCTCTCCAATCCCCCTGGATCTGTCTTCTTACCTCTCCTTCTTGTTTGTCAAGACTTAGCGTTTCCTGGACTATGATCTGGACCTAATTGCCATTTTTGCCAAACAACCCCGGATCGGATCTCGAGTGAGTGACACATCAGTAATCGATACATCTCGAATCACATCATCCCCGCGAAAATGAAGCTTTCCAGCTCCCTTCTTGTGGCCCTCCTGGCCACTGAGGCCATGGGTACTTGGGCATCCAATGCTGGTAAGGCAGGCAATTCTCCTCGGTAGAGGTCTTCTTCCAATTCCAACGCAGGAAGCTGCCAACTGACCAATTCCCCCGATATCTAGCGTACAACAAGTGGGATGCGACCGAGCTCGATCGATGGTTGGCCGATCACAACATCCCACACCCCACACCCGCCGACCGAAAGGATCTCGAAAGGCTCGTGGCGGAAAACTGGAACCAGGTCGTCTCCCCATACCACGATTGGGATGCCGAAAAGCTCCAGACCTTCCTTGAATCCAAGGGCCAAGAGGTCGGGCAAGACACCAAGGCCAGCAAGGACACGCTCATCGACCGTGTCAAAGCTGCCTGGTACGAGACGGAGGACAATGCCCAGCAGGCGTGGACCAATGTTAAGGAGTGGATTTTTGACACCTGGTCGGATAGCCAGCTCAAGGCTTTCTGTGACAAGCATGATATCCCCGTTCCCCAGCCGCGACCCCGTGACGTCACTCTCGAGAAGATTCGCTCTCATTATGATACTGTTGCCCGGAAGGCTGGAGAAACTGCTGCGTATCCGGGTGATTGGCTCTATGAAACCTGGTCCGGTATGTGCCTATCATCCACCTTCAAGATCGAGGTTCCTAATAACCCTTGACAGCTTCCGACCTGAAGAAGTGGCTCGATGAGCATGGCATTTCGGTGCCTCAACCCGCTAACGCAAGTTGCAAGCTCCCCATTGGCGTCTGTCCCTCTGCTCTAACGCTTTTCCATGCAGCGCGACGAGCTGATCGCCGCCGTTCGACGCAACTCCCGACTCGTCTATCTTAAGCTGCGGGATGCCGCCTCCACCGCTTCCGAGGCTGCCAAGTCTGCTTTCTCCGATCTGTCCGACTCAATTCTCGACACCTGGTCCGAATCTCAGCTAAAGGAGTTCCTTGACGAGAATGGCATCGCCGGTTAGTATATATGCTCTTCACCGATCCCTCCTTGCATTGACGCTAACCCGATGACCTCTCGAAGTTCCCCAAGGTACTAAGACCAATGAACTCCGCGCTCTTATCCGCAAACACCGTGCCCAAGTCCTCGGCGAGGACGCCGCTGGTAAGCTCGGTGCTGCCACTTCTAGCGCCGGTAACGAGTTTGCCAAGGCCACCGATAGCGCTGCCCTGAAGTTACAAGATGCCTTTAATAAGGCTACCGAACTCTGGTCGCATAGTCGTCTCAAGGCCTTCCTCGATGCCCGTGGCATTGGCATCCCTCAGGGCTCGAATACTGACGAGGTCCGCGATCTCGTTCGCAAGCACGCTCACAGTGCCATTGGAGGTTGGACTTTTGATGACTGGTCATTGGAGAACCTTAAGTAAGAGCTCGTGCTCCTCCCCGCATTAGGTCGAACTGTGCGTGCGCTAACCAAATTCTCTAGGAAATATCTCCTTTCCAGCGGAGATGCGAAAGCCCAAGCAGCCGCTGAGAAGGCTACTGCAACCCGAAACGATCTCCTCACCGCCGCTCAGTCTGCTTACAGCTCGGCCTCCTCTGCAGGTGGTGATAAGTGGAGCTCTGCCACTAGCTACCTCGCCCAGGCTACCGCCGACGCCAAGCACAGAACCTTTGAGACCTGGAGCGAGAGCGAACTCAAGTCCTACCTTGATTCCTACGGCGTCGTACGTTTTTCCTGCCCCCCTTTTCGATATCGTTACCAATCTGAAGATGTGTGATGCGAAAGAGAGACTAACTTGCGCCAATGTAGTCTGTGCCTCAGGGATCTAAACCCGATGACCTCCGCGCCGAGGCTCGGAAACAGTTCACCTACTTCAAGTACGGCACCAGCAGCCCGGGCGGGACCATCCTCGAGCAGCTTAGTGAGAATTTCTGGTCTGCCTGGGACTGGGCCACCAAGCAGTTTGAAAAGGCTATTGAGGGAGCCGAGAAGAGGGTTCAGGGGCTTCGGCAGGAGTTGTAATTAGGTTGAAGTCATAAAAGGGTGGGCGATTGATATGGAGGAGGGAGTACCAAACAAAAGTGGTCTTTTTTGTTGGAGAGCTTGTATGGATTGGATTGTTGTTATGACGGGACATTTCTTTCTTCGGTGTAAATTGGAAATTCCGCATGTTATGAATGAATACGAAGATGGTTCAACTGAAGAATAAAGCTATTGATACTCGAAACCGCCGCAGACGGGTTTGAAGCTTGAAGCCCAGTTGAGCGCTGCCTCCACCACCATCTCAACCGAAAGCATTGGCCTGGGAAAACAAAGCAGATACAATATTATGACTCCAAGTAAGAATACAATAAAACAAAGCGCGGAGTACTGAAGAACAATATGCACAACGTAAAAAGGGAAGACATTCCGATCATCGTGTCGGAAACAGGGTATACAATCGGGTCCATCCAACCGCCAAAAGTTCAAAATTACCGCCCCATCGATGTCTGGTGCCGTCCAAGCCTTTCCGATTTCGTCCTTCCTTGCCTCTACTCGTCGTCGAGGAACCTTGTCGCAAGCTGGCCAAAGAAGGGGACCTCATATCTACACTGAAGTCAGCGCCCGTCTCACATGGCGGTATCAACCATTCTAAATGCATCCTGGGTAGCGCATCATACCTGTCTAAGGTGTCCGCATCTTGGTAAGCTCGTAGGGCCAGGAACCCGATCAAGGCCAAGTCGGCAAGGAAGAAGAGCCAGCTGAGGAAGGTGGACCAGGAGAAGACAAGGTGGAAGACAAGGATGGCAGTAAAGATTAAGCTCGATTGCCACGCGTGAAATCTACCGAGGCCATTAACACCGACGGACTATTCTCAGGATCGGTCTAGGCTCAACATACCTCACGTAGTCACTATTCCTCTCCGTTATCAAAAGGAATATCGCACCTAGCGGCGGAAACGCTAAATACGCAGCCGCAGCCTCGTAGTCCAGCCGGACACCCAAGCTCGTATCAAACTCGCTCACGCCTTCCCTGTATGCGTCCCCGGCGGGGTACGAGCCCGGTATTATGGGCTGCCAGCTCCGTTGCGGCTGGGGATGCTGGAGGGGCGGGGGGCTCGGGCGCTGGAAGGGGGAGAGGGATCGGCGGATGAAGTCGGTGGAGGTGCGGGGGGAGCGCTGTTCGTTTGGCGGGGAGAAGGAGGTGCGGCCTGTCTCGGGGGGAGACGACTGGTAGGGAGCGAAGTCCATGGTTGTCGATTGGTTGTCGATTTGATGCCTGGGGGTGGAGAGAGTTTGCGGTTTTGGATTCAACGGCGGGTGGAGGTGGAGGTGCTGCGCAGAGAGACGCGCACGCGAGGAGGGGAGGAAATGGAATAGAAAAATAGAAAACTAGAGCTGGATTCCCGGAATCTAGCACATTATGAATGAAAGTAGAAGAGTATCCCGATATCTTGAGCTACCTGGAATGCCTCTTGTTCGGTTGATGAGATGCCCGTTGGAGAAACCGCTGCTGCCTTTGTCGTCTTGGGATGGTTACGAGGCGGAGCTCCTGCAGGTCGATATGGATCTCATATGCCGCGTTTCGCTAGCGCGGATGAATGCGAGCGAATTGACACAGGGCAGGCAGAACCAGTTCCCCGAAGTGGCAGGACAGGTGAAATCGGGTGACATTACGTCAGCGCACGTGTCAGCTTTTCAAGTCAAGCTTAGAGAACTTGGAGAATATTCGAATATTCATAGTTTGTTCCCACATATCTCGAAACGTTTTATCGGAATCTTTTCTAGATGGGGGTTTAAAACTGCAGTTTAAATTAACACATCTTTTGTTTGCTATTATATCTCTCCCAGAGAAGCTTGCGCTTGTGGGACGGACAAGTCCACAGCTTTGGACTTGATATCTGATATGTTCAACTGTCTGCAGATGCCCACGGTCCTGATGAACGAGTTTAAATTTAGCTCATGTGACAAGCCGAGTGGGCTAACATCGAACAGGGGTTGGGTCACTGGCTGTTCCCAGCGTCACGGCACTTTCTTCGCACTCCCTCATGCGCTGTCGATGTGGACTGTCTGAAGGAATCCCGTCCCGCCTTTTACAGTGAGCAAACAGGAGCGCACGCAAGCTAGATTAGGAGAGACGCCCGTCGTACGGCATCCTAAGGAGGGATTGCACCTGATCTCAGTGACCCTTTTATAGCGATTGATGTTTGTGCAGCCGAGGACATGCCGGCCCGGCCTCGCCTAGCCCGGCGGTGAACCCAATGACAAGCAGTTTAAGGATGTTGATGGGATGGTGTTGGCTGGACTCTCCTCCATGTATGTTGGTCTCTGATGCAGATGACATGGCATCTCGCTTCCTACTTGTAGAACATAGTTGATGATACTTTGTGATGTCTCAGAACAGCAGACAGGGCGGATTCTCGAGCAAACCTCTGGTTACAGCTGGTGTCTGTACTACATCGTTGATGTCACTGGAGCAAATTTTCCAAGATCTCAAAGCTTGATGGTATCTCCGGATCATGTATCTAACAGAACCTCACAGTGCGAACGACGGCCAAAACGTGGTTTGTTCATAAAACTTAGACAGTGTCTGTAAGATTCTGCCCCAGGTTCCTTACAGTGTACAAGGAGTCCCTGTCCTCGATGTATTTTTGTATTTTTTAGCTCTCCCAAGACGTGACTCGGCTGCCAACCCCCGTCCCCAGCGCCTTCTTCCCTTCACCCCAGCCCAATCCATCACTGAACCCATTCGCCCAAAAAGGACCAGACCCTTATCATCCTCCTTGACCCCCATCGCCCATCACCGATCAATCCATCGCCACCACGCAAAAACCACATGGGTCTCACATTTCTCTTCATCTTCCCTTTACCCTAAATGTCAAACCACTCCTAAACCACTCTTCCCCTTTGAGCCCACGATTCCTGCCAAGATTACCACGACTCTCTCTTCCCGCCGCACCGAAACGGCGCCCCTCTATATCCAACGTCTAGCTCCACCTGTTTTCCTCACGACAACTTGTGCCCGACGGTTCGGTTGCTCTCAACCTCAACCGCGGCTGGCATCAGTGTCAGAGAGAAAAAAATCCAATCGCGCCTCCCCCCGCTAATTTTCCCAATTCCTTCCCTCCCTCCAAGCCATGCCCAACACGGCACCCCAATCGCCTCCCCCTTCGCAGAACCACTCGTCATGTCCAGAGGAGCCCACGACAGTCGCCACCTGGTCCCCAACCTCACCGCCTTGGCGCGGCTCACAGTCGCATGCCTCGACTGCCGTCCGTAACGAATCCTCCCGAGGCGAAAACGCCGTCGACCGTCATCAACCCTCCTCAACAGCCGCCGTCTCCTCCCTAACCGATTCCGCTACCGCTCCCCCCTCCGGCGTGGCGACCGACCGCAACGACTTCCCATCGCCTGCTACCTCGAGATCCGCCACCCTGTCTCCCGGCCCGCAGCCCGTCCAGGAGACTTCGGTTTCTACCCCCGATACGGCCCAGACGTCGGGCACCGATAATGCTATGGATTCGGTAAAGTACGCCGACGTCGGAGCTGATACCACGATGCTTGGCGGTAACTCGGAGTTTGATACCCGACACCATACAAGGCTCGAGCAGGGTCGGTCATCCCTCGTGACAGAGCCGGATCGTAGTCTGGACTTCAGGGAACTAGCTGCGCGTGCGGACGAATACTCGGCCACGTCCATGGGGCCCGATTACTCTAACTTGAGGGTATGTTTCGACCGATCGTCTGGATTCATGTCTGGTCCTATTGTCGGAGTTTTACTAACATGTACCCTTCACTCCGCAGGCGATTACAACATCCCCGTCGTCCCTCCTTCGGCCGGGAACCAGATTCCACGGAACTCAGCAGTCGGAGAGGCAGGTATATGACGTCTCGGTAGAAATTAAGCATGTCGATCTAAGGGAATCGTATCTCTGTGGGTACCTGCGCATTCAGGGTAGGTCGTTGTCCTCACGCTCTCTTTCCCATTCGGCATGATATCATCTGCTTCAGTCCTCTCGGCACAGTGACTAATTGAAATCCACGAACAGACCTTACCGAAGACCATCCGACCTTAACGACCTACTTCGAAGGCGAGATCATCGGCTCCAAATACACATTTATCACCAACCACGAGAGTTGGGGAGCTACCGACAGTGAGGACCTGAACCACTGGGCCAAGTTCAGCGCGTTCAGGCCGTACCAGCGCCAAGCGCGAAAGGGTCTCGTCTTCATCCGAGACCTCGCCCAGCAAGAAAATATATTCATGAGGTGGAAGGAGCAGTTTTTAGTACCGGATCATCGCGTTACCACTATTCGCGGGGCGAGCTTTGAGGGCTTCTATTATATCTGCTTCAACCAGGTCAAGGGCGAGATTAGCGGGATCTATTTCCATTCGAAGAGCGAGAGGTAAACTTAATTACCCCCACCCCAGCCCCTTTCCATCCGCATCTTCCTTTGTTGGGAGCAAATGCTAACGTGCAGTCTGTTCGTTTATAGGTTCCAACAACTTGAACTAAAGCATGTGGAAGATCGGGGTTGCTTCTGCGCCTTGGAATTCCGGTGATACCCATGTGGATATAGTTTGGTTTATGGCGTTCATCTTGCGCTCCTTTTTTTGTCCTTCTTTTCCTTCCCTTTAGGTGTCGACATGGAAGGTATTTGCGTTGGGGTAATTGTTTTTCTTTTGTTTTGGCCTGCGTGAGTTCGGCGATCGCTCAGTTGGAGAGAGAAACGGGGGAGGTATGATGCCAATTCTCGCAAAGGCTGGAGATGTATCGGACGGTATACTACACTCGGCAAAGGGATTCGGGATATAGGTACGGGATGACGCTTCACGACATGGGAAACAGCGAAGTTCCAGTTTTGCTCTTTTGTTTTCTTGCGGTTTATATCATTGTTTTACAGAGGCCTCACTTATACAGGAGGCGGTCAGGGAGAAGAGAGGCATTTGCATTGCCGGGGAACTATGAATTGCATCGGGACAGAAGAGAAGCATATCTCTGTCCTTTGTTTACCTTTACTTACCTGGACGACATCTTGTTTTCATAGCATTTGCGCGACAAGCGTGCGAATCTCCTCGTGTTTCTATAGCTCGACAGGAAAGATCACGGTATGATGTGTTGGCGACATTACAGTTAGGGCTACATCCTAGTTCATGGATAAGAGCAAGCTCCGCTTAAGTAGTTCTACACTGCCATTGCCTTGCGACGATCTTGCTTTTGTTTCTTTTGGTTCATGAAACTTTTTATCTATTTCACTGTGACTCGAACCTCGTAAAGTACATGCGTCGGAAGGGATTCAGCTCATTTGCTGTCGTGCCCTCTTCCTTTTGGATTTGGCGATTTGTCCAGGCCTCAAGGGCGTCTTTGCTTACATCGGAGTCGGGAATCCTTCGATATGCAATGAGTTTTCTTGACCCTGGTGGATGAGGCGGGTTAGGTTAGGGAAAGAAGATGAGAGGGAAAGGGATCACGGAGAAAGACGCCAACTCACATTTGTTGAATTCTTGACTGCACACCGCAACGACCTCAAAGCACGGGTGAGAAGGTATCTTGATCTCTTCAGCCTCGTCGTTGGCTGTGGGCATCCAGAAAGCGAGACGGCCGTTGTCAACGAGCGTAGCTGCCGAGAAGGCGAGGATGTCGTCCAGCATCGCGAGGAAGCTGTACGGTTTCTTGGGCGGGATATAATCCGGTAGACTTGCCACGAAACACGTGTGAGTGAAAGCATCATCGGGCATATGAGGGGAGAAAAAGAAGAATAGGGTGACAACTTACTGGGATCGCTCCTTGCCGGCTTCGACAGACCAAGGCATCTTCTCCGGATCCCTACATCCCAGCACCTTTAACCCTTCTCTCACGCCATAGGGAGGATCGCACACTATGCCGTCGAATATCCGCCTGTCGGGAGACACGCGAATCGGCGTGTTCGTTAAATCGGCGACGAACATTCCCCCAAGCAGGTACTCGATGCCATACTGCTTAAAGTTTCCCCTGACGCTCTTGGCTTTGCCCTGCCCGCGAATGGCGCGCCCATCAATATCGCTACCGAACGACAGCGCGCCAAAGTGCGAACACGCAATGGGGAAACTCCCCGTTCCTACGAAAGGGTCGTAAAACATTTTCCCGGGGGCGGCGAGGGCAATATTCGCCGTCACGAGGGCAAGTTCTGAGTCCATGGACGTCGTGCTAATATACCCCCTCTTCTTAAGGGTATAAACGCCCGCCAAATCCCTCGCCCCTCCCCCTACAAGACGTCCGAAATACAACCTCTCCGGTTCGGTAATCCCCAACACGGTACTCTTGCTCTTCCATTCCTCGAGCACGACGAATTCCTCGTCCGGGTTCCGCAGGACTATGGGGCCCTGGAAGGCGAGGAAGGCGAAGGAGTTGATGATGGCGACTTTGGCGGCGTGGGTGCGCGTTCCTTGGAAGGAGTCGAAGGTGAACTTGAAGGAGCAGGTTTGATATTCCGGGCGGAGGTGGTTTTTGGTGAGTTTGATTTGGTCTTGGAGGGCGGGGAGGGTGGTGGAGGAGGCCCAGTGCTCGTAGATAGCTTGGACGAGGATGGAGCGGTGGATTAGGCGCTTGGCGGCATCTTCTGAGGGGAGGGTGACGATGCAAAAGGGGGACTATTAATAGTGTTAGATACAAGTCAAGGAGAGGAATGGAGAAAGGAAGAGGTGAGAAGCGAGGCCGGCCCTATGTGAGGAGGGGTTCACGCAAAGATGCATCATGGGGGACCAGACGATACCTCGGGCCTGTATTCTTTGATTTTCAAGTCGATTCCTTCTATTACTGCCAGGGCCTCTATCTCAGGAACACGAAATGTCTCATGAGACTGTGTAAATCTAACGATGAAGTCCATGGTGATAACCCTTGCCTGCGTGAGAGGGGCGATGGCGGGCCAAGCAGGACAGGGCCGTGGGATTCAGATTAATCTCGGAGATGATCGAGATTTTTGCTGTCTTTCCTGCTTTAATTCATTCAAAGTCAATATTCCTGTTAAACTTGGGAAATTCCGAATCTTCGAAGGTGTTGTTGCGGAGGCGAGTTGGTTTTTGAAGTCGAGCTTGAGACTGAATTTTAGCATGAATTTTTGCCCACACCCTTTTTCACTCTTCAAAGCTTCATCCTTCTCTCGCACCAATTCCGCCATCGCCTCGATTCTCCCAATCGTCCATCAATCCCTCCACGTTTGGGTCTCTCCGTTCATTCACATTTCTCAGCGAGCCTCTAAACCTCTAAATTCCAACCATGTTTTCCTTTCCCACCCCTTCTGTCTACCAATCCTCAAAATGCTCCGTCACCTACGGCCAAATGTCCCACATCTCACCAACGAACACCACCACAGCCGCTAGTGCAACCACTGAAGACGAATCTCCTCGCCGGCCCGAAAAGGGCAAACCATGGACCGCGATTCTAGCGCAAGATTTTATTCACAGTATCGATCTCGTCCTCCCCGAGGAAAGCTATGAAATTTTGCAAAGCGACGTCCTGGGGAACTTGGTCCCTCCGCCGTCTTTCAGGGTGACGATGCCGTTGGCCAAGATTTTTGACCACGCTTTTTACTTGGATTATATCAAGTCCGGTATGGAGTTTCTTTTCACCTAGAAAAGGAAAAGAGAATAAATAGATGACACATGGGATATTGTGAGCGTCAAGGCCGAAGACTGACTGAGCAATATAGGCGATGTGTTAATGCTGTCAAAGGGCCAAGAACCCGTAGACAATCTCTTCACAATCCGCAATGGCACGTCTGAGTTCCTTACACGCCTCCCGAGAACTAATCTAGTCTAGCTAACATATTCGACACACAGGCAAGCTCACGATGTATCTCGACAGAGAAACATACGAAAGAGCCGGTCTAGTGGGCGAACCCCATGGAGTCAAGGGCAAGCGCGAGGGTAAACCTCGTTGGAGTAAGTCGAACAAGCCTTCCCACTCCCTCCTTTACTGTTACTTTTCTTTTTCCCGGTCCTTACGCGTTAAACTTCTAGTCGTGGAATACGATTTACTTTCCCCCTCCATGATCCACGGGAAGAAGGGCTTCGATAGACTCCTTTACGCGTGCAAAAATGTGTTTAGTGAGCCCATTCCATGGCTGTGCACCACGTCAAAATCAAAAGGTAGATAGTTGTCGATTCTGACGAGCTATGGCGTAAACTGACAGAGGAAAACATCTAGAAATGAAAATCGACTTCCTCAAAGCGTCCTCAGCAACAAAAGTGGCCATCCAGCCCTCTTCTTCACCTACACTCATCACAAGCTCGCCCTCCTTCGAGGGCCTCCTCCAAGAGCTCGCAAGCTGCGACAAGCTCGAGTTCGAAGAGACGGCGGCGGATCTGTACGAGTGGTTCTCCCTCGTCCGGCTTGACAGCCCGCGAGTCGAGTTCGGCGATGAGATAGACCCGTACCTTTCGCGGTATGAAGTACCTAGGTCTTCTGATGGGGCTCAGACGTGCAAGCTGCGGCGGGTAACGTGGAAAGGATTCATGTCGGCGACATGGGCGCGCACGGCACTAGCGGAGATTGTCGCGAGCCTCCCGTTCAAGTCGTGGCTGGTCTTCTCCGCGACGAGCTTTTCGAAGGGTACCACGGCCCGCGACAACGCTGAGTGCACCTTTTTTCGTCCCCCGAGCTCGGGAGGCCAGTATATTCTCTGGGAGGTGAGGCGCGATGTTTGAGGGTAGACGAATGACATCTGCATTTTGTATTTTTTTTTTTTTTTTTCCTCTTCTGTTGTGTTGTAGAACGGACTACTGCCTCGGCCGTACGTTTCGGCCCTCGGAAATGTCTTGGTCTGAAACCGCCCCTACAACGGCCTCTTCGACGAGCCTGCGCAACTCGGCCTGGCCTTCGGGGGTATCAAAATCATCACGACTCGCTAACTCTTCGATCCTCCTCCTAAACTCGGGGTCGACCTCGGCAGGGACATCCTCCGTAGCATCCATGGTCCCGACGGTCATTTTCAAGCCGGCAGGTAAAGGCGGGAGTGTTTCTCGCGCCCGCGCAACAGCTGCGGGTTCTCGCTCTGCTCCATCTTCCTTCGTGAGCAGGTATTCAGCAACGGCGGGAAAGTCACCCTCGGCCTCAATCTTCTGCCGTGCCGTGAGCCCTTCCGAACCCACAGCCTTGACGTCAGCACCGAGCTCTTCGACGAGCAGGCGGGCGGCCTCGACGGACTCGACTACGAAGAGGGCCGTCTCATCGTCTTCGTCGCGGAGGTTGACGTCGACTTGGAATTCTTGCACGAGTGCGCGGAGGAGATCGAGGTGGTTGTAGCTGGCGGCGGCGTGGACGAGGGAGTAGCCGTGTTCGTCTTGGGCGGAGGCGAGGGATGGGTTCGAGCGGAGGAGGGGGAGGAGTTCGGGGCTGTTGTCTGCAGCGAGGAGATAGGGATTGGGAGACATGGTAGCGAATGAATCAATTGCGTGATTGAGAGACGTCTGTTTGGTGAATTGGGAGGGTTGATGATAGAATATGTTTGAGGCTTCTGTGACGCAACTTTTTTTTTCTCTCTTTTCACAGCTTCCATGCAATAGCGGGGTGATGCGGGGTACAATTGCTCAGTATTAGTGTACTTGTCGACTTTGCTTTGGTCGACACAGTGGCTGGGCAATGATCATTAATATTCACAAGCAACGCAGAACATTTCAAGATGTCGAGATTCAGGATATCCAAGTAGAGCCGACAGAGATCGAGCCTGACTCTAAGGTTTAAAACCCAAGGTCTTGGAATTGTTGTGTGGTGAACCTGAGGCTGAAGGCGGTGGTTTCTTGAACTCCTCGACACGAGGCATTATGCATCTGAATTCCCGCTCGACGAACACGAAATGTGTTTTTGTGCTCTATCATTTCTTTGATAGCTTTGCCCTGGCCTTCGTCTACTTCGAAAAGTGTACATCCTCTCTTTGATGGGCAAGATGGGCCGCAGAGCTGGAACTTCCCCGGTAAAGCTCTGCCCCTCATCGATCACCCATCGTGCCTGCCACCATGAAAGAGCTTCCAAAGCGGGGTCGTAAAATTCCAGAGCCTGCAGGCGCCACCCAGTCCGGCATGAAACGCTGATTTGTCTTGTCTGAATAGGGCTGAGAAACAGGTCGCCCACCAACTGACGTTACCGACCCCACTAAAACATTTGATCAACAATGAGTTGATATTCCTGGCATTCCTGCCCCGCGTCTACATCTTCAAAAGTAAATAAGACATCAATTGATCATCAACGAAACCAACACGCTCTTTGTCGACGCCTCCCTTTGTTCCTTTCCTATAAAACCCCGTGTCTGATCACATCTGGTTGCCTGCGTCGACTCAGCCTGTCCCCTGTCCCGAAATTAGGCTCTTTCGCCGTCTGACTCCATCGCCTCAACCGTGCGGCGCAGCCTGCGATTATCTGACTCACCTAGACTAGACCCTAGTACCAAGCCTCATCAACCCGCCCTAGTCGAAGAGCGCGACGGGCAACCGCATGACTTCTCAGGCTCCTTTCAAGACCTGCCAGAAATTAAAGTAGGCCCTTGTACGACCTGAGATAGCATCGGGGCTCCCCCCTCTTGGCTATATATGTCCTTGAATGGGCCAACTCAAATCGTTCTGACAAGCTTCACCATCCCAACCCACCCCCGAAGCGAAGAGCTCCAAGAAGAGCTCCTGCCACTACCTTCAGAACACTCCCAATCGAAAGAAGATCTCGGCAGTTCACAATCCCACAATGGCCGCTGCCACTACCACCACAGCCGCCAAGGCGCCTTTTATCCCCCAAGATGTCTCCGAAGTAGCCACCATGGTCAAAGGCCTAGAGGCCGGCAGGAAAAGCGGTGGCGACAAGAAGCACTTCAAGGTCAAGAAGAACACATTCGACGTGGTCGGTTCCTCCGACGGGATCCAGGTAGACTCGTGGAAGTTTTCCGATTGGGACTACAAGCGTCGGGACCTACCCACCTATGCCCGCGGCCTCTTCACCACTAGGAACCGCCGCAACGAGCCCCAGATTGCTGTGCGAGGTTATGACAAGTTTTTCAACATCAGCGAGGTCCACGAGACCGAATGGAAGAACATTATCGAGCAGACAAGGGGACCCTACGAGCTCACACTAAAAGAGAACGGCTGCATCATCTTCATCTCCGGGCTCGAGGATGGCACATTACTCGTTTGCAGCAAGCACTCAACCGGAGAGCGAGGAGACGTTGACGTGAGCCACGCCAAGGCCGGAGAGCAGCACATCGAGAAGCAACTTGCCGCTATTGGAAAGACGAAGGCCGATCTCGCCGCCGAGCTTTATCGTCGAAACGTCACCGCCGTCGCCGAGCTTTGCGACGATTCTTTCGAGGAGCACATCTTAGCGTATGGCGAGGACAAGGCGGGACTGTACCTCCACGGCGTCAACTTGAATCTCCCTTCCTTTGCCACGTACCCTAGTCAGTTAGTGCAGGAGTTTGCCGACGCCTGGGCATTCCGAAAAGTAGGACTGATTGTCATGGATGATATCAACGAGGTGAAAGAGTTTCTTGAAAAGGCTGCCGAAACGGGCGCTCACGATGGCCGCGACGTGGAGGGTTTCGTCATCCGGTGCCAGCGATCGTACAACCCCGATTCCGTGCCTTACCAGGATTTCTTCTTCAAGTTCAAGTTCGAGGAGCCATATCTCATGTACCGCCAGTGGCGAGAGTGCACAAAGGCCTTGATCTCGGGCAAGCCTCCCAAGTTCAAGAAGCACCAGAAGATTACCGAGGAGTATCTTCTCTACGCCCGGAAACGACTCGCAGCCGATCCGAAGCTTGCGAAACAGTACATGAAGAACCACGGCATCATCACCCTCCGGGACGACTTTTTAGAATTCAAGCATATCAAGGGAGCGGATGCCGCCAACATCGAGAACCTGGCTGGTGAAGCCTTGCCCTCAACAGAGGTCGACAAGGATGTTATCCTCGTCCCCATCGCGACCATTGGTTGCGGCAAAACAACTATTGCCCAGGCACTCGCGCACCTGTTCGACTGGGGCCACATACAAAACGACAACCTTACCGGCAAGGGGAAGAAGCCCCCTCGCTTCACGAGGATGTGTCTCGAGCAGTTGACGATCCACCCCGCCGTGATTGCCGACAGGAATAACGCTGCGAAGCACGAACGAAGGCAGATCATTACGGATGTCAAGCTTCAGCATAGCGGGGCGAAGCTGGTGGCGCTGCACTTTGTGCACGACCCGGAGCAACTCGACAACCTCCGCGAGGTCACCCGGGCGAGAGTTCTGGAGCGCGGAGATAACCACCAAACCATCCATGCTGCGACGGAGCCGACCAAGTACCTCCATATCATGGAAGGCTTCATTGACAGGTTCGAGCCGTGCAACCCCTTCTCGCCGCCGGATGATGGCTTCGACCATGTCATCGACCTAGATCCGGTGGCCGGTAGTCGCGTGAATCTCGAGACGGTGGTCACGCAACTCCATCAGTGGTATCCCAACCTCGTTCGAGAGCTCCCTAGCGCCGAGAAGCTGGATGAAGCCATCGAATTCGCCATGGGGTACAAGCCCGAAATCAAGCACACGATCCCCGACCGAGGAGGGAAGAATAAGCGGGGCCAGCAGCAGCAGCAGCAGCAAGAAAAGAAGAAGCCTCTCGAGTACATGGCCGTACACGTCTCGGCCAGGGACGTCAATGACATTTTGGAGAAGGCATTCGCGGACAAGGATCGTGACACTACGCGGTTCTACATGCAGCTGAAGCAGACTCGACGAGTTCAGCCCAAGTTCCACGTGACGTTGATGCACCGAGCTTCTTCGAAGGAGAACCCCGAGCTTTGGAAGAAGTACAATGATCTCTACGAAGAGGCAGCGAAGGCCGGTAATGCGGAGGGCAAGCTCGGGGACTGCGATGTCATGCTTGAGCGGGTAAGTCTAGATACCCCAGTTCCATCTTCCACACGCACAGCTCTGAACTAACCCTTCCGGAATGCAGATTGTCTTTGACGACCGCATCATGGCCCTTGTCGTCCGCCTCGTCAACAACGAGTGGAAGTGCATCAACAAGGTTGCGCACATCACCGTCGGCACGAGGGACTCCACCGTCAAGCCCAAGGAGAGCAACGACCTGCTCGAGAAGTGGCTCGAGAACGGTGTCGGCGACAAGGTACACGACGTTGTGCTCGAGGATAAGCCTACGCTGAAGGGATTTGTTGGAGGCGTGGCCAACTTTTTCAAGCGCTAGGGGAAGCGTGGGAGAAGATTTGGACGGGCTCGGTGTGGTTAGTCAATGGAGAGTGGATGATGTGTTTGGAATTCGAAAAGGTGTTTTCGGGGCGGGTTTTATGCTGCATAGAATTGCATACTTATACCACCTCTTTAGTTAGAATCTGTATTATACCATGAAATGACTCTTGAGACGATTTCGCTCTGATGAAGGTCAGGCTTCCTGTGGTGGGTTTATTCAGGAATGAGAAGAGGAACGTATAACGTGCGAAACACAGTGTAAAATTCCGGGAATGGCTCTCTCTAGAACTCGGATGTGCACGGATCATCTTACCACTTTCGACTTCCCTTTGCGAGCTCCAAACTTTTTTCCTTGGACAGACGATCTCGAATTGGAATCGGCATCTTCCTCTCCAGACGGGTCCTCACGAACACTTGTGCGGCGCAACCCAATTCTCGCCAACGCCGCAGTTTCAGCCAGCGGACCCAATTGCAAACCCCACAACTCGTCTCCTGCACCCAGCGAACAGGTACACCCGACACAATGCCTCCCCGGATACCACGCCAGGCCTTCGCTCGGCTCTGCCCCCTCGCCCACGAAACCCGCACCCTCCTCCTCACGCGCGCCCTCTCAACGACCTCAGCACCGCAAGCCACCGTAGCAGCGTCGTCTGCCTCCTCGCGGCTCCCTGCCGACTACGTCCCCACGACCCAGCCCCCGAGCGCCCGCCGCCCCGAAAAGCGCCAAGCCCAGCTCATCCGCTCCTACACGTCCCTCCTGCGCTCGACGCCCCTCATCCTCTTCCTCCAGCACAATAACCTTACGGCCATAGAATGGATGGCCGTCCGCCGCGAGCTCAAAGTCGCCCTCGAGGCCGTGGGGCCCGTTGCCGTGGGCAGTGAATCCGTGGATTTGGCGCCGTATATCAAGCTGGAGGTTCTCAGGGCGAGGATGTTCAACCAGGCGCTCAAGATTACGGAATTCTTCGACGCCGAGAAGGCGGCTGGGGATCCCGCCACGGCTAGGACGGATAAGCATGGCCCCTTGGTCCACGACCTCTCCCTCGCCGCCTACGAATCCGTCAAACGCGCCGAAAAGGAAGGCAAAACCTCGGATCCGGACTCCGTTTACGCCCAGCTGAGCCCCCTCATGACGGGCCCCGTAGCGGCCCTCGTCTTCCCCGCCGTGTCCCCCGCTCACCTCGCGGCTGCCCTGACCGTTCTCGCCCCGAGCGCGCCGCAGTTCCCTGCTCCCAGCAGGAAGAAGGCCCCCGGATATCATGATCCCGTCGTGCAGGGTGCGTTGGCGAAGATTCTCCTCGTGGGCGGACGTGTGGAGGGCAAGATCTTTGATGTGGATGGCGTGAAGTGGGTCGGTGGTATCGAGGGCGGTTTGGATGGGTTGAGGGCCCAGTTGGTGGCTATGTTGCAGGGTGTTGGGTTGGGTGTTACGAGTGCTTTGGAGAGTGGGTCGAAGAATTTGTGGCTTGCGCTTGAGGGGAGGAAGATGCAGTTGGAGGAGGGTGAGAAGAAGCAGGAATAAGGATGAGGAGGTTGAGAGAGGCTTAATGTGTTTGATATGGGGTGTGAGAGACCTGGGGGCTTTTCGGGGTCCCCTTCTTGTGTAAGATATCAATATTTGTATGCATATATGTGTACCATCTTGATCTCCTTGGTTGTTAAAGAGAAAAGAAACAATAGAAAAGCTCGCTTTACAATGGAATGCAACATGTACTTTGAAATCTCCCTCAAGGGCTTCCGGTCTATAATTACGAGTGAGGTTCTGTAGTTAGTAGATAAGAGGAAACATGGAACAAGATGGGAGAGCAGAGATGGGATATGAGTCTGACTCTATCTGTGGCCTCAACCCTTGTAGTATATCGTGCGTCAACGTTAATCTTTCCTAAAACCCCAGAGAAAAAAAAGATATACTAAAACATTGAAAATACAGAGAAATCCATCTTGTGGACTGGTGATGTAAAACGAAAAGGGGGAAAAATAAAAATAAAAATAAAAATAAAAAACGTCAAAAAAGCTCGGCTCCGGGATCGAAGCGTACGAAAACTATCCGGGGTTGTTTTCTAGCCTTTTGAGTCGCTGGTCTTGGCCCGCCAGACCATCATGAGTGCAGGCTCACTTGAACAACTCGGCTGGTAGATTCGCTCGTTATCCTCATATATAAAGCTATAGTTAGGTCCGGGGCTTGTGATGGAAGGAGAGAGGGAGCTCTGGGAAGGTTCCTTCCCTTGACCCCAAACATCACCGGACGCACTCGTATTGACCTATCCTCACGCTCGCGAAAAGCTCAAACAAGTCCGTCTTCGGTTTCAGCCAAGGAACCTAACCATTTCTCTGCTCACCAGAAGTGTACGGAAAAGAAACTACTTCTCAAAGTCGAATAGTCATACAATTGTCTATATGCATTGCCCAATCTCTCTCAACCATGCTGCATCGGCTGCACCCAGCCAAGCTAAGCTAAGTCCACCAAACTCCCATTTCCCGAGCGCGTTTTTCTGAACGATAATCGAGCAGTTGTACAACGGCCATGGCCCGTGGCGAAGTGGTGAATTAGGCATAGAAATTGACAGTCTGACGAAACTCACGGTTAGCCTCCCTTCATCTTCACGATCATCAGGACACAAATCGTTAGTACTCACCTCCTTCTTCTTCGATTGCACCTCAGCAATAGCATCAACATAGTGCTCGTGGCTGACCTTATCCTTGCCCATCCTCAACGCAATCATACCCGCCTCAACACAAACGGCCTTGAGCATAGCACCACCAAACTCGTCCGTGCTACGAGCCAACTCGCCCCAGTTGATGCTCTCGTCGATGCGCATCTTCCTCGAGTGAATCTTGAGAATCTGAGCACGAGCCTCCTCGTTAGGTAGTGGGAACTCGATCTTGCGATCCAGACGACCCGATCGGAGCAGGGCGGGATCGAGGACGTCCACTCGGTTCGTCGCGGCGAGGACCTTGATACGGTCGTCCGAGGCGAAACCGTCGAGCTGGTTGAGGAGCTCCAACATGGTTCGCTGAACCTCTCGGTCACCACTCTTCTCGCTGTCGAATCGCTTCGTACCGACAGCGTCCAGCTCGTCGATGAAGATGATCGAAGGCGCCTTCTCCTTGGCGAGGGCGAAACAGTCTCGGACAAGCTTGGCACCGTCTCCGATAAACATCTGCACCAGTTGGGGGCCGGCGAGCTTGAGGAAAGTGGCGTCGGTCTGGGCGGCGCAGGCACGGGCGAGAAGAGTTTTGCCGGTACCAGGAGGCCCGTACATTAGAGCTCCTAAAATAAATACAGTCAGTCAGAATATATGCCATAGCGAAAGTAACCCAACAGGGGGGGGATCAACATACCCTTTGGCGCCTTGATACCGATGGCCTTGAAGCGCTCAGCCTCCTTCATGGGCCAAACGATAGCCTCTACCAGCTCGTCAATCTGCTTAGATAGACCGCCGACGTCGGTATACTGCTCCTTTGGCTTTTCGTCAACCTCCATAGCCTTGACACGGCTGTCATACTCGGCTGGCAGCGTGTCGAGGATGAGGTACGAATCCTTATTAACACCAATTAGGTCGCCGGGCTTCAGGTTGTCCGGGTCGACGAGACCGATGAGAGGCAGGAAGATGGTCTGTCGCGTTGACGTCTTTATCACTGCAGACTTGCCGACACGCGTGGCGTCGAGATCGATATTAGCTCCTTCCTCGGACGATTCGGCTGTGGGATCGAGGTCGAGCAGCTCTACTACGTTTCCGACGAGGTACGGTAATTGCCTGAAGGAGACGGAGAGCGTTAGCATTTATCGACCAGAGATGGAGAAGGGAGGATGAAAAGAAAAGAATAGAGGGAAAAGAGGCGAATCTTGAAACTCTAGTATCCCAAGGACTGCGCTGACCTGTTGTTGGCAATCTTATCCAAATTATCCTTAATCTTCTCGTTCATCGTAGCCTTCTCATGCGTCAACCGCTGAAGCTCGCTCCGCATAATCCTCGAATCATTCTCCAGGAGCCGCTTCCGCGTCAATATGTCTTGCGTGCTGAGGTTGAGAATCTCCTCGTCGAGGACATCATCGGGTTCGGCGTCCTTCATCTCGGCGTCGCCATCACGGTCGGCGGCGGAATCCTTCTTCTCGCCATTTCCCTTGCCGTCGTTTCCGTCCTTCTTATCCTTGTCCTCCTGCTGGTCGCGACGATCGAGATCGTCAAGCTCTTCGAGGGTCGACATTGTGTTGGGTTGTGATGGGAAGTAGCGATGAGAGGCTGTGGTCTAGACAGATAGGTGGGGACGGGTAGAGCAGAGGAATAAAAACGAAAAATTACAATGTTGCGTTCCTAGGTAAGGATTGGGGAGAAGGGAAGAGAAATGGTGGTTGTTATGAGTGGCGTTGGGGTCAAGAGGTCGATAATGTGTGTTTGGGTGATGGAAAGGCTCCCGAGCGTCAAGTGTTCGCAGTTTGGAGCTTGTTGCTGTGTTGAGCATCAATCAGCCTTCAGGTCATGACAAGCTCGCGTAATCCACAGAGCAGCCTTGAGCGCCAAGTGGCAGCAGAGCACGGACCAACAGTAAGACTCTTCCCAATTGGTACCAAGTGGCGAACTAATGTGTTTGCTTACTCATCACTCCAACCACAACAGATGGAAGGCTGAAGAAGGGGAAGGAGCTTGATTGAGTCTCCATCAGAGATGTTCACGGTCTCTCAGAGAGAATCCTGAAATAAATTCTCGGAAACTACCTAGGCAAAGTACTGAAATAATATCGTCCGGGGCAGAATGTTGGACCTAGTTGGACTATCTTACATTAAACGAGCTTACTGGACAGTGCTCGTTCCTCACCTTCTAGAAGGGCTGATAAGGAGAGCAAAGCTACCCCCCGCCAAGGACAATCGATCGACAAACGGAAACAGAAAAACCAGCTTTATTTTTAACCCTCATCTCTCGAGGAACAAATCTACTAGTACTATTGTGTGTGGAGAAAAAATTCATAGGCATGACCCATTTTGCATCACTCATTCCCATAACTCTGCCTCCACCTTCTTCTTGGTAACGCCACCACCCGCGCCCCCTTGATCGATCCAACTTTTTTCAACAAAGTCGAATTGCCATTACAGAACATATGATGGACGGCATGGTTTAAGGCACGGCTTAAGCTGCGCTTCCAATCTTGTTCAAACCCTTTAACGAGCCCAGACTCAATGCCAGCCCTTGCGACCTGCTTCTTATCCTGACAAATCCGGTAATGAGTCCATCTTCGCCTTCTTGCTCGATGCTCAAGTTCGCTAGCGCATCCTCACCTACATGACAGAGGTCGTCTGTTAGTATTCTAGGTTTTTCTATACGTAAGTTGGGAGAGGCGGAGGTAAAGACTATGAAGCACGTACCAAACACACTACGAGCGTAGAGATTGGCGCTCAAGAATTGGCAATCGCCCTTCATGCTAGCCTCGGGAGTAAGGCAGTTCATATTGGTACAAGCCATGAGTTGCTCAAGGAACTCGCGGAGCGACTTGCACTTGGACTTGATATTGACCTTGTTCTCCCATTCAAACTCATTCCACATCGTGCGGAACTGCGTCTCCGTGCACGTCGCGGGCTGAATGTAGTCCATGATATCGACATGGAGATCGTTAAGAATAACAACGTTCGTGTCCGTAGAGTGGGCACCCTCATAGACTACGTTGCCGAAAATAACTCCGGTATCCGTCGACGACACCTTGATGGTGCACTGGACGTTATGGAAGTCGTGGGGTCCCAGGTTCTGCGTGGTCGGCCTCTCGACGACCTTGAGATCGCCGAGCGTCGCGAACTCGACGGCAAGGTTCTGGAGAGTCTCGGTAGTTTGGTTGACGAGGAGCACGTCGAGCACGATATCGAATTGGTGGACCTTGACGTAAGCCTCGGCGTAGACAGGGTCCGAGAATCCGGTGAGCTGCACGACACGGCTGAGCTTCGAAGAGAGGTCCTCCGTCACGGACTCGCCGCCAGTGGCCCGCTCAAGATCAACATCCATAAGCTCCAGCCCCGCATCAGCATTCTTCTTCGCAAGCTGCCGAATCTGGAATACGTCGTCGACCTGAACGGCAGTCTTGGCCCTCTCGGCAGCGTCCTTGGCCGCACGCTTCTTCTCTTCTACCTGGACCATAGCGCGGAAGGCCTTTCGGGTATCGTCGAGGAAAACGGTCTCAAGCTCCTTGTGGGTCGTGAACTCGGAGAGGGAGCGGACGCAAGACATTATCCGATCGACAGAGTCCTCGTCGATGGGGGCCTTGACAAACTGCGATTGGCCAACACGGACAATGGAGATCATGATAAGCATAGCTTCAGCTCGGAGGGCGTTGGTCCGCGCAGGCTCCGACGAGATCTCGGAATGCCTCATCACAAGCTTGACAAGGGTAGAAGAGAGCACGGTAGCGAGGTAGTAGTCGCCATCGAGGATGAGTTGTCGAAGAGGGGGCTTCTGCGCCGCCTTGACAGCTTCCAACTTGGCCGCTGCCGAGGACTGACTCGTCAGAGCGGTCTCCGTAGCGTATGTGCCATCCGCTAGCACTCGTCGAGAACCGCTGGGCGCTGCCGGCTTGGAATGACCGTTCACCTGGTCGTCGTCCTTCTTCTCTTCGGCATCGACGTTGTCGAGGAGGCGCTGCTCAGAAGCGAGGATGGGGATTTCACCGAGACTAGCCCGGATTCGCTTCCATGCATCACGGATGTCCTTCTCCTCGGCGGAGTATTCGCCGATGATCCAGAGAATACCCCTATAGACCTTGCCAGCTCGAACCTCACCAAGAGTACCGGCCAGCCTGGGGAGGATGGACGCCCGCAGGTTGGGGAACTTCTCGACTACCTCCTTGACGAAGCTGATAACATCAACAGCAGAGGCATTGTTGAAGTCGGCAATGAAGTCCATAAGAAGATCGACAACGCTGGCTGCGACCTCGGAGAACTTGATGGCACACTGATGTATGGAATGGATGAGGAGCTGGCGATACTCCGAGTTCTTCTCGTACTCCTGGTCCACAGTCTTGGAAAGCTCCTTCTTGAGGAGCAAGACAACTTCTTCCACGTTCTTGCTCGAGACCATTTCCAAAGCAAGTGTCAATGCTTTTCGGCGGACATCGATATCGGGGCTAGAAAGGGCTCGGAGAATATCCATAACAAGATCATCGAGGACGCCTTCGTTCTTCCTCCTCAATTGGTCCACCCGGTCGAGGACGATCAGCTTAACATTATTATCGGGCTCCTTGATGCTAAGCTCAATAAACTTGGCGGCGGCAGCCTTGACGGCAACGGGGTTGTTTGTAAGCGCCGTTAGGGATGAAGCGGCCTCGTAGACAACGGTCGAGGCACCGGCCTCGAGTAAGTCGAAGATGAGTCTAAGATACCGGGCCTTTCATGTGCACGTTAGTACATCCCTCAACCCGGGGAGCAACAAGGGACCCGGGTGGTACAATAACGGCCACATCCATACATACCTTGTTCTGGGCGTTCTGAACTGCATCTTTGCGGATAAATTCAATCTCAACAAGCTGCAAAAGCTCCTCCGCGTTAGGTATGCCGTCAAAAACTTGGCTAAGGTAGGCAAGCGCTCGGTCATGGTCTATGCTAGCAAGAGCAGCGAAAGCATTGCGCTTGCAGGTTGCGTCGCTCTCTCCTTCGAGGAAAGTCGAGATGAGATCGGAAGCGTCAGGGATAAGCGAGGGGGAGTGCTGGAAAATGGACGACACGGCGAACACGGCGTTCTTCCGGACGTAGGCATGGCGGTGCTCAAGGCAGGCGCGGGCCGAGGACAGCAGGGGTTCGATGAGCTCGGGTTCTCGAAGCTTGCAGAGGAAACGGAGTGTGTTTCCACGAATGTACTCATTGGGATGTTGGAGGTCATTGCGGATGCCATTGCTACACAGGCGCCCGTGTTAGTAGATCCGATGTGCAGTGCGTTGGATGCCCTATGATAGACCATAACCCACCAGACTAAGATCATTTCCTGCTTAAGCTTGCCGCTAGAATCAAGCTTGGGACATATCTCGTAGTAAAAGTAGAGAAGCTTCTTGAGCGGCTTGGACTTGGATGGCATGACGAATCGAATGATGTGCATAAGGAGGGAGGGCATGGGGTCGCCATTGAGCATGATTGTGAGAATCCGCTTCATGGTTTCCACCTTGGTCTCGTCAGTTCCCTTCTCCAGCTGCATCCGCAGGTCGGAGACGGAGGGGATATCGGCGGTGTTATCCTGGTGCACCAGGCTGTAGGCATTTTCGAGAAAGGTTGTCATGGTGGCTGGTGTCTTGGTCCGTACGACGGAGCCAGCTCGATCGGTCAGATTACGTCGCGTAAGGTGTTGATCAGGAGCTGGGTCGAGACCCGGGTTAGATAGGAGGTGACGACTTGAATCGAGGGGTGGTCAAGACTAAGAGGATTAGGTTGCGAGATAGTGGAGGTGGTCCAGGGAGTCGTGGGAGAGCGGAACGGAGGAGACGATCGAACACCGACCATGCGAAGAGAACTGTCGGAATGCCTGGTCCTAGTTAGATGGCAGTGCGCCACAACACAAGGTCGAGATGTTCGCTGTCGCAGGGGGCTAGAGGCTGGTGTGGACAGGTCAACGAGATGTTAGGGGTGGCATCTTTTGGTGAATCTGGCCTGCGCGACCCTCGCCCTCTCCCAATTCCAGGTACGTACCCCTGGATCGTAGTGCTAACTGGCCAGATTTGGGTTATGGTCACGTGATTTTGCCAGACTTCAGCGGTGTCTGTCAAGGGGTGACAAGCCCGAAGCAGTGGTCGCAGCAGGCACTGTGGAGGAATAAGGTTTAATTGGAGGTACTAGTACATTGAGCATCGATTATGTAATAAGGCTTGGGCGGATGAAGTCGAGTGGCAACAGCCTGGAACAATTGAGCAACGTGGGAGCTGCCCCGCGGTCGAGTCCAAAAAAGCACCCCTCCATGCACTCAACGCCAGCGAAACTGTGTGTGATAAGTGCTGTGCGGTGAGAAAAGGCTGGGCCTTAGTCTCTTAATCGAAGTGAACTTTGTCGACTTACCTCCCCCAACTCTGACATACCCAATCCGCTTTTCAACCCTCCACGTCTCTTGACACCGAATTCATCAAGGGTTGCCACCATGGCTTCCAACGAAGGCTTCTACCTGCGCTACTAGTATGTTTCTGTCGAATTCTTGACCCACAGCAAGACAAGGCTGACACCAAAGTCTTCAAGCTCCGGACACTCGGGTCGATTCGGCCATGAGTTCTTGGGTTCGTTATCAAGGGCAACCCTCCCCAGTATGTTGGAAGGGATTCTAATCTGGTCGACTTACAGAATTCGACTTCCGTGTTGTGGGCGATGGTCGAAGCGCCGTCGCCAGATATGCCAACAATTCCAATTATCGAAATGACAGTCTCATCCGGAAAGAGAGTACGGCGCAATGTCTCGGTTTACCGCATGGATTACCTGTCAGCTTGCTAATTTGAATCGACAGTGTGTGTGAGCTCAACGGTTATCGATGAGATTAAACGAATCGTCAAGTCAAGTGAGATCCTGAAGTGCGTTAAAGGTCCAATCATCGCAATGCTTAACACAAGCTAACCCAGCGCAGGGAAGATGATAAGAAGTGGCCGCAGAAGAACAAGGATGGGCGCCAGGAGCTAGAAATCAGGCTCGGCGGCGAACACGTCTCTTTTGAGGTGAGTTACGATGTGACTCCCGTGATGAGAGAGACCCCAAGACATGATGCTAATCGATCCCGGTAGACCGCTAAGATCGGATCCCTCGTGGATGTGAGCGAATCGGCGGACCCCGAAGGCCTACGGGTGTTTTACTATTTAGTACAAGACCTCAAGGCTCTCGTATTCAGCTTGATCTCTCTTCACTTCAAGATCAAGCCAATTTAAAGTGCAGTCGAAAGGAAGTTGGGATAGCGGAGATGAGCTAGATGTTATGTTCAATTCTTTTCAATCCCAAAAGATACCCAGTAAACCAAATCGGACTTTGCTACGTCTATATATTTCCACAGAGTGATCCATTGACATTTTCGTGCAATGGTTTTGTCATGTATTTTCATCGGCCCAGGCCGATATCCTCATCCAGGTCAAGTACTTGTGTGGGGGGATCTCGCCAATCTCCCAATTTGGACCAGGTTCTCCAAGATTTGAACCGGGATTTTTACTCAGCCGTGTACACATTATAATTGATACTGTGATTAACCCCATTCTCGTCAGCAAGTCGCCCTAATTTTAGTGTCTTCACATGCATTCATGTCCGATTTCGAATGTCCGGTGGGGCTAGCACCCTGTGCTATCAACACTGTATGCCAAGTCATCCTGCTCCCACCCAAACAGCTTGGGAAGTCGCAATGATGGTGGTGTGAATCATGCCCATGTCCAGTTAAGCCCCAGGGTCATTCCCCTCCCATAACACTCCATCCCTTGTTGCTTCCCTTGCTCTGAGTGGAGAAGCAACATAGTTTCGAAAGAGAGCAATCGAATCGAAACCCCTCCAGCAAACTAAACTGCCAGTGCAACCCGTATCGTAAAAGATAGAGACAAGCAAAAGCAACGCTCTTTTCCCCCCTCCTCACCTGGTTTCCGCGGAACGAGGCTGGACCACGAGACCATGGCAATTCGACTCCTTGGCCGCATCCACTAAGGAGTTAAGGGGATCAGCGACAAGCGACAAGCGACAGCGACCTGAGAACAAGGCTGTCCCACGGGCTCGCACGTTAAATCGTCACTTACCCCGGAGACAATATCACACAGCAATGGTATGTCATACGAGGCCAATCCCTGCCCAGCCCAGTAGGGCTGAATACTCTTGACGATCCACTTCTCGGACTTGCTTCGTAGCAGAGACGAAGCACATGCAAGGGACTCCAAGTATTCCAGTGCTAACCATGTCATCTTATGTCCTGTTTGTAGGGTTGCTGCGCTTCCCGCCCGTCTGGCGACGATTCGCCCTACGTCGATGGCGCAGCCTCAACCTCCTCGCATGCGATCAACACCCAGCCCCCTACACAAGAACAACCTTCAACAGATGAAACGATCCAAACCACGACGACGGGACCTGGTTCGTCCACACGACGGCATCGACGCAATCAACAGCCGCTAGACCAGCACATTAACAAGCCGCTTCGCCGGCACGTATGGGCGTCTAAGAACCGCAGATGGACGAGGGCCTCACTTGATCGAGAGAGATCCGAGTTCTTCGATACTAGGGTAACGGGTCGACCTGAGGTCTGGGCGACGTTGCATGCCGTGCTAGAGATTCTATGGAACCCCGAATCCGAGGGTTTGTCAGACGATGGAGCTGAAGGACTTGCGACTGCGCAGAGCATCCTTGATGCGGCGGAGATTACTCTCCCGACCGGCAATTTAGCGCAGGGAGCCTACGATTCTTTGGGAAACTACTACGCATTCCACGAATGGATCATCTCGGACCCCACAAACATCGTAGAGGGCCATGACGATGACGTACCGGAACGAATTGAAGACGATGATACGAAGAGGATTCCTCCATTCGAAGAGTCGGATGATCCCGATGACGAGGAAGCCGCCCGAAGGAGGGAAGAGAAGGGGAAAGCCGTTGTCGACGTGAGAGACTTGATAACGGTGTACGCCCGGTTGAGCGAAAATGCCCGGGACGTCAAGGTTGCCGTGGGCAAGTCTGATTCGGTTCGCGTTGTAGCCCGGAAGATTCTCGAGGACTCTGGCGTAAGAAGAACCACTTGCACTATGCACTATCTCCCTCCCCCTCATCTTAACGTAAATCTCTAACACTGAGCTTTAGCTGCCTCATGACCGGACTATCCGTATAGCGTATCTAGGAAAGATCCTTCGAGATAATGCCTCCCTTCAAGACCAAGGCTGGAAAGCCGGTCACGTAATCAACGCTCTTGTCTTTCCTCGCTAGGAGCGTGCGGGAGACGACGAAAACGAGCTTACCATATCCGGGAGGTCGTGGTCCCGAAGGCTTCGATGGCAGCAACGCCGAAGCCCTTCTCCGGTTCGCCGTCTAGACAGCCCTGACAGTGGGCTGCCCTGTGAAACGGACTTGCCGACGTGGTACCCGATCTTCGGCTGGGTCTATCTATAGCGCCCTTGACGAGGCACTTCTATACACATGACCCATTAATGAATTTTGTTTCTTAATTATAACCCTCATCCCTCTCCCCCTACCCTTTCTCACGACCTACCTCCCCAGCAGTGCTCTTATATTTTATAATACTTGGCCGGAGCCGCATCCAGACGGTATTACCTACCGAATCTCCCCTTCGATTTCTCTTGCTTTTTTTTTCTCCCTCTTCGACGGGAGGTTGGTACTTTTATTCTGCTACCACATGGTTTTTGGTTTGGTAATATAGGGATCGAGCAACAGGCATTGGCATGGCAATCATGTTTTTCACGGCCGATTCATCATCATGTTACTGGGACATCCTACCTTGACGATACCTCTTGTGGTTTTTCTTTATTTTCTTCTCATCTTTTTCCCTCATTCCCACTTACTCTGGTTTAACTTTTTGTGGGAGGGAACTGGGAGATGGCGGATACCCAGGGCGTGCTTTAGTTTTCTCTTGGAGTTTGTGTTGTCCTGTGCGTTGCATCATCATGCTTTATGTGTGTGGCCGGATGTGTGGACGGATGCAATGCTTTACTCCTATTTACTATGTTTTCCCATGTTTTCTTTTAAGGGGACAAATAATATCAATAATATTCACAAGTGAAACATCCAACGTCATCATCAGTCAGTCATCGTCGGAAAAGGCGGGATCAACACCACCAAGGCGTCGTCAGCCTTGTCGTCATGGCACATCCACAACTCAAACTTTATAAGGTTGCTTGCTTCACATCACTGCTACATACGACCATAGCTCGCAGAGAATTGAGGGTCCCGTCCGCTCCCCTGTACACAAGCTGCGAAGCGCCGGATTAGTAGTTGGGTCGGTGACGACCAGCGAATCCCCGGTGTTGTATGTTTTTTTGTTTCTTTTTTTCTTTTTTTGCTCCTTCATGACTCGGCCATGCCTCCAAGAGGTTCGATCCTGATGAGATTGCCTGGGGCACGGGAGTGTGTGGCTATCTCTCAGATAGCATGGCAAAGATCAGGAGGGTCCAGGGCCTACGGAGGGACGCTTCGTGACGAGATGGGCAGTGATCCCCTTTCAACCCAGGCCAATGGGTATTGAGGGTAACAGGTGTGAAAAATGCAAGAAGCGCCGTTAAGAAAGGGGTTATCGGAGGAGCTCGGCTCCCTTCTGCAGCGACTTGTTTCTCTGTTTCCTTGATCGTGAAGCTGTGGAGCCGCCCGTTTTGCTGTCCTCGAGGCTGTGGCGGTGGTGATGTGAATGGATATACTTTGAGGAATTCCCGTTTGAGGAGATACAAATCGTCAGTCTATGCCGTGACGATAAATTATATACACGCATTTATTCAGAGCAGATCCGAAGATATCTTTTCCAATCTTGTCCCTTTTGTTTACGAAGGTATCGAGTGCTCACCGAGGCTCGGTGTGGCTCTTTCTCTATTTTCACCCCACGCCCCACCACGACTCACCGCCCAAATCTTTTTTTTCTGCCCCTCCAAAGAACTTGCAAGAGTCTTGCATCCTGAACCAACCTCGACTATATTGCCCACAACAGCGCAGACGAGCTCAATTTGCGTCTGTCTCCTCGAACTAAGAAACCAAGTCTCTGCGACGTTCAATCCCTATCAAACGCCAACCAACTACGCCAATAGCCATCTGACAAACATATCAGCCTGCCCACCATGGCATCGCAAGAAGCCAACCTCCCCTTCATCCGCAACCTCGCCTCGAGCGGTGCGTCCTCTCTCCGTCCCTCTCCGTCCCTCCACCCCTTCTCGCAACCGCCGTAACTAACGAAACTACGCAGACCGCAAACTCCGCACCACGTCCCTCGAATCCCTCCGCGCCTTCCTCTCCGCCCAACACACCCTAACCCCCACCGACGCCCTCAAGCTCTGGAAAGGCCTCTTCTACGCAATGTGGATGTGCGACCGACCCATCCCCCAACAGAACCTCGCCGCCGAACTGGCCAATCTCCTCGCGCCATCCACTTCCTCTTCATCTTCCTCCACCGAAACTGGCGTCGTGCACGAAGAGTGCGCGAGTGCGTGGATGCGCGGCTTCTGGGAGATCATTTCCACGCAATGGACGACGGGCATCGACGTTCTCCGGATGGAAAAGTTCCTCCTACTCGTCAGGCGGTTCGTGTGCGCTTCGTTTGCGTGGGTGAGGGTAGGCGGGTATAAAGACGGGAGGGTGCGTGCGCTTCTGGAGGTTTTGGGGGAGTGGCCTTTGGAGAAGGAGGGGGAGCTGGATAGGGTTCCGTTGGGGTTGAGGTTACATGTTATCGATGTATGGGTGGACGAGGTGGAGAGGTCCCGGGTGCTGGCGGAGGTGGAGGAGAAGGAGGGGGCGAGGAAGGTTGTTGATGGAGTGGGGGATTTGGTTAGGGCGTTGACGAAGGGGTTTCCTAGTAAGCCTTTGAGGAAGAAGGCGGGGGATTCTCTGGAGGATGAGAGGTTACCGTGGTATGTGCCGCCGAAGGAGGACGACGAAGGGGATGATGACGACGGATGGGCGGGCTTCCAGGATTAGGCACGGAGAGAGAGGAAAAGAAATATTAAAGGACAATCGAAAAACTAAGGCGTTAGGTGAAAGGCAAAGGAAACGGATTTGATTACTCTCTCGGATCCCACGAGGTAAAGGTGCCGAGGCGGTCTCAGGTATATCAATGATAAATTCATCTTGATCTACCTTCATCCCTCAAAGCATATCGCACCTGTTTTCCAAGCCCGACGTGACCGGTACTCCATACAAGTGAAAACCCTTCACTCTTCGCCTTTGTCTATGCATAACCTATCACTGCCCGCTCTTATCTCCTGTAACTCGTGGCTCCTCTTCGCGATTCTCTGCACCTATGCACTTACTCAAACAACAGGACTACGAAGCAATGCGACCCACACCAGCTCTCCAAAAGCCATCCCCAGTACTCAGCTCTCACTCCTCACCCTTGGCCTCCATCTTCTTATACTTCTCAAGTGCTTCCACAAGCTGCTGCCCACCTTGGCCCTTATCGCCGAAGAAGTCGGTGATCTTGACATTAGTCGACTCCACCGTCATCGTCGCTTCGGTGATGGCTTTCTCAAGCACTTCGATCCTCTCCTCTAGCTGCTTTACCTTCGCTCTCCACTTTGCTATGACCTCGGTGAAGGCAGCTTCGATGACCTTGATAACCTCGACGGCCTTGATGAGGTCTGGGCTTTTGTCGACGCTTGCCTTCAACAACTCTTCTTTCGAACTCATGGCGTCCTATTATGTGGTCAGTGGGTGTAACAGACGACAGGGTTTTTCTTTGGCCTAGGATCATGACAGATATAATTTACCAAGATCCTGTGGGTCGAGAGCTGTGTGCGAGTCGTTGATGGAGACCTTGCAAGTCCGCGATCCGCGAATTGAGGGGGAGGGAGACTGTTCCACGGAGCTGGATTCTTGGCCGGGTAGGCAGCTATGAACTAACAGGAGACAGTATGTTTTGATTATAGATTCATATATTCTTGCTCTACGGGGAATGGTATTTCCGGAGATCCAGCTTCTTAAATCCAGGAAATTTCCCATTACACAGGGGCACCGCCCGACGTTAATGCTCATCCTTGGGCGAAAAGTGCTAGCGGCCTAGGCAGTTTGTGATGTATCTGATGCAGTTGTTCATGCTTAAACCCTGCGTTGGGTTCTTGCAGCGAGTGCAACACTCTTCGGACATGACGTCTAAACCATACTCTGTAGTCTTCTCGAGAAACAGATGTGCTCTTGCGTTGCCTGCGGAGCAAGCATGAACTGGCGAGCGTAAGTGAGGGAACGGTTCAATAACGGGAGATGGTCTCTTCAGACGCTAAGAAAAGCAGGAGTGTCATGGCTGCCCGACGGCTCTGCCTGGGCTCTCAGGATATGCCCCTACGGCAGGTGGACAAGAAGAGATTGTCAAAATGCAGGGTCTTCATGTAAGGCAGCCAATAACGACTGCCAGTGACAAGGGGACTGCCGATGACAACATGAGCAGGATAAGAATGCCACATCGACCACGAGTAACCCCCCACGTCTTTGAAGCTGCAGAGTTGTCACGTTTCACCTGAGGTATGAACCTGTAGCCAGTTCGCTGGCTCCATGCCCCCGGCATATGCTGCATGCTGCGCCTACGGACCCTACCCAATATGACCTGTCTCTCTCAGGCGCATGCGGCTGGTTTTTTCAGCCTGGCGACGCTTCAACTGACGTCAGAGTAGTTGAGCTGGTTCACGTTCTTTATATTTACTTTCCTCTTTACTGTTAGGTTTTCTGCGGGGTGATGCAGAGGTGCATGCATCATGTTTCATGGACGGCGTCGTCGGTCAACTAATAAGACGGCAGAGAATATCGTGCCGGTCGGAGACCCTGGAAGAACGGCACGTTTATTACGCCGGAAGGAATCGGGGATCTTCCAATCACACTTGTGTTCCTCGCAAAGTTGGAAAAACTCGGATTGTTCAGGTCGAGGCCCGAATCTCTTCTCCCTCTCCACGGTTATCAGAATCCTTTGCCTCGACATCCATTTCCGCACCACCATCACCTCTTCCGTCATTGTTACCTGTCTCATTCCGGTCTGCCTCCTCGTTACTCTCGCCGTCCAATCCCATTCGCTTATAAATTTCCTCGGCCGGAAGGAAAAAAATTCAGCGAATCCAGGCGGGCAGGTGGCCGTCGATAGGCCGGCCTAATGGGAGAGGAGAATCTTGTGCTGGCGCACTGCGCGACCTGCCTCTCGAGGGCCAATTAGTGCCCGTTCCGCAATGCTACTACCATAGTGGTAGTTAGGGATCTTTAGGCTCTTATGCTTATACTTGCTGTATTTGCTCAATGTGTAGAATGAGGTTTCTGACCGGGAGTCGCTGCAACATGACAATGGCACTAAGGAGCCCTGGGATAGCATACCGACGGAGAGACAATGAGGAGCGAGAAGCAAGGCATATAGATACTAGATTCGGGTAGCACATGGGGAGGAATTGAGCGGACAGCAGGGAAGAAATATATGCAAAAAAAAGTAGCCCCCAGATAACACGCGGCCTTGAAATGATTTGACGAAACAAATCATCCTCTGGTTCTACACAAAATCAACGACTACCCTTCTGACGCTTAGAGCCGGAGCGCCCAGCTCCGCCGTCGGAATCCTGGCCCCGACGCCGGCTGCCAGTGCTACTATCATCCGGTTTGCCCGACGACTGCAGAGCATGGTCGCGGCGGGATTTCTCCAGAGGCGTCAACCACCGCCTGTCACAATAGAATACAAAGTCGTTGGCGTCGCTGTCATACAGCGCCTGATCCTCGTCGATAGGGTGACGGTCGCCATGCTGGTCGAAATAGTGGGGTTTGTAGTCATCGCTAAGCCGCACTGCGCTTCGTTTGACGAACAGATTCCCCTGATGCAAGTGGAAAGGGTTGTGTGTATCCGTTGCCCCGTCTTTACCCACCCTAGAGGGATCGTCCTCATCGCTATCAGAGTTTGAGGAGCTGCTGGCGTACTCGGAATCGTCGGAACTTGCTATGTTGCATTGGCCGGACGAGTCTTGGGTCGCTGTAGGCGGTGGATTTTGCCTGCTGTCCTTCTTGGCCGTCTCGTGATACTGACCAAAAGAGAAAGAATCGAGATCCGAGAATTCTTCCCCCATTAGCCCATTACCGTAGGCTGCTATAAGCGCCAAGCAGAAGAGGGCCAGCCGTACTGTAAGCTTCCCCTTCCCGTTGGCGTCCCAAGGAATGACCTTGTATCGCATATGAACAGGGTCATCAATGGCATTCGGCTGATAGGAAGCGGCCGACAATCCTGTGCCGGTTGAGACGCCGGTAATAGATAGGACGGCCATGGAACTGCCTATGCTCTCCATCGAGACGACGCGTTGGTGTTGCTCTGGAGGCCCTCGTTGGCGCTGCACCGCAGGCGTTCGCTGAGGCCTTGTTGCTGCAATACCTGGCCCGATTGGATCCTTCCTGAGTTCGAAAACAACAAGTTCCGCATCGCTAATGACGAAACCGTATCGCGATAGAGACCGGTCACAGTATGTTGCCACCTGTTGTATTGGCAATTCATTCAACTCTTCCATATCCGTCTTGCGTCTTTCCCGCATGCCCGTTGTTGACTTCCACTTCGAAGATATTTTGCTATCTCCTGGCATGAAGTTGTAGAAGTAGCCCTGCTTGTCTTGAAAATCCTCACTGACTAGGGCCCAGTCAGCGCGAATCTGAGAGTCATTGTCATACACGCATACTCCCCCGCGGCGGACTTGCCAGACAGGAAACCTCTTTCCGTATTGGTCTTCAAGCAATCTCGTCACACTCTCGAGAGCCTCGTTAACCATAGGAATTGTATCCCGGCTTAAAACCTGATGTTCAAGAGTATCTTCATCGAAAACGCGTCGCCCTTGAGCGGAAATCTCACCCATGCTGGAGAGGGCGTGCTCGGATTCCAAAACGTGGCGAAGCTTGGCATAGATCGAGCCATAGTTGAACTCCTTCCAGGGAGATGTGGAAATAAAGTGCAGTGGCATGACGATTTTGGAATTTCCTCCTGATCGAAACGCCGAAGTGTCTACCACCGGATTAGGCTGTGTCAGGTATGAGAGAAGAGACGTGCGAGGCATCGTTGAGACGTTAGCTGGGTAGAGCAGGGACGGCAAGATCAAGTATAAGCTAGCTACGGTTTCGAGGAATAGAAGCCGAGGAAATGTTGAAGTCGAGCTAGAGAACAAACGGCCAGGTAGAGAGGTCAGATATATCGGTTCTTCCATGATCGCAAGAATTGGTTCCTTTCCCATTGTAGAGGTTGGCGCATCAGGCTGCGTTCCAAAGCGGGGTTAAGAATAGGCAGCAATCGCCCATCAGCTCGCCGAGGGAGAAAACGACCAGGACCAACTCGTTCAGATCCCCCGAAATATTGTATTTGGGGTGGATGTGGTCGGAGAATGGCCGCATAAGATACGCGCGGCTATCACAGTCGTGGCCCACGTCCGCGAAAGAAAGGCCCAATCACGGAACTGACAATGGATTAGGATGAGAGCATCAGGCGTCCTAAATCGCCTTGTTTGGCATTGTCTGGGTCGCGTTGTACGCGTAGACTTTGAAAGCCTGCTCGTCTCCTTCATCATTGCTGTTCATCAATCCCGCTTCTGTTCCTCGCCAATTTTGGCGTCCTCGGGATTGTCCAGGTGCACCCCACTTTCGTCTTCATGCCCATGGCTATCAGTATTGGCAATATTGGTTGTGGCATCTACCTCACAGCCATCACCTCTCTCCTCTTCATTGTTATCTTCCCCATTCTCGTCTTCTTCTTTGCTGCTCTCGTCGTCCAATCCCAGCTGTTTATAGAGCTCTTCTGCCGGCAGGAAAAAATTCTGCGAATTCAAGTGGGCGGGTGGTCCTCGATAATCCGGCCTAAACCGGAGCGGAGACAACACATCGCCAAAGTCCACGAGCTTTCCACCTCTCCAGTTGTCTTTTTCCCTCATAAGGTAGGAGAACCCTGCGTAATAGAAGAAGTCTATGTTCTCCTGAAGCACAAAATTCTCACGGTCCCTTGGACTCCGTGAGACATATTCGTAAACAAGCGCATAGTAATGGGACGTATCCTCATAGTAAGAAGGACCCCCTCTATGACGAGCGTCTTCGAAGTCTCGGGGCAGTACTTCGCGAGGCACTTTCACCCATCCATAGCACCGGACAATAGTATCCGCCGATGGCATCGGTATCGGATCTTCAAAAATAATTGGATCCTTCTGTCCTTCCTCACTAAAACATCGCATGTTATTCCGCATATCCTCGGTCGTTAGTAGCTTTCTCTTCACCATGATCGGGGACTCGGCATGTTTAAGCGCCCATCGAATCTTCTCAATCCTGGCAGCCGTTTGACATGCCTCGACAAAGGGCCAGTGCTTAAAGAGTTTGTGGCTTCCTTGGGCCCAGCTGGATCGCGTATTCCAAAACTAGAAGGGAGCACATTCAATTAGATCATGACATCTGATAAAGGACATACAAATTGGGCAAACAACGTACCACTTTAAGCGCGTATGGCAGTTCTCCATAGTTATCCCCAAACCGAACCCGGTATACAACTCCCTGGTGCCCTTGACCGATTCGCCTCCGCCAATGTATTTTCTGGTCATGCCCAGGGAATCTTCGGAGAAGTGGTGCCCAAAAATTCTTGAATTGCATTAGAGGGGCCGAGTCATCAAGCGGGTGGTCAGAAAGGAATCGGAAACCGCGGAAGTCTCGGTGGTCCAGGGCACCGTCAGGGCGAGTGCTCGGTGGGTCATCAGGGATGGGGAGAATCTGATGGTCCGGGTGCCAAGAAGGTAGTTTCCACGGAGGTGGTGAGGGAGCTGGGGGAAGTTGGTTTTGACGAGGGCGTTGTTGATGGGAAGACTTGTCAGAAGAAGGCCTACGATCTCGACCGGGAGATCTTGGGGGCGGTGGAGGCGTAGGGCTGTGGGGTGCAGGTTCGGCAGGGGGCGACCCTGCCGGATCATTTACGGTTGACATTCTAAGGGGGGGAAAGTTGGAAGGAGCTCGAGTGAACTATATGGTGAGGCTAATGTTGAAGAACAAGCTACGAAGCCATTGAGCCCGGAACCTGATTTGATGGATCTACCTGGGTGTGATATCGAGGATACTGGCGATAACACAGCGCTGGCGCCGTGTTCAAAACAAAGACGGCAGCGAGCTTCGAGCCCTCATCTCTCAAAAGAGGCAGACTCTGGGAGTGAAGGGAATGGGAGATGCAAGCGCTCGCTTGTTAGTCGTATTTCGAGAGTGTCCTGGCGGTACTCCGTATTGTCCAATTCCAGTGAGTGTGTTAATTAGAGGTTCGTAGCGTCGTCAAGACAGCCAAGACATTTATTGACAAGCAAGAATAATGTAGTCTAGTTTCTGAAGGCTTACCTCAGCACAGTCCGTAGATATATTATAAAATGTCTGTGATAAAATATAGAAAAAAAAATACTTTTAAAAAGAAATAGGCAGTATTGAAATTATTTTTAGAATTATTTTAGAATTATTTTTATATTTGCTATTTTATGGACTTTTGTTTTTCTTTTTTTAAAAGGGATATATATACCAGTCGGGTTGACACCATTGCCCAAGCCTCTATTGTCGTAAGAGTGTAGCATTATTCGCGTCCATTCGAAGCACCTCATGTTGGTCAGCCTCAAACGTCCTATTCCCTGCGGTCTCTCTTTGAAGACAGCCTTATTCCCTCTCACGCCGAGCCGCTGTTAAACTTGACGTGATCCCTATTTCAAAGGGGGCTGAGCTTGAGATGTGGATCCAAGGTTGTCTGTGGCATTGTTTGGTTTTACAGAACTAATATTAGTGTGGTGTTCCTGGCCTGCAGCATCAATCCGGACAAAGCAGGTTCAAACGCAGAGATTCGGGGGAAGGGGCCCGTAAATTAAATATTTGAATTTTGATATTGATTCCCTCGAGGTAAGCTCTATAGACCTTCTCTCAAGATTCCTTCGAAATCCCCGAAATGCACATCAGTCCCATCCCATCCTCTTGCGATACCACCTCAACGTCTCCATCCCAGTCTGCACCCTCATCCCGCACCGCGCATCCAGCACAAATGCCTCCCAGTTCGCCGCCTTGTCTAAACAGGCCTGGCACTCTTCGATCTTGGCCTTTCGAACGTCGTCAAGAGCCGTTGCCTTATCGTCTTCGCTCTGATTCTCGGCCGCTGCTGTCTTGTCTTTGGAGGAAGCTTCCTCCTTGCATTCCTTCGATGCTTCTTCGAATGACGGAGATGAGCGGGCTTCGACCCAGGCGAGGACACCCATTTCGTAATGTGTGCAGGGAAGGATATAGTCATCCTTCGTGCCACCCTTGAAGCAGGATCTAATAATTCAGTTAATCCCAAACATGTTCGAATCAATACGCCTTCGTAGGAGAAGGAAGCAACAGAAAGGAATAGGTAAAAACGGAAAAGAAATAAAGGATCCCTAGGCCATGGAAACTCACTTGTCATGCTTCAAAACATCCTCCTCTAACCCGGTCCGAGCCTCCTTCACCCTCCCTAACACCCTCAAGAGCGCCGCCTCGCAGAGAGCTTTTACCGCCCTCTCCTCGACCACGCCTCTAAACTTCTCCACAGCTTCCTTATTCGCTGTACACCTTTCCCACGCCAAGTACCCGAGTGCCTTTTCGGCCTGTTCCATATCCACCCTCTTCCCACCGTTCCACAGATAGACCATCTCCTGCGCGGGACTCACGCCGATGGCGTCTGCCAGATCGATCTTGTGCTCTTTCGCACGTGCCTCCCATTTTTGAATCTTACGCAGCACGAAAATTTCAAAGGGAAGCTGTTTGGCGAGGAACCTCTTCTTGCCCGATGCCGGGGGTGCCTTTCGGAAGAGCTCCTCGGCCGTTTTCTTCCTCCGCTTGGTTTCTTCTGCGCCGCCGCCTCGATTGTGAAAGGCGTCGCGATAAAACTCCAACTCGGCGCAGCCGGCAAGATAGTAGTACAGCGTACGGCTCCACTCGTTCAGTTCAATACACTTAAGAAAGGAATCGCGCATGAGATTCCAGTCCATGATGAATAGCCCACTGATCGCAGTCTCGAAGGAGGCCAAGGCATCAACCTGCTTCATGTTGGATTTAGGCATGTGCTTGAGGCAGTCGATGGCGTCAGCTAGACGTCGTGAGTTGGAGTACATGCGCGACTGCTCCAGATGCAATAATCCGGACTGCGGGTACCGAGCTCTCATGCGGGCGAGGAGCGCATCGCACTTTTCTACGGGTAGACCGACAATCTCGGCCGCGTCGTCGTAGAGATCCGCGGGAGGTAAGATGTCCGACAGGCCGAGGAGCCCGTTGTAGTATGTGAAGAGGACAAGGCTAGCAATGGCGCCGTGCACGTTTGGGAAAGCCGTACTCTCCCAGAGCATACGGATACCGCGCTCGCGATCGCCCCTGAAGCCAACGATGCTAAGAAGTTTTGATAAAGCGGGGGGGACTAGGGTAAAAAGGAAAAGAAGGACGCCGAAGCACATGGTCGCGCCGCTGTGAATGAAGGCGTCTCGTGGATTTGTGAAGACTTCGGAGTCGAAACTTGTCTTGGTGCCGGTGCCGGTCGCTGAACTACCGGCTCCGCTGGTTGTTGACAATGAAGAAACCTCGGAAGAGGAATCGGAAGAAGTATTGCCAGGACTCGATTTTGAGGGAGGCAAGGTGTCGGGATTCCGCAATGACGAATGCGCAGCACATTCGGCATCCTTTCCAATTTCAGCATCCTCATCGTCGCAAAACTCATCATCCCCAAACGTCCCAGGCATTCTGTCATCCGCAAAAGCTTCGGCAAGCGACCTCCTTCTCTGCGCGGGCGCATTCCGTTTAACAGCTCTAATGTCCAACTGCATGATGGCGTCCAAAGCGAAATACGCCTTTCTGAGCTTATAAAAGCTCTTAACACCCTCGGTCAAGCTCTCGTGCAACACGCCGACGACGGCAGACATGAGCGTGGCCTCCGCATGCACAAGCGCATACTCGGTGCCGGGAGGGTAGAGGCATGATGTGCACTCAGCAAATTCCTTCTGCGCCCTCTTCTGGTCGACCAAGGCTCTCGCTTCGCAATTGGCTAGCTGGGTCGACGCCAGCAACATGACTTCCTTTTCAAAACCAAGGATGGAGCGGATAAAACTGATGACGGTGCGGGCGAGATCGTGATAGGAGGAATCGCCGTCTTTGAGGCGAGCTTCGGCCCCGTCCATGTCGTCGTTCAGAATGAGCTCGGCGGCAGCGAAGGCGTCTTCGATATTGGCCATTTCACTGGCCAGGAGTTCCTCTTTAGAAGGGCCTTCCGTAGACGGCGTCGTCTTCTCTGCGGGCTCGGGGATTTCCGCACCGCGGAACCAGGAGCCGATCCGGACCATGTTGAAGAATGTGGAGAGTGTGAGGAGGAGTGAAGTGAGAAATGAGGGGGGTTTGGCGAAAGCGGTAGGTTTGAAGGGTCACTCTCACAGCCAACTAAGGCTATAGAGGAAGAGACAGTGGAGGGGATAGCTTCTGGTCAAACAAGCATTGGCAGTATTTGGATATATGCTGGAAAAGGGGAAAGAAGAGTTAAAGTTGGAAATATGACGGTCCTAACGGACAGACGAGATGTTTACGGATGTGTGTCGTGATAGATATCCTCCACCAGCCAGCCCAAATGTGGCGAGATCCAGCCCAAATTGAAGCTTTGTGGTGTCTCCCCAGCCTAAGATACGGTCTTGACAAACGGAGGACTGTAAGGAGTAGTTCAGTTAGAGATGCGGCTCGCACGCACCAGCTTAACAGTTATTATCCGGTGCGAGGAAGGGGACAAAACAGGAACGTGAAAAGCGGGCAGGGGGTAATAGAACACGCCGAATTGGAATCGACTCGGAGAGATTTGGGACGAAGTTCAATGAGGGAAAGAGACCGGAACATCGCTGATTGATCAATGTACAAAGTAGCTATGTATTATTAGAGGGTAGGCAAGACTAAGATCAAGATTGCACTTGCCCCAAACTACGTATTTCGTAATTGTATCAGACCAACGCAACGAATCGAGCAGGACCGACCGACCTGCGGGCTTGGGTCCCCAAAGAGAGAAGGAACGTAGGAATGTACGAAGTGCGAGGACAATGCAGAGAAACGGGGGCGTCCCATCGAAATGCGACCTGGTGCTGGTGCGTCCCCAGAAGCGGCAAAACGCCCCAAAGTTTGTTCGCTAGGGCCTAGAACGAAGGGGAGAAAGGGAACAGGTTGACCAGTTATCATCGAGGAATCAACTGGAGCAAATGAATGGTCTTGGGGGACCTTGACGCAATCAAATGCACCTACATGGTTGCAATTGACGCGTCGATGCAGTGCAGGGAGCAGAAGCGGGAGGGGGTTTTCACTCGGACAAGGAGCAAACCAAGCGTCCGGTGGTGGCGGTGTCGGGGAGTCTCAAGTCGCAACGACGTTGATCAATGATCGATATGAAGTGGCGGTAAATACCCACGCGGGCACTCGGATCTACGCCACTAAAGAACTGATGAACGTCGATGGCGAGGAAAGGTCAAGCTAATGCATGACGAAGTCGGATTCATGGAAAACGGCTACAGGAATCTTGTACCTCGATTGGGCAGGTCATGGACAGCTGGGCTTCGTACCAAGAATACATTGATCAATCTCCTATAATAGTTGAGGTCATCAACGAACTGAACCAAATACAAAGGTAAAACCTCGCACACTTCTAGACTAAAGCCAAGCGCCAGTACTGTTTTCTGGGGAGTCTATTATTAGCAGGGACTGGTGAAGAAACAGGGGCTGCTTCGAAACGTCCGTCAAGGTTTCAAGATTCTCCTCCTCCGCCGAGCCACTGGGATGTTTCGTCGATTATCTAGAACCAGTTAACCGCTATTGGTGTTATCTTCAGTCCCTGCGCTACACGTCGCACGACTGTATGATGGTTCAAGGACGACCCATTGACGATGTACCGAAATCGCCAAGCACTCAACATCAACAACGATTGGCGGGCGGGGTTTAGGGTGTCGGGAACATTGGACGTATTAAGACAGCTGAGCAACTTCCTCAGAGGTCCAAAGTTTTTGGGTGGCTTTGCGGGAACTGGCGTAATGTCCTACTTCGTACTTCGTACTTGTCGGCCAGCAGGGTACCAGGGACTTGGTGATACCGCTATGAGGGTATCGGACATTTTGGTGGCCCTTTCTGTCGTCCTTCTCTTGGCTCTTCGCTGTTCGCTGCTCGCTGTTCTACGCAATAGGTGGTGATACCTCACATTCTGTTCTCTTGAGCCCACGCAGTCCACGCGTCAATGGACCCGATATCCTCTGCATCGACAGGAAGAGTCCATACTAATATCGAAACTTCTTTTCCAATTGAATTTGAAACTTGCGCCCAGAGCGATCCCTCAGGCTTTCTCAGTAGGCTACTTGGTGTCTTCCAATTGCATGTGATTGCCCAACCTTAAATCGAGCCCTTGTTGGTTCCCAACGGTCCTAGGCATCGTCTCAGTTGGCAGCAGTTGTTGTTCTTTGATTTAAATCCTCTGGCCGTCCACAAATTGTACACGCAGCTGCGAATCTCGATCGAGCCTTTAGTTCTAAGAATGAAATTGGGTGATCCATAATCTGTTCAAGGATGGCTATCATCTCAAGTGTGTCATAGCCAATTCATGTAGAGGAGAAGAGCGAGACCAGGCAGAAATCAATGGATCAGTTCGATCTTTCTTAAGACAGACGCCACCAACTGTCGCCACTCCCACTACAAGGCTGCCAATGACGCCTCATCCATGCCAATGCAATCCAACCATCTGTGATTCAACGCCCCAAGCTCTCTCAAATCCCAAGCATCCCACCACCAAAAGCTCGCCTCCCATTCTCTTCTCAACCTAGAACCGGCGACATAATTTAAACAAACTTTATAAAGACAGCAATCCCTAAGCTGCGCCCCATCTTCAACCTCAACACAAACACTCTATCCCCCAAAAACAAGAACACCAAAGAAGCGCTCGCCATGGCCTCCGCGGACACGAAACCCACCACCGCCAAACCCACCGAGGAAACCAAGGCTGAAGAGCCCCAGAAACCCGCGGCCATCGTCGGCGAAGATGATGAATTCGAGGACTTTCCCGTAGATGGTGCGTTTTTTGCTCTTCCCCTCACCCCGCTCTATCAGGGCACCCTTGATTCGCCCCATTCCATCCTTGGCCCACGTCTCTTCATTCCCCTCCAGGATGAATAATACCAGATGAAAAGGAAGGAAATAAAACATAACTAACCAGAACACAATCGTCTAGACTGGGCCACCGAAGACGCCGAAGCCGCAGAGGGCGCCGAGACAAAGCATCTCTGGGAGGAAAGCTGGGACGACGACGATACCAGCGACGACTTTTCGGCCCAGCTCAAGGAGGAGATTCGAAAGGTCGAGGCATCGAAGAAGCGATAGAGTCGTGTGTGTGTTCTTGGAGGGCGCGGAAGAGTTAGACGAGTGAAGTGAAATATACCGCTTCTGGGGATTTCCTATCCCCTCTCACGATTCAACAATGGGGAAGAAGAGCGGGTAGCGTATCCCTTAACATCTTTTGGGCCACACATGGGAGGGTTGGTTCTAGACGGCCATAGCTAAAGAGGAGAAGGAAAGACAGGTTAATGCAGTGGGTAGAAGGGATTGTGTATGCATAATCAATCAAGGGATAACGGAATACAAGTTACGAATTAAGTGTACAGCCTACGCATATTACGACGGGACAGTCGGTATGATGGGACAGTTGGTAATCTACCGCGGGGAAAACGAGAACCTATAAAGGAGCAAGTTGACCAGTCCTAGGGACGATTCTACAGATGCTGTCTCAGGACTAGGGATCCAGTTCATTTATTTTTTTATTCATAGGCTTGCTTTACCTAGCCTCCTCTCCATCCCAGATGTTCCTCGTTTATATCAGACCTATTCATCGACCATTGGAGAGAAGAAGTAAGAGAAGACAGAAGAAAGAAGAAAGCCCCTTTTTACTTACTCGACAGAGCAACGATGCCAGGAAGTTCCTTGCCCTCCAGAAGCTCCAAGCTGGCACCACCACCGGTGGAAACGTGGCTAAGCTTGTCCTCAACACCATACTTGGCCGCAACGGTGGCGGTATCACCACCGCCAATGATGACAATCTTGCCAGCCTGGGCGCCGGCGACGGCGGCGTCCAAAGTAGCCTTGGTGCCGTGAGCGAACTTATCAAACTCGAAGACACCAGTAGGGCCGTTCCAGAGGATAGTGTTAGACTCATCGATAGCCTGCTTGAAGAGCTTGATGCTCTCCTCGCCGGCGTCGAGGCCCATCCAGCCGTCGGGGATGCCGGTCTCGTCAGAGGCCTTGCCGACATTAGCATCCTTGGAGAACTTGTCGGCGGTGATGTAGTCGACAGGGAGGACGAGCTTGACGTTGTTAGCCTTGGCCTTCTCGACAAGCTTGGGAACGGTCTCGGCGCCGGCAGCGTCGTAGAGGGAGTTGCCGATGGCCATGTTGTTGAGGGCCTTCTTGAAGGTGAAGGCCATGCCGCCGCAGATGATGAGGGTGTTGACCTTGTCGAGGAGGTTGTCGATCAGCTGGATCTTGTCGGAGACCTTGGCGCCGCCGAGGATGGCGAGGAAGGGGCGCTTGGGGTTCTCGAGGGCTTGCGCGAAGTAGTCGAGCTCCTTCTTTACAAGGAAACCAGCGGCCTTTTGGGGGAGGTCGACGCCGACCATGGAAGAGTGGGCACGGTGGGCAGTGCCGAAGGCGTCGTCTGTTTTGTTACATGCAGTTAGCAAATCGAAAGTCTCTCCCGTGGAGTGTAGAGGCCTTTTGTTTCAGACTCTGGGATAGTAATATTACGTACTGACGTAGATATCGCCGAGGGCAGTAAGACCCTTTCGGAACTCCTCAACCTTGGCCTTATCAGCCTTAACCTTGTTCCCATCCTTATCCTTAAAGGAACCCTCCTCCTCGGCATGGAAGCGCAAGTTCTCGAGCAAGATGACGGCACCGTCCTGAGCCTCGTTGACGAGCTTCTCGACCTCGGGACCGACAGAGTCGGGGGCGAACTGCACGGACTTGCCGAGCAGTCTCTCGAGCTCGGGGACGACGGGCTGGAGGCTGAACTTGGGGTTGGGGGTGCCGTTGGGGCGGCCGAGATGGGACATCAGGATGACGGCCTTGGCGCCATGGTCGAGGGCGTACTTGATGGTGGGGATGGCGCCGACGATGCGCTGGTTGTTGGTGATGTTCTTGTTCTCATCGAGAGGGACGTTGAAGTCGACCTAGAGAGGGAAATGAGAGAAAATTCCGCGTTAGAAATTTTGCTACTTTCTGTTATAGTTTGCGTGAAGCTGTGCAGCTTTCATGCAATATGCAACAGGGAATCATGCCACGAGCCTTTTCCTGCGGGAAATGGAAGGAGGGGTGATGGTGGGGGAGGGGCAGCAGCACAGCAGCACAGCAGCACAGCAGCAACAACAGCAGCTCATCCCAGGTCGCAGTTCTGCAACAAGAACGCGCGATAAAACTGGAAATGGATAATTGAAGCTGATTTATGGGATTTCATTATCGTGGCGATATGTGATATGTTTCGTATCTTCGCAAATAATGCGATATCCCTTATTTTTTCTCTTTCCGTTCGAGCTGGTGGGAGTTTGTGAAGTGGTGTTGAGAGCTTACCCTGATGAGGACCCGCTTCCCCTTGACGTCAACGTCAGCGATGGAGAGCTTATTAGAGAGAGACATGTTGACCTTCGAAAACAATTGAATTGAGGGGAGGACACGAGGAGGGGAATGGGAAAATCGAATCGAGGAGAAGATACGGATTGGAGATGATGGTTTGAGGGGAAAGAGGAAGAGGGAAATTGTGTGAAGAAAAAAAGCTGGAGTCCGTATGATGTTATCCAGCCAGCGGCAAGCACCAAGTCGAACTCGGAAAGCTTAGGAACAATCAACACGAGTAATTTGAGCAGCCCAATTGTCTTGGTCTTGGTACATGATGGATCGATGATGTTGTCCAGTCACAGGCAAAAATGAGGGGTCAATCGCGACAATTGGAGGGTCCCAAGTGGGAAGGTGGGGTCTGGTGTTATTTTTTTCATTTCTCTCACAACAATTGACCTCTCAACTGATCTGTCGTCAATCGATGCTGTCATGGCGGGGTAACGCTCGCATTGAGGTCCTGTTTAACTCTCAGGTCAGGACCGAAAATCTCAGCGCGAAAATAGCATTAGACTGAGCAGCTGGCGCCATTGACGTCCCTAGTTTAGTCTCAGTGAGCTGAACTAGGCCACTCGAGTTTAATACAATATCAAATGTTTTCCGTGATGGGACAGGGACCACCTATGTAGGAGACTCGCTCCGAAGGGAAATCCCTCCCGACTTTCCGCTCCAAGGTCCCATTCCACCATCAAAAGCGCCCGAAGGACCCGTTTGGCTGCTTCTACACGCTTGGGAAAACGCCCAAGGTCCAAAATAATCCCAATTGAGCCCTGTGATGGCCCAGGCGGGTTGCGGGCCATCCGCGTCGCGAATTAATTCCTGGGCCTTGGTCCCGTTCCCAGCTCCGATTATGGCCGTGGTGACCCGGTTACGAGGAAGCCCCCCAACACCTCGGCCCTCGGAATCGCCACCCAAATCTCATGCGGACTGATACAACGCAAAGATGAAAAGATGAGACACACTCCGTGCCTCTGTGATGCGGATTATATGCTGGCCATGATGATGGTATCGAATCGCCTTTAGTATTGTTTCCCGTTCTATTACAGATACGTTCCGCTGTGCAAACCATAGACTCCATTGCGCATCGCAATTCGACCTTGACAAAACAGTCGTCCATGCATTTTATAACCCAGTTTCAAGCCCTCAGTCCTCTTCCTCGTCCATCGCATCATCGTCATCGTCGCCTCCCCTATATTCGTCATCCCCACTGCTGTAGAAATCGTCCGCATCCAACTCACTGCCGTAATCATCCATCTCCTCATCGCCGTCCTCACCCTTGTCGGTCTTCGCCTTGAGAGCTTTCTTCTTCTTATCGAGGTTGGCCTTTTGCTCCCGCTTCCTCGCCTCCTTCTCTTGCCTCCTCTTCTCCCACCTCTTCTCAAGCTCCTGCGCCTCCTCTTTCGTCTTCTGGATGTACTCGTGCCACATCACCTTGCCCGCTGCGATACCGTCTTCGACCTTTGTTAACCTCAACTTCATGCGAGGCCCTAGCTCTACTAACTTCACTGCGCGCTTCTCCACTTTTTCTTCCTCTTCGGGCTCGGCTCCTCCCTCACCAGCAGCGGCGGCGGCGGCAGCCCTGCGAGAGATTTTCCGCGGCGCATCCTCGACAACCTCCACCTCCGCATCGGTGTCGACTTCGCTGCCGCTTGTGTAATCCGTCATGTAACCCTCGCCGTTCTCCCCTCCAATCATGAAATCCGCAATATCCTCCAGCTTCCCCAAGTTAGGTACCCCTCCCTTCTTGCCAGACCTGGCCGAGAGCAGCTTCTCCGCCGCGTGAAGCCTCCTTAGTGGCCGTGAGAGCCCCGTAGTCTTTGTCGTAATCGCATAGTGTCGGAAGTTTAATATAAAGGAACCTTCTTCGCCGTCCTTGTCGGGCTCTCTGTTGAGGAGGAGAACCCTTCGAATGGTCTTGAGAGGTGTCGCTTGGGGGTTGATGGGTGGGAAGAGGGACTGGAAGACGGTGGTGATTAGGGATTCAAGGTGTTTCGGTACCTTGGAAGGGCTGTCGGCGTTTTGGGAAGAAGAAAAGTTGTTCATTACGAGCTGAGAAAGAGGCGCGATTCTTAGCACACACCACACACGCAAATACCATTGATACCCGCACAGCGCCGCAGAGGGAGAAAAAAAAAAAAAAAAAAAAAAAAAAAAAAAAAGGTAACCTACCAGAGGGGGTGTCATAAACTCCTTTCCAACGCCACGAGGCCGCCTCTGCGTCTTCTGAATATCCTTCGCAAGCGAATACTTCTCTACCCGAAAGTTGAGCGTCGGGCCCTTGGGAGCCAGCGCCACCCTAAGATTGACGTTTCCCCTCTCCGACCGCGAGAACAGAAGAAGATGCGTAACGCCGAGAGGTCCCGTCATCGTAACGTAATCCCGTAGCCTATTCCCCTTCCTTTCCTTCAACCGACTCGCCGTTCCCGGTTCCATCACTCGGCGAACGTCCATGGCCAATTGACTAATGCTGGAGCCCACCTCGCCGGCACCTATCCGGATCACCATGCTCTTGGGGTCGCGGACCGTTGCGTGGGCTGGCGCCGCAGCGGCGCTCTTGGGCTGGTTGGCGCCCACATGCGTCCGCTTCTTAACTCTTGGTTTAGCCATTGTGTCGAGTCTTGACTGTGAGGTTGGGGGGTTGGCGCGAGAGAAGGTTACTTGTAAGTTTGCAACTCAATGCTTGAGAAAAAAGAAGAGCCCAGGTTTTTTCTTTCTTTGACTTTCCCGCTTCCAAAAAATTTGGAGGATCAGGGCGATAAGATAAGAAATTTTGGCTGATTGGGACCCAACACCACCAAAAATTGGGGATATCACGTGTTGATAAGCCTTTTCTGACGACGCTCACCGCCCTACACAAAGAAAGTTCAGCGAAAAAAAAAGGGCCCCACCAGAGAAAGTTCGCAGCAAAGCGTTGCTGAGAGGAAGACAAACAAACACTCCTGCGGTTCTATACCCGATATACCACATACGGCTGCAACATTTCCCCGGGTCGAAGAGAAAGCAAAATGAACCCCTCAAAGAGAAGAAAGACCTCTCATCCTCCGCATCCCTCGGGGAAGGCGGTCCCCAATGGCCGGAAGGAGAGAGAGCCCGTAGATTCTGTGGACCAGTCCGAGTCCGACTCTGACGCTCAATCCTCGACCGGGGAGGAACCGACGGCGGCTCAAAATGCGCAGGCTGAAAACGGAACTGGAAACCCAAAAGCGAAGACATTTAAGGAACTTGTATGTTGCGACCATGTTGTTTATGCACTTTCCCTTGCACGCTCCTCCTGGCTTCTAGCAAGCGAACCAACTAACACCTTCTGCAGGGCGTGGTAGATTCCCTCTGCGAAGCATGCGAGTCCCTAGGCTACAAAGAACCCACCCCGATCCAAGCCAAAGCCATCCCCCCAGCCCTCCAAGGCCGCGATATAATCGGCCTCGCCGAGACCGGAAGCGGCAAGACCGCCGCCTTCGCCCTCCCCGTCCTGCAAGCCCTCCTCGACAAGCCGCAGCCCTACTTCTGCGTGGTCCTCGCCCCGACGCGCGAGCTCGCGGCTCAAATAGGCCAATCCTTCGAGGCCCTCGGCGCCCTCATCTCGCTGCGCTGCGCCGTGATCGTCGGCGGTCTGGATATGGTGCAGCAGGCCATCGCGCTCGGCAGGAAACCCCATGTAATCGTCGCCACGCCGGGTCGTCTCGTCGACCATCTGGAGAAGACGAAAGGGTTCTCGCTGCGCACGTTAAAGTATCTCGTATTGGATGAGGCTGATCGTCTGCTAGACATGGACTTCGGTCCCAGCATCGACAAGATCCTCAAGTTCATCCCGCGCGAGAGGCGCACGTTCCTCTTCTCCGCCACCATGAGCTCCAAGGTCGAACACCTCCAACGCGCCAGCTTGAAGGACCCCATGCGCATCAGCGTCTCCAACAATAAATACCAGACCGTGGCCACCCTCCTCCAGCACTACATCTTCATCCCCTCCCTGCACAAGGACACCTACCTCGTGTCCCTGGTCAACGAGTTCGCGGGGCGCTCCATCATCATCTTCACGCACACGGTGCGCGACGCGCAGCGCCTGGCCATCATGCTCCGCTCTCTCGGCTTCGGCGCCATCCCACTGCACGGTCAGCTCTCACAATCCGCGCGCATGGGAGCCCTCAACAAGTTCAAGGATAGATCGAGGGACATCCTCGTGGCCACCGACGTCGCCGCCCGCGGTTTGGATATCCCCAAGGTCGACATCGTGCTCAACTACGATCTGCCCCAGGACAGCAAGACGTACATCCACCGCGTCGGTCGTACGGCTCGTGCGGGTAAATCCGGTCGCGCCATCAATATCGTCACGCAGTATACCATCGAGATCCTCGTGAGGATCGAGGCCGCGCTCGGCAAGAAGCTGGAGGAGTATCCCACCGTCAAGGAGGAGGTCATGGTCTTCAAGTCCAGAGTTGAGGATGCTGATAGGGAGGCGAAGCAGGAGCTGAGGGCGATCGAGGATAAGAGGCAGAGATCGGGCAGGACCGGTAGGACGGGGCGCCCCGCTCGCGGGGCGAAGAGGAATGTGGACGATATGGACAAGGATGAGTAAAATGTTCTTTGGCGTTGGGGGTTTGTTGCTGTTTCCTTCTTAGCTCCATGTTAAAAGTTTGACAGATGTAGGAGTTTCCAAACATTTAATAGCGTCGTTTACAGCCCTCTCCAATACAACCTTTATCTCATTCCGCCTCAGCATCTCACTTTCAGAATCATTCCGAGCCATCTTGTCTTGGTATGTATGTACGAGGTTTGATGATGAGCATCATTCCTATGACGAGGCACGAATTAATATACCAGATAAAAGAACGTATAGAAACCCACGTAAAGTAGGGTATGGGGTATCCACGCCATCCAAGCCGAAAAAAAGAACTAAATGGACATGAAAACACAGAATCCAAATGCGACAACCCTCCAAATCAGGACCAAACACAGAAGCCGAACCAAGTTAGTTCCAATAATCCGACATGATGCGAAATATAACAGAATAACAGAACCCAAACGCAAAAAGCCGGCTCCCTCCTAGAACTCCTCCGTAGCATCCTCCCACTTCTTTGCTATCAGCCTCCTCACCTTCTTCGTAGGGCTCACACTCCTCGAACTACGGGTGCTCTCATTACTCACGCGAAGCCTCTCCATCCTCGCACCGAGCCTCTCAACACCACCCTCATGTCCCTCGCTCATCTGGGGGACATCATCCCTCTCCTGCAACGGCACGCGCTTGCTTGGGCTCCGACCGTTAAGCTCCCTCTTAAGCACGGCAACCTCCCTCCTGAGGCGCTCATTCTCCTGCTCCAGATCCTCAACGAGCACGTTCTCTTTATCCTCCTCATCAGCTTCCGTGCCGACGAGTCCCCTCTCGAGGAGCTCAACCTTGCGATCCCAGTGCTCTTCCCCGCGCTCATGTTCAAGCTGGAGACTCGCCTTCCACCGCGCCATCTCAAGCGCAAGCCTCTTCTCGAACTCAGCAACGCAATCCTCACGAATCACCTGCTCGAGCTCAAGCATGCGGTCCTCCATGCTGAGTAAGTGCGCCTCGGCCGTCACACGACCCTCGCTCTCGCGCGCCACCTCGCCGCGCAAAATGTCAATCTCCTCCGTAAGTCTGGCAATTTCCAGCGCCGCGAGTTCCATCGTCGCCCTATCGCCGTCGGTATGCGAGCTCGCGGGGGAGATGTTCCTATGCGATCCGGATCCCGCGCCGGGCCCTCCGAAGAACGGCGGCCGGTGGTGGGATGGTGGTTGGTGCGTTACGAGAGTGGGGGACAGTGGTCGCCGGGAGTCGGGCACGGAGGGAGGTGGGTTCGAGAAGATGCTCGGGATGCGGGGTACAGTGACTTCGCGGGCGAGGGCGCTGTAGCGTAGGATCTGGGATGTGGCGTTGAAGTCGCCGAGGGGGTCGGCTGTGACGATCATTACGGCCTTTTGAGGGTTGCGGCGGTGACCTTGCGCCTGAGAAGAGGCGGAGGGAAAAGAGTTTGAGAAGAGTAACTCTGTCAACTTGCACTGCCGGAAGGGAACGATGTTGGGCTAAGATGTGGTTAGATTTGGCCTTGCCCCAAAGATGTACCGGTATGTGCAATAACTGCCCGCGGGGGATCCTTACCTTGTGGGAGTGGCCACTGTCACTTTGCATCTGCAGACACTGACCCAAATACATTAGACTCTCATTAATCTTACCCGCTTCGGCCAGTGTAGTGCCCTGGGTCTTCGCGTCCCTGGCCCTTTCGCTACCGGCCAAATCGACGACCGTCAGTGTGTTTCCACCCCAGGGATGCTGCCGCCTAGTGCTGCGCTGCCTCTTCTTCACCTCAATGCAGATGAAGCCGTGACTGCGAGAGGAGACACTATTGCTTCCGGTGCCGGCCACTCGCCTCTCATGCAAACCAGCCTCCAGAACCATGAGGGCTTCGTGAAGCGAACTACACACAACCTTTCTGAGACCCGCTACAACTTTTCGATCAGGCGATGCTTCGGTCGACTTGAACATGAGAGGTCGTCGACGATACTCCTTCGTCGCGTTCGACTTCGTCGGCGGCGTAAGCAAATCGAAGATGCGGTCATTGTAAACCTCGTACATGGACATGACGACGGCGTATTCGGCCGAGGGATCGGAGGAAACGTTGACACCGCTAACGTCGGGGATCTGCGGGAGCGTCGAGGGCGCGTGGATAAGTCGGCGGGGGGTCATAGGAGGAGCCGCGTATTCGCCCTTTTCTTCAGTCTTAGTAACTTTCACAACCTTCTTCACGCGGGTTGATGCCGTGAGGGTCATGTAATGCCTATTGTCAGTCACCCGCTTGGGTGTCTCGGGTTCTAAGCGGTTGTAGGGGCCCCAACTAGGGCTCCTTGGGCGATAGCGGAACGACCGAAGCGGAGTCCGCTCCACCATCCGAACACTTTTCGGACTGTCGGGGACTGTGTTTCCTTCCGGATCGAAGCGGCGGTTATTGAGAGCGGGTGGGGTTCCTACAATCATGGGAGTTGCTGCTCGGGATCCTCCGCCACACCTGGATTGGGTGAGGGGATCGGAGTACACGGTCTCCAGATAAGAAGAAGCACACATGATTGATGCCTCTGAGGCGTCGGAGGCCTGCAGCGTGGATTCGAGGGATGTTGACGTGTTACGGTCAATGAGGTTGTTTCCAAGAGAGCGGAAGATTACATCGAGGGAGAGCTGCGTCAAGCCTCGCTGTGTCCGAGACCCAAGAATGGTATGAGACTAGATGGTGGAGAATACGAGTTAGCCAATATCATGCATCTCAAAAGCTGTGACGCGCTCACCTTTCCCGAGCCGGTGACACCAAGCGTGGCAACCAGAGCGTCGGTCCCATACCCGCCATGAGGTGCCACAACACCCTCAATCAGCGGCGCCACGCGTGTACACTGGAAGATATCCAGCTGACTGGCATCTTCCTCGAAGACCTGAGTGAAAGCAAACCTCTCGATGGCCCTGCGCCTATCATTGGGAGGATTGAGTGTGATGTGCGTCGGCGGAGTGTCCGACTCGGAGGGCTCAACTGCGAGGAATCGCTCGGAACTCGAGGCTCCGCTGCCATTGTGCGGCGGCCGCAGTCTCAGAAAGACTTGGAATAGGCTCGATGACGACTTCTGGGTCTGCGTCGACTCCATCGTCTTTGATATCGATGCAATGGAGCTGTTGATACTACCAAATAAAAAAATGGTCGAGCTTGTCGGATGGAAGAGGATGTAACGAGACTAGGAATAATTAAAGAAGAGAGTCACCGGGTGTGTAATGATAAACTGAAGAGGCCACGATATTATGCCAATCCAGACATGTTGTTGTTGCAGGTGCAAATACTATTCTCCTGTGGTTCAAGGGCGGTGTGGTCGCCAAAGCCTCGAATTGCGTCGAGAATTTGTTTACATGATTTGAATTGCTGCCCAGCAACGGAGCAACGGTTAGGAACAGGTTGCCAAGATCCTCCGGCCCTTGCCAGTGCCAATGCCAGTGCCACCCTAGGGCTGATAAGATAAGCGAGGCGCCCCTGCACTAAACTTCAATGGGACATGGGATCAATGACGGTTTGAGTTGAGCCCCCACCAGCGAGTTACGTCAGCTTGCATTAATCAAGATCCGGTGTCAATTTTGATCCCTTCAATTCAGTCATTTTTTTTTTCTTTTTTTCGGATGCTTTGAAGAGGAGGGGTTCAATTCTGGAAGACTTGGACCCCCTCTTCAGCCACTGTGGATCACCATAACTCAACCGCACCTGCCGACTAGTGTCGTCCGTAGTGCTGTTGAGAAGAGGAGCAGACGCAGACTCGAGTGGCCAGTTAGGGACGAGATGATTACACTACGTTGTCGTGGCCAGCACGCTGCATGCATTAACAGCAAATAGTAAAACTGTCAGAAAGCAACAAGATATTCTGGCGGGGTGAGAACTCCTCGTTCGGATATGTGGACTGACTCTCGCCTCATCAGTTTCATCCGTTGATTCATATGCTTACGGATATATAGTAGCGTTGCAGCCGTGTTTCTGTTGTACGACGATAAGCCGTCACATCAGAGAACTTAGGAAAAGGGTCCACGCTCGTGCCAAAATTTTCATCCACGGACATGCTGTTCTGAAGGTTGGGTCCGCTCACTTTGGTCGGTCAAGCCGAGCTTTCTATTTTCCTCTGAACGCTATTTCAGACACAAGTCGGACGGTCGCTGGCTTCCCAATGCAGAAATTTTGATTGGGAAGAAACGAAGAACAATGTGGATACTTCCGAAGGAAACCGGTTTCCCGTCCGAATCCTCATGTTTAGATTGCCACGACTTCGCATGTTTGCTCCGGCCGGGAGGTGGGTGTGGCGGCGTGCCAATGGCTGGACAGATAATTCATCGATTTTTTTTGATGACTCCTGTGCTGTTGTCTAACCAGCCCACCCTTTCGTCGGTGAGTCATTGGGGGGGAAACTAATTTTATATGTTGTTGCTGATGGGAGCCTGTTCTTGAACCGAGGAACAGGCCTCCTCCTAGCGAAGAAAGAGGGAGAGCAAGATGAAGGGAGCAAGAGGGGGAAAACCCGAAGAGGAGTCTCGTGATCCCATGGAGTCTGAAGCTGTGGGGTTTGAGGGGCCAAGTCGTCGCAGTTCTACTAAATATTCTAGCGCTGTTATTGTCGACTGCAGCCTGCAGCGCAGTGCAGTGCAGGGCGGAGTTGATGTGGGTAGGTCGGGCAGAGGAGGTTCACTTAGGCTACCCTCCGTACTTCTTCTCCGTAAGGTTTGTTAACATCATGAAAACCGGAGCTCAAGACAACTCTATTGCTCTTTACCCCCAGTCCCCGCTCCGCATTTTCCGCCGCGGGACACTTCTCTACGCCATACGGCGCAAACTCTAAGGTCTTGAGCAGTTTGGCCAAAGAAAAATGAAAGAAAAAAGAGGCAGAAAACTATTGCATACTCGTTGTTGGAAAGGCTTGCCACCGTTCTCCACTTCACGTACCATGCTCACCAAGAATAGACTATGGGGAAGGGAATATGTCTCGCTGTAAGGTGAGACACAAGTTGAGATTTGGAACAACTATAAAATAGTATAAATTACGTTTCTGTATACAGAACTTGGCATGTACAAACACCACTATCAACCCGATTCGAACGGGTGCATTTGCATCCTGCATTATTGTAGCATGCAGCATCGAAAGCAGAGCCGGCATGGAGCCGTCCCTCTTCAACCCTCAAAGTCCCGGCCACGTACTACGTACATAGGTCTAGAGCTGGTTTCTGGCAATACAGTAATATAACCTCGTCCGATGAATCGAGCAAACCAGAGGGCGGATATGGCGCGGGGTCGCATGGGAATAAATGGGGAAACGCACGATTCATGTACGGTGTTTGATGATTTGCTGCCGGCTGCAGCGTTCTAGAGCACGAGAAGCACCAAGAAGCAGCAGGGATAATATTATGGAACGTGCCAATGTGGTTGTAAGATTATCACGTTTTTCTGCACCCAACAATATTTCTGCTTTGGGACGAGGATGCTTCGACGACGATCTTGCGATGCAGAGGGAGTGAAGGGGGGAGGGGGGTAAAAGAATAATGAAAGTAGGAAGAAAATAGAAAACACCAAAACGTTCGCTCGCAGTTTGCTCCCAGGATTGAATCACTGGCGGTTCCCTTGTAGCTATGAAAGTTGCAATTTTCTAACCTTCTGAGCGCTCCAGGGACCACTGGGCCCTGGTCGCAGTGTTAATGCTTGAGCTGCTCGGTTGGAAGTCCTGGCTGCAGCATCGTATATGAAGTTATTACAGAGAATTTGTATGGAGAGAAGAAGAGGAAGGAGGCACCGGGTGGTTGGTGATGAGTGATGGCGATGGGTGCACCTTCCCGACGGTGGCAAGCTGGTGTCGGAATATGCTCGTGTTGTTGTATCGCTGGACACTTCAAACTCTGGACACTTCAAACTCTGGACACTTTGGCTTTGTTTGACGCGCACTTGCGGGGAACTCGAAATGGCGGTGACGACAATGGAGCCTGGCTGCCGCTTTAAAACGTCAGATCCACTGCAAGCGAGCCTGACGAACCCACCAACGACGAGCCCGCGCCAGCACGGAGTTAGTCCGGGAAAAGGACGGACAGGAGCTTTGCATGAGGAAATGACACGGGAATGCTTGGATATCTGCACTGCAGTGAGGGGGATGTTTGATGCCAGTCTTGGTCTCAGCTCGACGAGGTAGGGCAAACACACGCGCACACACACGCACACACACACAGTCTGTAAATTTACGAGACCAATGACGGGAACATAGTTCAATGATTCTCGAGTGCTGTCCGGGAAGTGGATGCGGCCCGCCGTACGATTTGTCGTGCAACCGGATCAAATGATTTAGAATGAGTACCACAATCATCCGCTAGCTAGGGCCTCATCCTTGTGCTTTCGACTACTGATCGATCGATCCATGATGTCAGCTTGCTACGATTTTTGTCCGGTTCCTTTAATAGACAGACAGGGCACTTGGTAGAGCACTTTATCCTGGACCGCATCAGTAATCGTGTAGACCTAAAATGTTGCACATTCTCTCACAGGTCGGGATCAATGGAGGGGATCCTGGAAGGGAGCATGGCAAAACCCATGCCTGCACTAGCTGGCCAAGGTTGTTGATCAATTTGATGTCAATTGTTATAAGACGTACAGTAGGAGTAGGAGTGGTGCATGAATACCTTGCTTGACCAGCGGTGGGGGGGGATGAGTTAATACAGCAAGAGCCTGTGTTGGCTGGTAATGGAATTGTTCGTCGTTGCTCCAGCCAGCGGCTCTGGTATGTACCCACTCGAGTCACTCGCCTGGAAAAAAAAATTTAGTACGCTAGCAATGGGGGACAGTTGGAGTGGGGGCTAGCCTTCCTCGCCTGGTCCGCTCAGCAACAGCGCTGCGATAGTGGAGCCAGTCCCTTTTGTAGTGTACAGCACTAATTAGAGCCTGGCACAGCACAGACGACTCGGTACCTACGGAGGAGTAGCGTGGAGAGCCCAGGCCGTACCTCAGTACTACGTAGCCTACGTCGTATATAATTTTTCCCCCTTCCCTTTTGGAGAACCCCTCCCCTCCTCTCTCTCTTCTCTTTCTCCCAATCACCCCAAACCACCCCAACAGACAACGAAGTCCAACTGCAACAACAAAAGAACACAAGACTAATCGGATTCAATACTTCAACTTCGTCGAGAAAAATGTTCCGCACCGTCGCTGAGCTGTAAACGCCCACTGCGAGACGTTGCCCGGTCTGCACCAGAAAGCGGCCGTCGGCTTCGTCTCGTAGTCCAGCAGCGCCATCGACACAAACGACAATTCGAACCTCCTCGACGAAGTTTTTAAAACAGGCTTTCGCTGTCCTGAGCCTCTCTTTGGTCCATCAGAGGAACGGAGAGAAGAGCCTGCTACCAGTTCCAACAAGTCTACCAGTTGTCCAGTTCTTCGCTGGCTTTCGTCGCCCTTTATTTTTATTTTTTTTCTTCATTTCTACCCCCTCCACCCTCCTCGACGCCGGCCAATTCGCACCGAAGACTCTTTTTTCCCTCACCTCCTCCTCTCTACCTCTAGATACTATATTCTCGACTTTCCAGTCGTCCCTTTTCGCCCCTGACCTGCTGCATTGGCCCGACCCCAGCACTCGAAGCCCTTCTCCCCCCTAGACATACGACCCCTTGATTGTTTGGGCGTCGTCAGACTCTACTCGAAAGAGAGAGCTCTTCGAGAAGACGAATACCGTCTCTCTCGACACATTAAGCTTCCAACTTAAAATCTGGGGAGCAGAAACAGAAGAAAATCAGTTATATCGGGATATCTGGCAATATTCACACCGCCGTTTTCCCCCTCACCCAAGTCTAAACTTTAAATTTTACCTGCCGCTTCTGCTCAGACGGCAGCACTGTATTATCTAATCGGCCTGGTTTCATTCCCCCCCCGCATATCTGCATAACCTACCCAGCACCATGCCGTCAAACTACCGCCAGAAGACCACTTCAATTACCCTGAAGGTCATTAACCGCCGGGCACCCCCGACTCGGCCCCCCACTCCGGACCTGTCCGGTGATGAAGGCTACTCTGCCCTCGAAGATCTCAGCGACTCAGATGACGAGGACGAGGAAAATGTAAACGCGGCCGAGGAGGAGCATCTGCTTGACACAGCCAACCCCCGTCACGCTATCTGCTCCCCTCGGCCGGTATCCTCCGATGAAGAAGACGAGGCAGAAGAGGAGAATGACGACGATGACGATGAGGATGTGGAAGTCGATGAAGATGACGGTTATGATCAAGACGATGAGGATGATGAGAACGCCATCGAGGACGATGATGACGATAACGACCTGCTTCTTGGCGGCGAAGACAACGTCGAGGACGGCGATGTGGACGAGAGCGCAAGTTGGAATGGCATCACGACCGACGAGACAGACACCGAGGGCGACTTGAACCCTCCTTTCGCCGCCATCCACCGCCACATTGCCCAGGCCGAGCGCCATGTCCGTTTCGCCAACGTCCCCGACTCGGACTCGGACTCTACCGACACGGATGAGGACCACGCTGACATGTTCCCCGACATTTTTGTTGACCAAAGCGCCCTTGACCCTGCTATCCGCCGTGAGATTGACCGTGACCCTGACGAGTCGTCCGGGTCTGGCGGGTCCTTCTGGGATTTCCACGGCACGTACGATTACAGCACCGCCGACTCTGACGGTGAAATGTATTTGGCCCGCGCTGCTGATGAAGATATCGCGCCAATGGCCACTCCCGTTGCAGCGATGCCCATTGCTCCTGAAGTTGCGCTAGCTTCTGACGTAGTAACGCCTACTCGAGCCGTTGACTTGCCAGTGGATCTCGATGGCTACGAGAGTGAGTGCCAAATTGTTTCTTTTCTCTTTCCCTTGCAAATTCTTCAATGCAGGGAATCCCCTGCCATCCTGCCAGAAGCTACGAGCCAGGTTTTTCCTTTCCGCCGATCGGCTTTGTTTTGTTGAAGTCTCCCTTTTTATTCCCCCCGAAGTGCTAATAATGGTGTAGCGGACGGAGATACAACAGAGGAAGACATCCCCGAACCCATTATTAGGAGGAAGTCTCGTCGACCAGACCCAGTGGACGAAGAGTCTGATTCGGACTGCACGCCTGTCAAGTCTAAGAAAGGAAAGCCGCGTGTAGGCCGTTTCAACCTCGACAAGTCGGACAAGAAACCCATTGCCGTGCTCAACCCCATCACTAAGAAGATGATGATCTTTACACCTCACAAGCACCGCCAACTCGACTTGTCTCCCGAGCAGTTCAATTTCTCCTTTTTCAGCCACAACGAGATGTCCTCTCCCGGCGTCACTAACAGTTCCACCCTCATGCTTAACGCCATGTTCTCGTCCAACACCTTTGGCGATTTCGTCAACGGCCAGGGGATGAACGACGTTGATGCGCTGCTTCAGTCGGCGCTCATGTCGGAGGCCAACACGATAGACTCCAGCCTCGATTCGGATCTGGGTCTTGAGGGCGACGAGGGAGAGAAGGCGCTCGACATCAATGACTTTATTACTTTTGCTGCCGGCGGCGTGTCGGACAGCGAGCTGGATGAAGGCTGGCATGGCGATGTCGGCTCTACTCCCGGCGGACCTGGCACGACCAGCGACGTGGAGATGCTTAGCCACCTCTCCTCCGCCACAGTTGGCGCGTTCCGCCAGAACCAGATCACGCAGCAGCTCATACTGAGCAACAAGGCCAGCCAGGATTCGCTTGCCTTCAGCGGGCCCTTCAACGATACTGCTCTGCGCGGTCTCAAGTCCGATAGGCTTGCCACTGGCGCTATCCCCCTCACGCCCGTCCGGAGGCAGCGTAAGAACTCGACCTATGAACCCCCAACCAGCCCTCTCGAAACTATTTCACAGAAGCGCAAGGCGTCTGGCGAACATGAGGTTGGGCATAAGAGGCATCGGAGTATTTCGGATGTGGCGTTGCTACAGGTCTAATGGAGGCACAAAAGCGGGTTTCATTTTTAACCGGATGTCTTATAATGATGTTCTTCTTCTAACAGTGACGAGCCAGGGACCCGTCAGTGATTATCCCGACTTGCTGGATTTTGTCCTGTTATTTTTCATCTTTTTTTTTTTTTCTTATGTTTTGAAGAACGGGAGGACGGCATGGTGTAAAAGTCATCCCTGGCCTCAAGGAAAACAATGGTGGTGAAAAAGGATTCCTCTCATGACTTATGAGTTGATTTTTCGCACGTTTTCTTTTTCTTTTGTTTTTGTTCTCTTTCGTCTCATGTCGTAACTGATTTTTTTTTTTTTTTTCTAGAGAGAAGAAAAAATAGGGTGGTCAACTTTGATTTTTTTTCTGTTCTGACGGATCTTGCGCTCTTTTTTCATGTTGATATTTTCTCCTTTTTTTTTTCTCATGTCGCCTCTCGTTTTGTTCCTTCGTTTCATGTCGTTTTAACATCAAATCTTGTTTTTTTTCTTCTCGTCACGTCTACGATTCTTTTGTTCGGACTCTTGATATGTAGTTTTGATGATCTGGTAGACACAAAAGTTGACAATAAAACGAGAGGGTCTTGATATTCTTATTCTACTTTTTCTCTATGGAACGGTGCTTGTGTCTTGTGTGAAAGCAAACCGATCTGTGTGACCGGCCGAGTACGAGTGATTCGCCAAAGTTCAATCCTTGTCTAGAGCATCTCTACACTGCATCATGAGATGTCGATGGATATCTACGGAACTTTACATATAACGTCACACCAAGGAACAAGAAGACGAAGTTAATGAGGCGGCCAAATAGTATATTGTCAAATTTGCGACCCGCAATCCTCATAAAAAAAAAATAAGAAAAAAAAAAAAAAAAATCCAAACAACCTCCTTCCAGTTCCCCAAATCCATTCCCCAAACCACAAGGACATCAAGTCCTCCTCAGGCTTCAAAGATGGAAAGAAAGTAGCATTTTGAGAGTGGGGTGAAGTGAGGCGGGCAAAAAAAAAAAAAAAAAAGAGCCATCATTGGCGAACCATGCAGCCTCCCTTTTCATATCTCTCTGTCCCTCTTTCGCCGATGTCCCCGGACCTTCGCTCCTTTTTTTCATCCTGTGAAAGTAGAGGTCGGCAACCAGAGGGGAAGACGGCGGGTAGTTCTTGAAGAGGGGAGAAAAGAAAAAGAAAAAGGTAGGCCAGTTTTTCAATCTGGGACAAAGGAGAGGACCGGATGGAGGTCGGCAGCCTTTAGAGGAAGGGAAGGAACCCGGATCTATGAATCCTACACCTTTTCTCAAAATTCTAGTGAAAGAGGTCAAGAGAGGTGTTTTTCAGGAAACCTTCACCTTTGTTCCCCTTCCCGAGTTTGACAAAAAAAGTGAAAGGGGGTGATAAAACCCCAAAACAAGACCCTTCTTGACTTGAAAAAGAACGTTCCTCCCATCCACCGTCAAATCAGTTTCCTCTCAGAAAACAGTCTGTATGTCGAACCCTTCTCTTTTTTTCTCCAAGGCCCGGCATCTCCTTTGTAGTTGTTCCAATCTCGTCAAATTGTCGGGGGGGTTTCTGATGTGGGATCTTCCTGGGGATTTGTCTTCTTCAATTTTTCTTCCCTCCCTTAATCCAGCTGCAGGGAGGATTTCCATTATTCCCATCCGGAAAAGACCCCATCAATCAAGACAAAGCCCCGTGTAAAAAAAAAACACCCAAACAAGAATTGTCGAAACGCCCGCAGATATCCAGAGGGGGGGAAAAGCCATATTCCGAATCCAAACTGTTCCCATTCCCATCCCACGCCCTTAAAACAAAAAGAGTCCTTGACTGAAACCAGAAGACGCGGAAAGACGAGGTTCCAAACTGCCGCCGAGATGTGGTAAACCGAAAAGAGGGGAGATAAAAATTGGCCAAATTCGAGGATATTTCAAGTCCGATGATTCGATGAGCGTGTGCTGTTCGTTCCAGGGAAAGAACAAGAAGAATTACATCTCCGTCTTCTTCGCTGCCGGGGAAAGAGTTGGCGACGAAAGCCGTCGACGTTTAGCTTGATCTCTCTCCCCAGTGATCTTTTTCCTATCCAAGCTGTTTTCGATCTCCCAGTTTTTTTTTTTTCTCCTCCTCTTTTCTCCCCTTTATTTCCAAGAAAAAAAGAAAGAAAAAGCGGTGTTTTAAAAAAAGAAAACGCCAGACATCCAATGCAGAGATGAGAGTTTAGAGAGGCCGTCGCGTATTAGAAGTTCATCAAGAAGAATTCCAAAATAAAAGCAAACGCCGCCCTGTATATAACCCTTTCCTGAACCGAGGACGTGAGAGAAACGAGCATCCAGCGCAGTATGTCCCAAAAAGATCCAAAGGAAAAACAGAATTGTAAATCAAAAAAACACGGGGGGTATCGCTTTCTAGAATCATTCGCGGGAAAACTTGTATATGTCACAGCCATGTTATAATCGTACACACATAATCGAGTTTTATGTGGCAATCACCACCATTTTTTTCATCGCTCAGACAGTCCTCGGGGTTCGCGAGTTGTTCACCTCGATGACGTCGTCCAGGTGGTTACACATGGCGACAAACAAGTCGAAGAAGAGCTTGCTTCCGCCGGCCTCCATGGCGGCCTGCATGGTTCCGCTCCGCTTGAACGTCCTGCGGCAGCGGATGATGAGGGCTAGATAGTGGGCGCGCAGGCGCGAGTCCGAGTCGGGAGTGTGGGCGTACGCGTAGGCGGCCGAGCGCAGGATGGTGCCGACGTCGATGCCGGACTGGAGTCCCTGCTTGCGTAGGGCGAGGAGCTTGAGCTCGTCGAGCCCGTAGCGGTCGGCGGCGCAGTAGATGACGGTGTCGCGTAGGAGTTCATCCCCACAGCTCGAAAGGTAGACGGTCGGCTCGACTGCGCGGGAGCCTGCGGTCGTGGATGATGCGGTGGTGAGTGTAGTAGTCGCGGTCGAGAACGACGCACGGCGAACACTACCACCGGCTCCCCGGGTGCCGGAGTAAGGAGAGTTGTTGGCGGCGTCCGGGATGGGGGAGGGATAAGGGGACCTTTGGTCAGCAGAGTCCTCGAGCTCCCAAGAGTTTCGGTGCTTGTTGTGAATCAAGCGGGGGTAGTAGTCGCCCTTGTAGAGGTATTCGAGAACGGCGGAAAAGACCTCGGGTTCCTCATCGGGAAGAGAGATCCTCTTGCCCTGCACATCGTGGAGCTGGCCTCTGCAGGCGGCATCGAAAAACGGTGACTGGCAGAGGACGTCCTCGTGCGCGGCAAAGAGACGACCCTCGCGACCGACCGTCAGGGTGACGATGGGCGAGGGGGCGAGGGACTTGCTCGGGTGAGCGGCGGCGGCGGCGGCTGACGAGGAAGAGCCACCACGACGATGGCTGCTGGATCCACGGGCCGCGTTGCTTGAGCTGCGGGTGAGCTCATCGGCTCGGCCAAACGACCTTTGCAGCTTCGATAGCTTCTGGGGATCCCGGACCGTGTTGGACTTCTTCAGCCTCGCGGACTTGTCGACGCGGGTCTGGTCCTGGTTGGACCTGAACGAGCGGCCGAACATGACTGCGGCGGGTTTCGGATTCGGTTTCGGAGAGAGGAGCTGAAGAAGAAGGGATCGGATGCGCGGGACAGAACCGCGGAGTCGATGGATGAAAGAGGACAGTTTGGCAGCGTAGAAGTACGAGGAAAATGGAGATAGATGAAACGAGTAGCGAGACTCGCTTTTCCCGAGAAAAGGAACGACGAAAAAGACGTTCGCGAGGAAAGGTTTTCCCCCACTACTGGCTCTTTTTTTTGTTGTTGTTGCTTATACCCTTGTTCACTATATTATTTCCAAGCCTGGTTCTGTTCTGCCTGACCTGCTTTCGTGACTCCGGGTTTTACTGAATTGACGAGAGAGCGACGAAAGGAGCGAAGAGGGAACGCGGAATCGATAATTTCGCGGCGGATTTAAGGAGAGAAAGATGAGATTTTTTTGGACACACCAGCGGGTGGGTGCCGAAAAAAAAAAATAAGGAGCGGAGGCGGGGGTCCGTGAGGAATATCTCTAGAATGAAGATGACTTCAAAATAAACGAGCGGCTAGGGATATTCCCAAGATGAAATTTGCGACCCTGACGATTGTGGTGAGGGATAGGGAAAGGAGAGGGATGGAGAGGAAGAAGGGAAGAGAAGAGGAAGAGAAGAGAGGGGGAGGAGGGGATAAAAAGAAGAGCCTGGCAAGGCAGCAAGGGCAAAGATTGGATGTAAATAGATTTAGAAGGTACAACTGTACCAGCTACCAAGGATGAGATCGCGATCAACAATTGGGCTGTTGGCGCATCCCAGTTCCCGGTCTCCCAGCGAACAGGCAGGGTGCGACAATGACAATGACAATGACAATGGACAGTGAGGCGAGTTGCCGTTGCAACCTGATTTCAAGGAGCGTACGAAGTAATCCGGGTTCAATTGAGCTGCAATCCGGGATAGATCTGGCTGGCTCTGGCTCCAACTACGAAGTATGAGTGTGAAGATTGAATCGAATTATCTGACGGGCTTGATAGGGACCCAGCCAGCCTCCGCCTCGATTTACACTGATGATTCTCAGTCCGCGTATGGATAAATGCAGGAACATGGCCAGCTCTATTATATACTTTATCGAATGCGCGGCACAATCGCGATTGATATGTTGTACTTCCTAAATCGACCCTAATTTCGATGCAGCCTAGATCTCAAAACGTAGTGTTGATGATAATGGGATTGATCTCTTCAGGCACCCTCGCACTGACGAGGCTCATTGCGCACGCGACGACGACAGGGAAGGTCCCAAGACATCGGAGTCATAATAATCTACCTCCAAGCTTTGAGCACACCAAACAGAAGCGACCAGCACCATTCACACCCAAGACCTGTCACCCCTGCCATCTTCCTCTTAACATCCTTGTCCATCCCGTTAAAACATCCCGAAAAGTCCATCCGCCCCATTTCTCCATCACACCTCACATCCCTCCACCCACCAACCATGCGTCTAGAATCCCCCAACCTCAAGAGTCAAGACCCAGCATCGCCCCATTCCACCATCTTCACTATCAGCAAGATTGGCGAATCCCGTCGCCCCAAGTGTTCGTCCGTCTGCGCCTCCCTCTTTACCGCGCAGTCGGTGACGGATTTTTCAAGGCGTGGAAGATGAAGCTCGTCCTCTAACGTGGCAGCAACCGTCACGCCTTGGAAAGTGCATGCGTCTAATAATCCGTTGACGGAATGGACCTCACCGACGGGGACGGCTGGGCGTGCAAGCCTACTACTGTATTTCTCGGTTTCTTTCGCAAGACCAGTGACGACAATGAGGATTGGAGCCTGACAGAGTTATGTAATCGCGTGACGTGCCTGCGCATTTTGTGTTTCTGGTTCCTTGGGCGACTTGTACCTTTGCTTTTGGCTCCAAGTCGCCTCTCTGTCCACTCATCTCGTGCTAACGCTCTCACTGCACCACAAACCGAGGAGGTGGTACATTTTCAACCCTCCATCCAAAATTTCCGATACTTGGAATTCCAAGTTGCAGTACAAACATCTTGTCCCTGAATTCACAACTGGTACACAGGTACAGTCTCAAGACGACAACTTGCCACGCCTCGACAACGCTTCACGAAATGATGCATGCCCCGAAATTCAAAGTTTAGATTAACATCGACTCCATCCATGTGCGCCGGGTACCTGACAGCTCCCACTCCACTAGGGTCCCCATTCTAAGTCGATGTTTAAAGGCGATGTTTAAAGGCATCAGTCAATCTATGACTCATGGACTAGAGAGGACCAATATTAGATATCATCGATCCATCCTCCTATCCGCAAAATAGAGTATTCGGTCCCATCATGACATGGTAGAACTCAGCAGCGAAGTCAAGGCGTACGCAATGGCCCTGGTAATCTCGTCAACTTACACGCAAACCCTCGGACATCAATCCACGGGACCAACTAACTACGCAAGCGTCAATGTCCGCCGAACCTCGAATTATACACTGCGGGCCGCTGCGGGATTAGTTCGTGGCGAGACGAGAAAGGGCCTCGTCATCAGTGCCCATTGTATCTCATTCACGACTGCCGTGAAGTCCCCCCCCCCCGTTTGCTGCGTCTTGCTTCCACACTCAAAAATGCATGAGTTAATTTGGTGCGATGTATTCCGTCCGATCTCTGCTCCTTGACGCGCTGCTATGTACGAATCCAGTTTACACGGATGGATTGCGATGACAGAAGGTGCTTCCCACCTCGTCAGTATTCAAGTACATCGCCTCATTTGCTGGTGGAGGGCCCTCAGATCCTACCATATCCGGGTTACCGCACCTACACGCAGTCCTAGGAGATAAAGGTACACCCGACATGTTTAGGATTGATGCCTATTCAATTTATCTTAGTGTAGAATGGAAATTTTACTATAACAACCAAAAACTCCCTCCATAGACCTAATCCGGACATATCAAGGCAAAACAGAAGGAAAGAAATCCGAGCTCTGGAACATTTACTTTTCACAGCTCATCCTTGCCCATCGCCCTCTTCAGAGCCGCCTTCACCGCCTGCTCAACAAGCTCCTCCTCCTCCTTCTCACCCACACCACTCTCCCTCGCTATCCTTCTCGCCCTCAACATCGCCGACCTCACCGCATCCACAACAGCCTCCTCCTCCTCCTCCTCTCCCACGTCCTCATCTTCGTCACCGCCAGCATTTCCAGTCTTGGCGCCAGCGCCCGTTTTCCCCTCCCCCTCTCCAGCCTTCGGCTTATAACTCCCGTGCTCCGTCGGCGCCGCAATAAGCTCATCCAACCTCTTGACCTCCGAACTAGCAGGCCCCGAAATAATACTCCAATACTCCCTAGCAATCTTCGCATACTTGACCGCCTCCTCCGCCTCACCCAGCTGATTCGACGCATACGCCGCAATCTCCGCCGTCATCGGCCTCGGGAGAACCATCCCCTCGTCACCGTATAATCTCAGCAACTTCTTGCACTGCGCCACGATAGCCCGCGGATCCTCGGCCGACTCGCTGAGCACCTTCTTGGCCTTCCGGATGTTGTCGCGTCGGCGGTTAGACTCGCGCCGCGCGGCCGTGTCGCGGCATATGCGGCACGTGCATTCGAAGTTGAATTGGGAGCCGATGAGCTTGTGGCGGTCTTTGTAGGGGATTTCTTGGAGGCCGTCGACGTAGCTGTAGGTCAGCTCTTCGCCGGGTTTGATGTCGCGGAGGGCGAAGACTTCGACGCCGAGGGTGGTGTCGCTGAAGCGGTAGTACGTGCTGTGAGGAATGACCGTGGTTAGCGCATGTTGTTCAAAGTGCAGTCCTATCCGAAGAGGATGGCGCTGGAGTTGAGGCCGTTGCCTCTCGAGAACCTATATACTCACTTTGGCACGCAATCATGGTTCATTTTCTAGGTCGATTGACATGTTAGTAAATAATTCCCACACGGCGATTTCCAGGTTTCAAAGAAGGAAGGGATAGGAATGGAGAAGAGCACTTACAGCAGCCTCCGGAAACGTCCCTAGGTGGCGGAAATTGGCGTACTGCACACCAAGAGAGTTCATCGTAATCAAGTTATCCAACTCATCCTTGTACCTGCCATTCGACACCATATCCCGCGTTTCCGCTCTGCCCGCATCGGGCAACTGCAGCAAGCCCAGCCAGTTCATCCTAATCCTCTCCTCAGGCAAGAACACCTCCATAGAATCGCGCACCATGAAGAGCGTCGGATAATCGACAAGGATGGTCTCTCCAGCCTTGAAGCTCTCTCCCTCCCTCACAAAGAGGCCCCGACCTCGGTCAGCCGTGAGCTTCTCCTCGTACTTCTTCCGCGGGAAGACTTTATCAAAGGCGTAAGCGTCGGCGGCAGAGGCGTCGGCGGCCGTCGAGGCCATCTGTGTCCTGTTGGCCATGGAAGCGGCTAGTTCTGGAAGCGTGACGATGCTGATGCCACGACCACCCATGAAGTCGGCGTTTGTAAATGTGCAGAAGCCTAGGAGGGGCTTCTCGGCGGGGTGGATGCAGTGGGGTTCGTGGGTCCATGGTCTGAAGATATCGGGATGTGAAGGACGGGGCGCGATCTCGCTGAGGTCGCATGTTAGGTCGCCGTGGAGAGATGTCTCAGGTAGAGGGCAGCTGAATGGCTCCGGCTCGGGGGTGAAGATTGATGTTTGGGCGAGAACAGCTGGGAGAGAGAGGAGAGAGGAGAGGGCGGTGAGGTATGTGAAGGTTGAACTGAGGACAGCCATCGTGAGGAGAGCTCGTTTCGAGCGTCGAGTGTCGAGTAATGGAGAAGGTCGAGGACGTCGATGGAGGTCAGGACTCTTCTTCGTCGCTCAGCGGCGGCGCGTCGCTTCCCGCAGAGAAATCGAACGGTTTGACTTCGGTTATAAAGAACAAGAAAATAAGACGAGGATACCTGCCCGCATTCGATAATAATATACAGAGAGTTACAATTCGCAATGTATTCGACGCTGTCGTCGTCGTGTGCGTATCAATGATCAATCAAGTGCGGAAGAAACCGTCTACTTCGTAGGTGGCGCGGCTGTTTGCGAAGAGAAGAAAAAAAAAAAAATCAAACCAGAATAGCACGAAATTAAGCGACAATCTATGATTTACGAGGATGGAAAGGAAAGGACACCATGTTCGTCTGAAGAATTAAAAAGAGGCGACGGGAAGAACGGGAGTTTGGGGATGTTTAAAGTGTCAATATGAGTAGTGGATGGACATGCCAAGGAACCAAGAAACGGCCTGGAACTGAACACTTTAAAATCGCGGAGTCGATCAACTCTAAAGAAATCAAGACATTGATGCCCTCCATCACCGTGCACCAGGACCTCCTTTGCCGGCATTCTCGTTTCTAGTTTCCCCCTGGCGAGCTCCTGGTTAACCGGGAACGGGGTCTCTCAGACAGCTTGAACGCCGCCACACGAAGTAAAGTCGAACTTGCTCCCATCCGGAGGTGGGATGAAACAACGTCAAAGTTAGCTTGTCCAGTCCTCATTCGTCAAAGGTTTTGCCCATGCTCCGCCAAGACTCGGGACCCATATCTGATCTTGTCTCAGGTTCCCTCGCCAATTTAACCAGAAACGGGCTGGCGCAAGGAAGAAAGTTAGGCGCAGAAAATTGTCCTTAGGCAAAAATCGGGAAAATAATTCTATTATGAAAACAGTTATTGTATTGGAATTATGTTAAAGGAAGTCCTTGTTCTTCTCTTTCTCTCACCCTGTTTTTTCTTCGTCGTTTGTTTCCATTACCGTAGAGTGTGACGTTTCGACTCTTTCCGCGATGCGAGTGGCGCTTCCTTTCTCTATTAACGCGACGATGCGTTCCAGCCCATATAAAGCCAACAAAGGACGGTAGGTTGAAAAAGAAAAAAAAAAAAAAAAAAAAGAAAAAAAAAAATTTGCGATGAGAAGTCGACAGGGTTGCGTTGCGAGGTTTCGGTATCAGTCATAGACTTTAAACTTCTCGGGTACCTCACCACCGTGGCTCTCAATCTCCTCGATCAAGCGCTGGTTCTCGGCGATTTGGTCGCGCATGAACTGGACGGTGCGCTTGAGGACGAGGCCTTCGGAGCGACCTTGGCCCTCGAGGCCGGGGACGAGTTCAGTGAGGCGGTCGAAGCCTTCGCGGATGGCTTGTCTTCGTTTTCGTTCCGAGGCGATGTGGTTCATCTTCTTCTCTGATTCGGTAAGGCGAGGCTTCTCCTCGGGCGGCGGCGCGGATTGGCGCTCCTCTGACGATTTGGAAGTTGCCATTGCGGAAGAGGTTGAATAGTATGACAGGCTTACAGGGCCAGGAAAGCACTTCGTAGTAAAAGCAGATCGTAGTAAGGGCAGATTGTAAAAAGGTAGGACAAGAAACTGGGTATATCTGTGAAAGATCAAGATGGGTTGGGAGTCGGAAGGGTTCCCGCACGGGAGGTACGCCAACCTGAGCAGGACGACAAGATCAGATTCTCTAGCCTCGCGTTATCCCGTGACTTGGCGTCCAGCTTTTGCTTTTCACATGAATCTCGAAATCGAATTCCCTAGTTCCATTGCTTCTAGCGTTTACATTTCGTGTATTGTAGACGCTAAGAGTAGGCCGGTTCCTGTGCCCTCGCTTCTAATTGCTATTCATACGCAGGTGCCGTTGTGGTGTTTCTGGGTTCTCCACGCTGAGGTCCGGGGGTAATGGCCCAAGGGGAACTTAGAATACACGCATAGCCGTCTCTCTTAGCCAGGGAGTAAGAGCGACATTGTCCCTGACGGATGAGTGCTACATTAACTACCTCGTCCATTATTCCCCACGAACTTGAAGCAAATAGATCGTGTTCATCTGCCATCGCTGCCGAATCTATAACGAACCTATGCAAGTCAAAGTCACAAGCAAGCAGGCGGCCCGCCCCGATCTCGGCTAGCGGGTACATGGCCCCTTCTAAGGCTGCTAGAAGCTACTTGGCTCACCCCCCTCCCCCCAACGAAGACGCTACTATAGAGGTGCGAAGACAGTCCTGATACTGTACTCGGGAAACGTCCATCTGTCGCTTCTTACGACCGGAGAACGGCTCCATCACCGACATTCATAGCGCTTGACTTGTACATCCTTGTATCTTCATGATCGAACCATGTTTCCATTTTACATCTGAGAATGAAGAAATCGACGCCGTAGGGCACAGGATTTGCGAATAGAAGCACGTCGGCTTGTGATTCTATGATTCAAGGAATGCTCGTCTACTATCTCGTGTTAAACTGAGATTAATCTCCGTGTAATCGTAGATGACGAAAAGCGAAAGGCAACGTGAGAGATTGGTATATTGATAGCATCTAAGAGCCCCATATGGAGCTGAAGAAGAGCAATAAAATGATCGAGTTCTAAGAGGGTGTAAGTCGGTGTTGTTTGGTCCGATCGGCCGACTTAGACGACTTCTTGTGGGCAACTCTGTCCCGATCCGCAAGCGTCCTTGAAGTGTGCCTCCCATCTTGTCCATCGCATTCTGGCCCGGAAAACTTAAGGAACCATTTCCCGTAGCCCTTTGGGAATTTGACGCCAGACATCCACCCCTATCCCCCTAACCTTCTTCACCTCGAGAAGCATGTGTCTTTGGGACTCAACATCCACCCCTTCGTTTCCTAGAGAATCCGAAGCCTTCTGGGCGCGTGACAGACTTCTCGTCGTTGGCATATGACTTTCCCTCTAATCAGCCGTTTCCGGGGATGAGAAATAAGAGGAATAGAACCCCCCCCCCCCCGGCGCGTACTTCTCCCTCTTCCCATCCTTCCTTCCCACCCCCCATGTCTTACACAACCACTCTTTAACCACCCATCTTACGCCACAACTTTACTCTTTTGCGGAGTTTATCAACCTTTAACAATCAATTGGAACTTTACCAAACATCATCACCATTCTTCATCTTTCGCACACAGCCCACCATGCCAATGTTTCACCCACATCAGCTGTTGACCGGCTGGATGGTTCTAACTCCTGACCAGCTGGCAGAGCAAATGGGCCAGTCCGCTGTTAATCAGTCAAGCCAAGCCGACTCATCCACTTCGCAACAGCAAGGGTGGATGGCCCAGCCTATCCCATACAACCGGAGAGTCCGAATGACCGAGGAACACTATCTGGAATTGAAATGGCAATCCTACCTTGCCACTCACAACATCGCCCATCATTGGACCCCCTTTGAGACGCTAGAGCGCGACAAGTACGCACCAATCTTGTCACAAGAACTTCAGCGCAGAAGGGCCGTCGATTTGGAGCAATTCAAAAACTCCTTAAACGTCGCAATTCTCGCGCTTCTTTCCAACACGCACGTCGATGCTGGAAACGCTAGGGTCATTGACGGCCTTGGGGAGCTGACGGAAGAAGTCCGTCAGAAACTCGTGCTCCCTGCCGTGGGAGAGGCCGCAACTCCATTTACCCCGGAAGCCCAAAATGCATTTCAATCGGCCGTGCAGTCTAACACCCAGGCGTACGGAGCGCTTCTCCCCCAGGGCCTCGAATATGGTCCCGTGAAGTACTCGAGGGCCATGAAATTCAACATGGCGCCGGACCACATGATGCCCGTGAACTTACAGGTGGCCACGAGGCTGGCCGATGAGCCGGCGTATTTTGGGCACCGCGGTGGAGACTACATCTTCAAGTACACGAGCATGCACCGCACTGACAAGCGAGACAAGCATCGCTTCCAGTACGAGTGCCAGGTTCCGCGGACGCAGGGAGAATATCTCGCTCGGCTGCAGTCAATCATGCCAAGGGTATTGAAGATGTTGAATTCATTCATCATGTTTCACCCCTACAGTGCGACCCAGCCCATTGACAAAGTTAGATGGTTGCGCACGATGTCGGACGAGGACGTCTCGCACATTAGAAGCACTTATATGTCGATGTTTCCATCCCAAGATGTACCATCGAAAGAGTTTCACAAATTTATGAGGGAACGCTTGATGGCAACTGAGGTCGTCTCGGAGTTCGCTTGGCTCGTGGAAGAGACCAATGACAACCTCAGGGACCAGAGGGCGCGGAAATTGGCCGACTTCCTCGTGGAAATCACAGGCCAGAAGGACCTGAAGACCCTCGCGGGATATTTCACTCGTCGGCAGAGGGCGATTGCTGAGAGGATCCTGTTCCAAGATAACGAGTATAACGACAGAGTCGGAGTGTACAAGTGCCCTAAAGTAAGTTGGAAGAATTTCCTAGACTTGATTGATCATTTGTTTTCAAATCCTTTTTCCATTCTCCCATCCACTTACCTTCCCTACTTTCCTCTTTCCTTTCCGTTTTTTCCTTTTCCATTTCCTCTCTTCCCTTCCCTCTCTCCTCTCATCCTCTTCTGGTGCGCGGTGTGAGTGAGGTTGACGTTCATTCGGACTATCTCCGGATAATCCAGCCGAGACCTCACCTTTTTCACTTCGACCCTTGTCAAAAAGCTTTGGCCAATCAAATCGCGTCGTTTTCATTCCAATGGCTCCACGCCAAAATTTAGCAATTGAGAACTTCGATTCTAACCACGCAACAGACCTTCGTCGAGCACACTCGCACCCAGCACCCCGACGTCGTTACCGATCCCCTCGCCAACCTCTACAGCGGCCTTCACAACCCGGCTCTTATCTTCAAGGACTCGCTCGAGAGGGTTTACGAAACAGTCCGGGGAAGCATCGCAGACCGAGCTAACTCTGCACCCGACGCCAACGGTCCGAAGAACGTCGTTTCGCAGCCAGAGGTTGCCTCGTGCAGTGGTTTCCTACCTGTCGGTTCGAATTCTCAGCCCGCCGCTTCGGTTTCCCAACCTGCTGATTCGAGCACTACCACTGCTCAGCTTTCGTCTGTCGATCCGAGTCAGTTGGACGACTATTTGAACGCCTTCTTGACCGTTTCGGGCCTAAAGAATCCGCCTGATTTAGTCGAGGAAACCGGTTCTTCGTCATCGTCATCCGACTCGGAGCCCAACGTCGTCCAGAGTTTCAATCCAGATAACTTCTTGAGTCTCGGCACCGGCACCACCAGCGACGATCCTTCTGTTGTGGATTTCGACCCCCTGGCGTTTGACTTCGATACTTTCCTGCAGTCTGATTCCGCTACCAACTTTGACATAAAGGTCTCCGCCGTCCCTACTACAAATCCTGATCCTCCGGCTTCTATCTTTGATTTAACTACCGACCAACATCCGCTTCAACCAGATCTTGAAGCATTACTCCGTCTCCCCGAGATCCCCGCTACGGATTTCTTTCAAGAGCTCATCTACACCGGTGGCCCAAACCAGAATAACACCCCGCAAACCACCAATCAGCAGGAGTCCCAGGAAGACCCCGCCGCGAACATTATTAACTACGTTGCACCTGTTATAGGCCTCAACTGCGACAATCTAGAATCGAGGGGCACCAAACGATCTCTAGACGAATTTCTCGATCAAAACGACTAAACCTACATTTTCAAAAAACATTAAAAAAAAAAAAAGAAAAGGATAAAGAAAATTATCACTTCACTCTAGCGTCATGTCGAGCGTTTCCAGTGTTCGAGGCCTTTTTGCCTCCACTCCCCTCCAGCGAGCGTGGACAGCGACCACCAGCGTTCAGCTCACACGTTCTTTTACCACCACGACGATGCTTCAAAAGAAGAAGAAGGGCGGCGCCAAGCCCAAGACGGAAGACTCTATGAAGCTCAAGGCCCTCAAGGCGAACCTCTTCGCCGACCCTCCCGCCCCTCTCCGCATGGCCCGCAGCAGGTGGCTCCGCCACTGGACGATCCACCGCGCCTGGCTCCTGCACCAGCGCAAGGTCCGGGAGGCGCGCGAGAGGGAGCTCATGAGGATGCAACAGGGCATGTTTGAGGCGTGCGAGGAGCTCAGGAAGACGAGCGGTCCGGGAACGAGGGCCGAGGGGTATTTGTATCGGGTTGCCATGGAGAAGAAGGGCGTTTATGGACCGAGGGGGATCCCGATTGAGTATGCGAGGTTGCAGACGGAGACGCCTGCTAGGGAGGCGTGGAATCATTCTTGGACGAGGTGAAGTGTTTTATTAGAAGAAAAGGGCTGTAGATATAAGCGGCCTATGAGGCACTTTGCTTGTTTCTTTTGATTGTTTGATTTTGAATGTATCATTATCACCTGTATTAGACTTGGAGGGTTCGGGAAGAGCTCTCTTGATACGAGTATGGGCTGAGTTGATGGACTGAGATGCTTCGGGTCGGATTCAGCGTGTGTGGGAGAACTGACAGCGAGGAAGAACCCTAAATTGTATTAGTATTCTTAACAAGTTTGGTTTCCCACTCCTTGGATTACTTCAATGTTCGAGACTCTACGTGAGATAATGTGTCATGGGTTCTCAAAAACAAAACCCACTTCCCTAGAAGAAGCCAGTGGCATAAGAGTCGCCGTACTCATATCTCCTGACGACCCGAGTTCCAAAAAGAAGAGCATCCTCAATTTATGCCAAAAAATCTCGATCTCACTCCACATCACATCACCCAGCAGGACGAGGGCCCTAACCTTGTCTCAACAACCTTCGGGTGCAGAAAAAGAAGGAAGAGAAAATAAAAATGGCAGAGAAGTCATCGGAAGGAAGACAAGAGAAATAGTTATTAATGCTAAGGATCATGGGGCATGGCAAGATAAACAAAGATGTTGAACTTGTGGTAGCGAAATATTGGCGCCTTGGACAGTTCGATCTACAAAAACGGAGGAAAAAAAGAACATCATATTGTTTCCGCCCTCCTTCCAGTTCCCTTCCCTATTTCCCCTTTCTCCCTATAAGACAGAGAATTCCATAGCCAAAGATCTGAGGAAAGGGATGCGTATTTCAGAAAACCAGATATAAAAGATAAATTAAAAACCAAAAAACAAGACATCATATTGTTACCCGTGTAGTCGAAAAGAAAATAAGACTTTTTCCCCCATTCTCCATTACTAAATGCGTTGCGAAGATTAATAATAAAAAAAAAAAAACGGCATAAAACTTGAGTAAAACGCTCAGTGCGGTCGAGAGGTGGAAAGACACCAAATGTCTCTCATTAAGTCAAGTTCAGTGTTGTCGTTGGGATCGCTAGGTTTGGGTTCGAAAAGAACATGTCACTTGTGCTAAGCTCGGAAACTGTAGCTCAGTCAGGCGTAGGGAGTTGCGTAGAAGCCGGGGAGGAAGATCTGTGGGTTCGACAGACGAAGACGATTCGACGAAGGATCATATACGTGAGTTGGCGCAGCAGGGTGAAACCTAGTGCACTGGTTCATATCTTCCGCCTGGGTGCTCGGGCCTAGCGAGCGGCTGCGCTTCGCGAGCAAGAGCAAGCCAGGGAGGGAGGAATGCTAGTGAATGGCTCCATAAGGTGCAAGAAATCTCCGTAACATAACGGGGGCAAAAAAAATCCACCTTCTAGTCTCCGGGGTATCCAGGAACGGCTGACGCTCAATTGCTTCGCAAAATGCAAGGTTGACAAGGTAGTGGCTTACAACACAACGCAGCAGCCACCACCCTCTCCCCTTTCGAACGTCAGAAGCGCTGCTCGGGTAGCAGCCTCAAAGACGTCATCAACGCCCTCACCACTCAAACTAGAGCACTCTAGATACCTGCGAGCACCGATTTCCCGGGCAGCCTGGTCTCCTTCTTGTGGGGAGACGAATCTTAGAGACTTCTTCCGTTGTTCTTCGATGGCGACGGGATCTTCCCGCAAATCCTTCTTCAACCCAACGAGGATAATAGGTACACCAGGGCAGAGCCTGGTAGCTTCTTCCACCCACTAATCCAAGAATGGCGAACAGTCAGCTTCTCGTTCTGGGAAATTTGAGCCCTGTGGAAAACTCCCCCCAAGTCAAAGCACCTCGAAGCCTTACCTTGTGCTTAACATTATCCAGCGAGTCAGGGGTTTCGATAGAGAATCCTATTAAGATGACGTGGGCTTTCGAATACGCTAGTGGCCTCAATCGCTCGTAGTCTTCCTGTCCTGCGGTATCCCATAGCGCTAGCTGGACGGATTTGCCGTCGACTCTGCAATCGGTCACGTAGTTTTCGAATACGGTCGGTATCTATCGCAGGCCAGGGAAGTCAGCTTGGTACGTGTCGTCGAATCGGCGAGCGGTTCGTCCTGGGGGTCGTCGTAAACTTACATAGTTCTACCGAGAAAAACGTTAGCTAGAGTCAAACAAAGAAGTAGGAGGACATTCAATGGTTTCGTAGGCTTACCGTAGGGAAGTAACCTAGGGTGAAGACGCTTAGAAGACTTGTCTTCCCGCAGGCTCCGTCACCAATGATCACTAGCTTCCTAAAGTAATTGGTCAGTTCAGCACATCCCCAATGAACATGTCCAGGCCGTGAAACCGCCGGGAGAGGAGGTGGCAACTATGTATCGAGGAAATCACCGGACGGGCTCCAGGAGGCTCGCAAGATTACACCAGCGGCCAGGAGATTGCCCTGATTGTGTGCCATGTATGTCCGGGACTATCCTAGCTGGCAGGTGGATAGCGATGTGCCACAAGGACCAAGATGGCGTACCTTCGAATAGCGTTATTTGGACTGGCAGCCGCCATTGTGCGTGTCGGAGGCAGAGAACGCTTGCGGAGTGACGGAAGGAAATAAAATGCACCAGACGTAGAGTGGTCGGTGTGGGCAGGTGCGGCTCAATGGAGATCAGTGCCCAGCCCTGATGACCGTCGTCGTCCTCCACCGACTACGATTGTAGATTTGTCTCGTAACGGGATAGGTCGAGATCGTTCGACAAGGAACGGAGGCAATTATTTCAAGAAGCCCTTATTGAGCGAGAAGACGTTTTGAGCTACACTCGCCCCTATGTCGGGTACTTGAGGTCGATCCACCAGCTGCTCAGAGGTCGAGGGGTGTCGGTCGAATCGACGAGATACGGCGGGAGGAGGGGATTAAGAGGGATTGATCTCGGGATTCGGCGAGGATGCGTGAGAGGCTACAAGGGGCGTCGGGGACGAATACGAAAGATCGAATAGGTCCGTCGGTGTGTAGAGGGAGCCGGGAGCACAGGTACGAGAAGGGGTAAGAGAGGAGACGCAGGCACGGGAGGGATCCAAAGGCCGGAAGCACAAGAAAAGAAGAAGAAAAAAGAAAAGAGTAGTTGAGAGCCGCTAGTGTGCACGAGTTTGTTTGTGTGTGGAACCTTGTCAATGGAAAAGGGTCGTTGGAGATAATAACACGGATGCGTTAAAAAAAGATGCTGTGTAAGGCCAAGACCGGAAACGGGGCCTGTCGGCTTTTATTTAGGCTTCGGGCGCGGGTCTTGCGACTTTGGCCAGTCTTCCCAGTTGGGGCAGGGGAGTCGTATCAGGGAATCAGGGAATCAGGGACAGAATGGTTCAGATGCCCTACGAAGTACCCTCGTACAAAGGACCGTCTTCGTCGTTGGTTCCTGGCGACTTGGCCGTGGTTCCTGATTTCAACCCCAGGACAGGATGATGCAGATGGCTAGATGGGTGACGGGAGGGCTGAGATTGACCAGGATTAAAATGGTTCCAAGGGGCGAAGCCAGGCGAGGAGATGCAGCGGGGACTTCTGCAATATGGGCAAGATGGGTTGTCACTTGCCGGGGGGGGATGGGTTGGTGGTTCAAGGACAAAGTGAATACGAGAAGGTCCTAGGAAGTATTTGAGGCTAGGCTGGGCTGGGACTGGGCTGGATGTGCGGTTCAACAATGCCTGCAGAGGCTGCAGAACAGGACTCTCCCGGACCTGCCTGGATCATTGGTAATAAATACATAGCACGATCTCAATCCAGCTGGGCTCAATGGGCTGCGACTTCCAGACGCCAGAGTAACTTTTGGGCTGGCGGGTAAATTCCGGGTGGGCTTGACCTGACAAAAGTCGTCAATTGATGGTGGTGCTGTGTCACTGTCAGCGATCCTAAGTGGGCCTAGCTCAGCCTGCGTCCTTCAATCGACAAAGTCCTATTTACTCACTGTCAATACGGGGAGCCCGACTGGAGCTCGAACGGTTGCAAAGAGCCGAGAGATACTTACAAGGACAGACCCTGAATAAAAGATAAAGAAAGCCTCCTTCGTACTTGAATTGATACTCATTCCATCTTTTCTGCTTCCATGGCCTCTCCAATCGTCAACAACGTCATTGATGTTGACTCAGCAGGGGGGAAAAACTGCCTGCCATGTCAATATTGCGTTGAATGTAAACAAAGACCCGTCCATCAATTGCCGTTTGAACCCGGGCGGAATTGTCGCGTTTATTCTCTGTCCATCCCCTCTTTCAGAACACATGCGCTGGTGGAGGCCAGGAGAGTTCAATACGCCAGGTCACAGTTCCCTTGCACCCGGATCTACGAGGTAAGCGTTTCTTTGTGGATGAAACGATGAGGGCTCCAAAATAGAACACGACTCGTTGCAATTGTGAACAATGATCGTCAAGTCCCTCTCGTATCTGATTAATAACCATGCCGCGCCGGAGGACAAAGAGGACGGGATTTGCATCGACAAATCCAGGAATGCATCTGACTTTCCCGAGATTGAGGCCGCCAAAAAAAGAAGCCGATCTGCCCCCGAATCCCATCCCTAACCAGTGGCCACTGGTGTGTGGTCCCCGGACATGCGGTTTCACTTTGACGAATAAAAGCGGGACTTCGAGTGTTCATTAGTTCGGGTCATGGCCCTGTCCTTGGTGAAAGGACAGGAGGCGAAGCCCAAACGATGGCCCCATTTGCATCATTGTACTCCAGGTTGGATGAAGAAGATGCATGTCCCATTCGACTCTTTGCCTTGTACGCATATATCCCGCGTCCGTAGCAGAGTTGACGAGGGAGCCCTCGAGTTACACTCCAGCTGTTCTTTGTTGGGCGGTGGACAATGGGCATGTCTTTGGCCCATCACCTCTTTACCTGAAAAGCGACTTCATGTTGGTTTCCTTGCCTCAAACGTAGCCCTACAACCCGGGAAGGCAACGCCTCTCTCGAGACAATGCACAGACATCACGAATCCCTATACCGAGCTGCAAGACATTAACGCCAGGCCCACACCAATAGGACGTAGCGCGAACAAGAAAGAATAGGGGACTCGACACCGGCAAGGTGTGACGTTTTCTCACCCGCGTCCGTTCTCAGCCCTTAAGTGAGGCTGTGCAGCTCCACTGACACCAGCGACGAATCATGGCAAAAGAAGTCCCCTTTTAAACGGATATCGGATGTGCGGAGTACTCAAGGAGTTTACAAGTTTGACGTGTGTATGTTAATTGACCCGTTATTCACGCGCTTCGTATTTGTCCTTGGTCAGACTCTTCCGTCCACCCTCTGAGGCTTGACACTGTGGGGAGATGCAAGTCCCTCAACCATCGAGAGACTAATACGTACCAGGAATATATCCCGTAGTCATCTCAACCATGGCTCGAGTCCTGATCCGAGCAGATGTCATATCGGGAAACTCCCAAGCCCCTCCGGTCGTGTAAACAAGAGCATTTACATCCCACGTTTACAACATTCACGTCCCGTTCTTTATCATCGCGGGGGCTTAGCGCAAAGCCTTACTCGACTTCATGGGTTGCTTCGTTCTAAGTTTCACAAATTCCTTCACCGTTTAACCTCGGATGCTCCAGAGACTCTGCTGCCCCGTCTCTCGGGACACTCGGGGAGAAGCGAACAACACTGATTGTAGCCGTCATATCGATAGCCAATGGGCGTCGAGATTGAGGACAGGACCAAAAAAAGATCGAGACGAGATGCCGAAAAAAAAAAAAAAAAGAAAAAGAAAAAGAAACATACAACACCGAGGATTCGCTGGTCGTCACCGACCCAACTACTAGTTCGGCGCTTCGTAGCTTATGTGACAGGGGAGCGGACGGGACCCTCAGTTCTCTACGAGCTATGGCCGTATGTATTGTCTTTTCGCCTAGAAACGATACATATACTTTGGATTCCCATCTATCCATCGGCATAGAGTCTCCGACAAGATCTCCGCTCGCTTTACTACTAATATTCCCGCTCCTGCTATAAACCTGCATAATGCCGATGACATCCTGCACGAAGTAACTACCACAGTTGATTTTGTTGATTTCGTTGTTGAAAGACGTGGCGGGGAACCTCGTGTTGTGTATTCGACAGAAACGTAGGGCAAAGGAGAGATATATACCGCCATCTCCCAGTTTGGCGAGTTAAGTCCATTCTTACGGTTCAACTCTCGTTCTGGATATAGCTAGTCCAAATAACGAAAGCGAGTGGTAATGTAAAGGCAGATTCTAATTTTGTGGATCATATCTGATTCGGTTGCTCAAATGCCTCATCTTGACAGACCGACCACCACCACCCCTCACCGTAAATCCAGAACCTTTCCAGCACCCAGACGGAGGTTGGACAGGATCATTGGCATCTGCTGCGGGAGCTGATGTCAGGGAATCTGGCCATTGACATGGAACGGGCGCGTTGCGCTTCTCCAGTTCTTCTCTCTTGACGGCTTCTGCGTAATCGAATCCGGCGGACAAGGCAGCAACCTCTGAAATGTTCCGTCACTACTTCTAGATGCCTATCCGGGCGTCACCGGTGGGCAATAACACTCACTCACCTTCAGGCACCAATGGGTCCGGGACTACAGACATGGCGAGCGAATGCTTCGAGCTTCGGGCTTCGAGCTTCGAGCTTCTGTCGCTCTCAAATGTCCACCCTGGCCGACTATCCTCTAGCTAGATCTGGGCTAAAGTCTCTGGACACAGACGGTATGTCATGTGGGAATGAGGAAGTGAGGAAGTGAGACTTACGACTGATTGCGGGGTTCACAGAGCTGTTAGGTCAGGCTCATGGCTAACACCCACTTGCAAACTACTGCAAAAAAGCTCGGACGTCCAAGGGACTCCTACATGGGCTGGCTTCTCAGGGGAGTTACGACATGCTTTGAGTCATCAGATCTACATATCCGTTTGATTTAGAGGGTACGGGAACTATTAAATGCTGAGGTCAAAATAAGAGGTGGATACAGATGAATATCTTTTGATAGACGCTTGAAGTTTGTTAGGATCTGCAGTGTGCTAGTGTACGCTTGCTCTACTACTCAGCTATCAAAATGTGTCCTTCTTTGCCTGGACTAGTCAGGAGTTGGACGTGGCGAAGTGAATCCAAAGTCTCACTTTCCTCGAAAATGATGAGGCCGGCATCCAACGAATTTACAGAGTGTGGGACCAAGACCAAAGACCCTTTCGAGTGTCATGTCTGAATGTCTGAATGCTTCGCTGTTTTCATCCCTCGACGGGGTGGGATTGCCAGGCTATGCTAAAAATGGATTCTCGAGATAATATTGAAGGCTTCACGGAAAGAATTAGGCACAATTGGGTCGATTGCGGTTTGGACCTTCGATTCTGTTTCGTTTCGAGACCACGCTGACGACAACAGTGTTTGATCGTGGGCGTTGAGGAGTTGAAGATGCACGTGACAGTACACGGGACAAGTACCTTGTCGAAGCCTTTCGTCCAGTCCTGTAACTTCCCGCACCTCAGATTTTGGGTCGCTGCACTGATCAATGCTGAACCCAGCTGGAAAATCTGGCTAAGCACAGTGCCAAGTTTAGAGCTATACAGTTGGAAATACCTTTGCTGTCATCATCTGGCAGGTGCGACGAGGCGTTTGATATTAGTCTGCGTCTGTGTTAGTGTCGATTATCAAAACGACTTCAGGGCAGGAGCACCCAGGTTGGTGATGAATCACCCAAGTGAATAAGGCCATTGAATGGATACATTGAATTGATACAATATATTGACACTCTGACAGGATCAATGGCTCCTTCCTCGTTTCCAACCCGCTGAATTTTGCCCAGGTTCTTCTGTTTCTGTATTTGCAGCTTGAGGGTGGCACCAACCTTTTCTCTTCTTCATCCCACTTCATCCTTCAGCCAATTTCAACGTACGCTGTTCCTTGCGGCGCCTACCAGCTTCTTTTCCTGCTGGCGTCAAAAAAACAGCTTTCGAACCAACACCTCAAAAATCCACACATCCTCACCACAGATCTTCTTCCCTACCCAATTTCGGTTTCCCAAGCCAAGTGGTCTTCGGAAGATTCCCCCATTTCCGATCGACATTCTCGTCAATCCTATCTCGATTTCCTTTTCTTTTCCCGTTTTCCCCCCTTTGGCATCGCCAGAGAATTTTTATTTTCCTCAGTCCTTTTTATTCTCACGTTTTCGCCCCCAAACGCGACCCCAGCCTTGCCCCCTTCCCTGTTTCCCGGCTTTCCTTTGGCACTGGGCAAACGGGCGAAGGAGGAGGTATCCCCACAGTGTGAGCCACCCAACCAATTGTTGCTCTAGCCGCACGGCATTGCAAGGGCCTGCAGTAAGTAACCCACAACCTCACCTCATCTCCTACCGGCTCTCAGGGTTGCTTCCAACATCTAAAACCATTTCAGCAGTCTTCCCTCGATTCCAAATACCCCGTCAAGGTCCCGAGAGCCTCAATCTTCCTACCCCCACAGGGAACTTGCTGGCTCCCGTGACGACACCACTCGCTTGTGACGGGTCGCCTACCCAATACCGAAAAATCCGCTCTCGAAAGCCTTGCCACGAGACCGAATTGCCGAGCATCACTCTCCAAACCCCATCAAAGTCCCTCGACCGCGTTCTTACCCCTCCAACTCTACACCTTCCCCCCCATGACTTAGCCGGCGATTGACTCTCGGTGAACGCATCGCTCGACTATCCTCTAGAGATGCCCGCGAACAACCGCTTGCCAGCGTCCCAACCCACATCCTCCCCCACCGGCAAGAACGTCTCCAAATACACAAACAAGGACGGTTCCAAGTTTATCGCCCTTCCGAAGGCTCCGCTAGCTGCCCAGTCTACCCAAACCACTTCCCCCACCTCGGCCATCATGCCTGCTCCCCAGCCTTCCGTCCTGGGGGCCTCGACCAACGGTCCGCCTTCGGGCGTGAATCCTAAGAAGCAGAAGCGTCGACAAAAGATTGCCGCGAAGGCCGCCGCCGCCGCCGCCGCGGCGAACGGCCACAGTCCGTCGCCCACACCTTCTGACTTTCGAGTCGCCTCAACGACCCACGCTCCTATCCCCGCTACCACGGAAAACGATGGCAACGCCGCGTTGACTCCCCGCCCTACCCAACACCCATCCCAACCTTCGCAGAGCTCTGTACTTATTGAAAACGGAGCCCACCCGGAAGGTGATGCCGAGGCCGCTGGTGCCCAGACAAAGGGCAAGAAGAACAAGCGTAACAAAAAGAAGAAAAAGAATACGCCCGGAAATCCAGCTGAAGCTGAGCACCACCACCATAACCATGCCCCCGCCCGAAGCTATACCGACGACCGCTTCTGGAATACCAACTCCAACGAAGAGCGCGAACGCATCAAGACTTTCTGGATCAACCTGAGCGAGGAGGAGCGTAAGAGTCTCGTTAAGCTCGAGAAAGACACCATCCTCAAAAAGATGAAGGAGCAGCAGAAGAACACATGCAGCTGCGCCGTGTGTGGTCGTAAGCGAAGTGCCATTGAGCAGGAACTTGAGGGTCTTTACGATAGCTACTATCGAGAGCTCGAGAACTACGCCAACCGCGCCGACGGATCCCTTCTCGGTGGCCCCGGCAATTTTGCTCTCCATACCCCCCGAGACAATTCCCTCATCTACCAAGGGGCCGTCCCCTCTCGCGCTACAATGGTTGAGCATCTCGATCCCGACGACGACGAGCGGGAGGAGGACTACATGAATGACGAGGACTTCGACGAAGAGGAAGAGGAAGGCTTCAGCGAAGATGAGGATTCCGAAGACGATCGACGAGCCGATGATCGCGTCATTGCAGACTTCCTAGACTTTGGAAACAGCCTGCAAGTCAAAGGTACCGTCGCACCGATGAGTGCCACATATCACCCGTTGTACAGTCTCGCTAACTTTCCGGCCTAGGTGGTATCCTTACCGTTGCCGACGATTTGCTCAAGAACGACGGTCGAAAGTTCATTGAGATGATGGAGCAACTTGCGGAACGCCGCATGGCACGAGAAGAGAGTGCGGGTGCCTCCGCCGCTCAACAACCTGGAGGTTATGACGGCTACCCTCGAGTGAGAGAACATCGCACGAACGGTGGTGGGTATGTGCTTCCAGAGGCTCACGACGACGATGACGACGAGCCTGATCATGAGCACGACCATGATGATGACCACGGTTACGATGACGATTACGACCACGACCATGTCCACTCGCACGCCCATAGCCACGCCCATCACCATCCCGATGGCCATCACGTCCACGATCACCACGATCACCACGGTCACGCATGCCCCGATGACGACCAAGAAGGAGAGTATGATGAAGAGGACGATGAGGAGTATGATGAGGATCAAGAGGGAGACTATGATGAAGACGAGGACGAGGTAGAGGTATGTCTTTTAGAGTTGGTAGATCTTGCGAGGCCTTTTTTTTCTTTTTTTTTTTCTTTTTTTTTTCCTTTCTCTTTCCTTCCCCTTCTCTTTTCTAATCAATGTATCAATTTTTAGGAGGCTATGACGGATCAGCAGCGGATGGAAGAGGGCCGACGAATGTTTCAAATCTTCGCGGCACGCATGTTTGAGCAAAGGGTCCTTAGCGCTTACAAGAAGAAGCTGGCGTCCGAACGCACCGAAAAGCTTCTTCAAGAGCTCGATGACGAGAAGCGTCTAGAAGAGGAGAAGAAGGCCCAGAAGGCGTCCAAGGCTGCGAAGAAGCGCGATCGCGAGCGACAAAAGAAGCTTGCGAACCAGGAGGCTAAGGCCAAGAAGGAGGCTGAGAGGGCTGCCGAGGAAGCAGCCAAGAAGCTTGAAGCTGAGAAGCGCGCCGAGGAGCAACGGAAGCTGCACGAAGAGAAGCGAAAGGCCAAGGAGGCCCAGAAGAAGAAGGAAGAGGATGAGCGTCAGCGGAAGGAGGCTGAGAGGTTGAAGCGGGTACAGGAACAAGAGCGGAAGGCCAAGGAAGCTCGCGAGGCCAAGGAGCGCGAGAAGAGGCTCAAGGAAGAGCAGCGTCAGAAGGAAAAGGAGGCCCGCGAGGCGAAGGAGAGACAGGAGCGCGAGAGAAAGGAACGCGAGCAGAGGGAGCGCCAGCAAAAAGAGCGTCTGCAAAAGGAGCGTCAACAGCAGAAAGAGCGCGACGCCCGCGAGCGCAGGGAGAAGCACGAGGCCCAGGAACGCGAGAGAAAGGCAAAAGAAGCCCAGGCCAAAGGCGCCCGCGAAGCCAAGGATAAGGCAAAGGGTCAAAGCAAGTCATCCTCGTCCAAAGGTCCCCCAGCCTCGTCGGCGGCCCCTAAGACTCCGTTGGGAAAGAAGCAGCAGCCGTCCGCCCAAGCAGCGACTCCGCAATCCTCTCAGGCCACGACAAACTCTCTAACTCAACATCACGCCCCCCCTCCTACTACATACGCATCGCCCAAGGTCCCCGTCGCGACTCCAATCATTCCACCGAGGACTGCGCATCCCATTCGCTCCCGAACCTCGTCGCAACAGCATGATGTGTCCGCCCACGGCGGAGTGACGCCGCAGCCCGGAGCACCGGCGAGCCTCCACGGTTCGCCCCATGCCGCGACTCCTATTCACGCAAGCCCTGGAACGCTTGGTTCTCAGATCAATCATGGCCCTCCTCCCCTGTCGAGCCTACCACACACTGGTTCACCATCCATGGGATCTCTCCGCGGTGTTGTTAATACCCCGCCCCCTCCTCTCCCGCCCTTCGGAGTCGGCCGCGGCGTTGCCATGCCTCCTCCTCCCCCCGGCTTCGGCCAGGTCCCCCTCCCACCTGGCCTGCATAATAGAATGACGCAGGACCAGATGTTCCCTCCATCTCAGGCTGGCTTTAGGTACGGCCACGATCTGATGCAATTCCCTCCCGGTTTCACGCCTTCTATCATCCGGCCCCCGGCCTACGGTGGTCCTCCCCCTCCCCCGGGATTCCCTCAGGTGGCTGGCGATCCCCTCATTGGACTCAACCACGCGTTTAGTCCACTCCCGGATATGGGTGTTGTTATTCCCCAGCAGCCTAGACAGTTGTCGGGAAGTTTGGATCCCTCGCCGTCTCCTCTTTCTGGACAGGCCATCATCCGTCCCGCGCCCATTGGTCGCCCATCAAGTGTCGTTCACGGACAACGTTCCACTGACTTGTCTTCCCACGATGTTGGTGACGAAGAGCAAGAGCACCTGGGCAGCCGCGCATTACTCGATGACGACGCGGAGGACCCCATCAGTCTTGACCAGGCATCCCTTAGACGGGGAACTGCCGCGCCGGGACCCAATATTCGAACCCAATTCCCGCCTTCTGGATTCATGGACACTGCCTTTGGCTCACCTTTCCATACTCAATGGGGAAGTTCTTCCGCCGGGGCCTTCAGCCCCCAGCCGACATTGGGCAATTCACTTTGGTCCACCCCAGGTGCTCAGTTTGGAGGCGCAGTCCCCCCTGTTGGCCAGCTCCGTGGCAGACCACCTGTGAACGCCGTCACCCTTCGTCACATGCTCTGTCAGGCCTGCCAGTCCCTCAGCGATAACGGGCAGGCGAATGCCGACGGTTACGTTGACATCGGCGCTGTTAAGGCGAACATCTTGCAGAACATTGGCCACGATGTCCCCGACGCCGAGCTCCTAGCCATTTCGGAGACAGAGGGTAACGTCCAGAACGGTGGCGGCAGCTTCGACAGCATCACCGACTCCGGCCGACGACTGATTCGATGGGTAGTGGCGACCGGCGCCCCCGATAAACCCTCTCATCATCCCCTTGGAGCTCCCGGAGATATTGGAAGTCCTATTATTGGCGGCGGTGCGGCCCCAGGAGCCGGGCGAGGGTCTTAGGAGACCACGGGTTTGTCACCTAGCAGGGCAAATGAGGTGACAACCCTTTTAACTGGTGTTGGTGTGACCTCTAGCGCGGAACCCATCAGAAATATTTGGTCCGAGCACGAGAGTCGTGGCACTCAACCCAGTCTCGCCCTCACTTCCATTGCCTCCCACGTGGGCCTTAGCAAGTACCACAATCCTCCCCTCATTAGCTCAGATGAGGCATTCTGTGATAAACAAGACAATCCCTGGATTGGTGTGAAGGCACTCTGGGGTTCAGGTAAGGATAAGGATGCTATCTCTAAACAGAGGCGCTCTTCTCCATACTTTGGAAATGACCTTTCCTGTCGCCCTCCTGTTGACCTACTCAAGCTTCGTCAACCCATTGCATCCCCATGCTACACCTTCAGGCCTAGTCCTGAGGTTGATGCAATCACAAGGGAAACCACACTTTCTCCTCGTCACCCTCCTAGCCTCTTAAAGAGTTTCTACTCGGAGACTTTCCAGCCAGGTAACATAAAGAGAATGGAAGCCTTTGAGTCAGAGAAGCGCTTTCGGGCTCATTTGAGTGAAAACCCTCAAGATGAGAGCATTGGACGCTTCCGTCTGCCTTTGCGCTTCCGAGGCCTGCAGAAACTTGGAGATAAGGAGAAGGAGACGAAGGAGGAGAAGGAGGAGAAGGAGGATATTCAGCAACAGGGAGACAAACAGGATGATGACAGTCAGCAGGGTGATGGTAACTGAACCACCACTAATCTAAGAGGAGAGCACACCTTTTGCCTTTTTTTATTTCCGTTTTCTTTCTTCATCATAAGCCCTTGGTTTCTTCCTGAATGAAGGGGTATCTGATTTGGCTCAGTATCAGGGACACAAAGGGTTAACGGATTTGGCGAAATGAGGAACTAATACATGGAGCAAAAGTTTCATTGTTCTACTTGCATGGTAGCTTGTTGCATCATCTCGGAAGTCTCTTTTCTTTTTTTTCTTGCTTCTTCTCTTTTTTGTTGTCATTTTATAGCGAAAGGGCCTTCTCTCTATGGCATTTCTTTTTTCCTTTCTTCTGGGAAATTAAAGAAGGGGAGATGAGCGATCATTAGGGAATATAAGCGATTATTCGCTTTTGATCATCTTTTTTTTTTTTTTTTTTGTGTTCCTGGTATCTGATGTGTTTGATGGGATCATGCCTCGAAATGTAGGATGGAGTCGATTCCCCGTCGAGCTGGACGTGTTACGTGTATGTGTATGCATGGATGGACGGATGTAGGAAGTTGACTGGAGGTCTTGTGGTAGAACACAGACAACGATGTTCTTGAACTTGGGGATCCGATGGTTCTCGATAAGTAACCGGGACCAAGGCTCTCAACGATGAGAGCTAATATTCTCGGATTTCTAGATCACGGCTCAATACAACTTCCTGCCTTCAATAAGCAACAGGAAGATGTCGAAACACCACGATGCGAAGGCACCCTTGGGAAAATGAGGTGATGAATCTTCTCGTTAAAACCATACGACTTTATATTCCGTAGTAATGCATGAAACCACCACAAGAAAAAGAACTATCAAACAGACGAAAACGAGGATGAGGAAACCAACAAAAACATCTTTTAAACAATTGGGCAGGGGAATTTGTTAAAAAAGGGGGGCGAACATCAGGGTAGATTTGGGAAACCGTCTCTTTTTTCTTTTTGTATACATGTATGGAAAGGCTGGGGATGAATGAGCCTCTCCAAGATGAGTGCATGATCATCGAGGAACAATCCTATTAAGGACCAAAAAAAAAAAAAAAAATATGACAAGATGAGAAATTCATTAAATGTAGAACCCTTGCGCCTTTGCCAGATCAGCTTAGCTGGGGTGGACTTGTGTGAAAAGCGGGGGACGAGATCTGTCTCGGGGACATACATCCCTTCTGGGCCAGGTAGAAAGAAAGCTTCAAATCATAACTTCATCCTTCTTCTACACGAACCGCCCGCCCGAACCGCCGCGCCGAGCCCGATTCCCCGGTCCAGCCTCCAAGGAACTCCTAGTACCTGTGCTGATCGTTGAAAGGATCCGGCTGGGGGGTGGCAGAAGGCGAAGGAGCATCGCCATACGCCTGGGGGTTCGGCTGACTCGTCATAAGCGGCTGCCTATCACTCACGTTCCTAGCACGAGTGCCGGCGCTAGAGGCCTTAGCAATAGCGGCGGCCTCAGCCTTGGCAGCGAGCTTCTTCTGCTGGGACTTATCCTTGCAGCAGAAGAAGGTCATCATGCCGATGGAGATGACGATGGCGGCGGCGAAAATGATGGAGACGATGATGCCGCCGGTGTCAAGCTTGTTGACCTTCTCCATGCAGGTCGTCTGGCCCTTGGAGTCCATGCGGCAGAGGAAGCCGTCGAGGCAGCGCACCTTTTCGATGACGCGCTCCTCGCAGGTGCCCGTCGGGTCGCAGATGCTCTCAGTGGCGGTGCGCGTGGCGTAGCACTCGGTACCCTGAGAGGGCTTGGCAATGCCGCCGCTTACGGTTTGGGCGGCCGCCGTGACGCGGACGACTTCGGTTTGCCTCTCGGGAGTGGTTTCGGCGGCGGCGGGGGTGGTTGCCGCGGGAGTGTCCTCGGGCGTTTGCTGGGGAGCGGCAGGCTGGGTAGGGGCAGGTTGGGCAGGGGTGTTGGCCTTGGTATTAGCGTTGCCCTTGGTGTTGGTATCCTCGTTATTGTTCGGCTTGTTGCTGTTATTGTCTTCTTCCGCCGCGGCGTCCTCCGCGTCGGCGTTATTATTATTGCTGTTGCCCCCACGTTGCCTCTTGCGGAGATCCTTCGCATTGGCCCAGCTGGCGTCGTTGTCACAGAGGTAGATGAACGCTGTGGCGTCGACAGCGGACTCGTCGGCACCGCAGCCGGCGTCTAGAAGACACTGCTCGATATCGGACTGGATCGAGGCCTCGGAAAGGGAAACGAGACATCTGCTAAGTGCCGCAGCGTCTCCGCAGTGGGAAGCGTAGGCGAGGTCATTGGCACGGTCGCGGACGCAGTTGGCGGTTTGCTCGGAGAGAGCGGTAACGACGGGGAGGAATGCGACGGAGGACTTTGAGAGACGCATCTTGGCCCTCTTTATTTTTTTTTTCTTCCTCGGATTCGTGAAATGCAGATTTTATATTGCGGTGCAGTTGTCGCAGCACAAACGCCGAGTCTCAGGGGCGGCTGGTGGCAGAATCGATCGGCAGGTACCGGAGAATCGATCGTTCGCGATTAGTGTCCGGCGATATTTCTTTCCTTCGGCGTCGAAAAAAAAAGAAAGAAATGAGGAAAGGAATTTGGCGTGGGGTATGAGACGTGTCCCAGTTTTTGAGAGGGAGAAAAGTTGGATTAAAGGATTGACTTTTTTTCTCGGTCGGTCGCTGGGAACTTGGAGGAGCCTGCAGGGATTTTCAGGGGGCTTCTCCTTGAGGTTGGGCGGGAAAGTCGGCTCTCGAGAATTTGTCTCGGCCGATATTCTCTCGCGTTTCGAAGGAGACGGAAAAGCGAAGGCAGCAAAACTGAAGAAAAGAAAATGAAAGAAATCCGAGAAGACTCTCGCCAAAAGGAAGCAAAAACAACGCGGAAGAAGTTAAGATAGATTCAGGGAGGGATGAGATGAGGCCTCGTTTTGGATCCGGCAATTTTTCTGAATTGGGAGCGGAAAGGGGCTGAGGAGCTGAACCAGGCTGTGAGGCGCATGCAACTGGGGGGATTGCCAGATTGGTAGGACCAAGGTCGACTAGGCCTAGGGTGGTGTCCTTTGCGTCTGCGGTCTGGCGCGTTGCATCGAGTCTGTGTCCAGAATGCTTACTCTCTCCCAGCCCAGCCCAAGCCAAGCCAAGCCCAGCCCACCATCATCTCACCGCAGAGAGCAGGTTCTAGCAATTAGGAATCAAGAAAGGAAACTTAATCGACTCTCCCATCATTGATATTTTATTATCTTGCACCCTCTATTATGGTATAATCTCCATGTTCTGTCGGTGATGCCTTAAATTTAGGCTTACGAGGCACTGGAGATCGCCGCGATCTTAATTCCGGAGGCTAGTTCCTTCCTTGACCCCTGTTTCTCGCTTAGTCAGGGGCGACCTTACGAAGTTGAACTTAACGAACGCAAATGCCTTCTTCGCTCTCACCCACGCTCTTACTCACACGTGCCGTCCTGTATTTCCACGTGGCTCAAGTGAGGTCGACGTCGATGTTGCCTCCTGAGGCGCCTTTAACCTTAAAATGCAGCTGTATATAACATCACATTTGATCCACGTTGAAAGTTAACATCGAAAATGGGATTGCACTGGTTTCAAGGGCAGTGAGGCTGAAATCTTACCTACAGGTGAAAAGCGTGAAAAGCGTTGTGCACCGCCTCAGTGGGGAATGTCTGGTCTCCGGGACATTCCCATTGGCTATGATACTTGGTTCGCTCTGGCTGGCGAAGTGTTGCCGCTAGCAAAAACCGTTTTGGTTTGGCTTGTGGTCGCTGCTTCTCCAATCAAGGACAGACTGATGAGCACTTGCAGTACGAAGTACGAAGCACATGCCGAAATCTAGCGGCGGGAGTGTCACGGAGAAGGAGCAATGATTGGGAGGAACAGTGAAGGGGCGACGAAGTATTCTTGTTGATGTGTACAAGTCTGGACAAGTTTGACGGCTTTGAGATTCAAATTGCAACTAGCGGTTGCGAGCGTGCCACGGCAGATATTTGATTGATGCCAATTTCACAGACAGCGGTCAACGACTGACCGCCACGCTAAATGGAGAAGCTTCTCCACTTGCTGTAAACATCAAAGCGGTCAGCCGTTGTGGTCTCGGTGTTTCTGGATGAGTAATTGGCGATGACCTCAGTGATAGAACAAACGGAAGCTCCAAGCCTCCAAACATCTCCATGAGAAGGAAAGGACAAGACACAACGAGGAACAATCTTGATACGAGCCGGGAAGGAAGAACTCTCCCCGGTCCACCCTTCGGCTCTCGGTTGGTTGGAATATTTGGCTCCTCAGGTTCCACGACGTGTGACGTTACCGCCGTACGAGTCCAACAAGGATGAGGTATTGATGCAGGGAAGCAGGGAAGCAGGGAAGGATCGACTTGAGTCTGACGACATCAAGGACAGCATGACTGATATTCCGGACAAGGAAGCTGTGATGATAGTATCGATACCCGTGTACTTGACTTCTTGGCCAACGGTTATTCTCCGTGGTCGCCTCGAGGATGCATCTCCACGCCTTATCCAACCATCACCAGGCATCGAGGAGCTCGATATCGTTGCTCCGTTGTCGTCCCCGCTCCTCGGAACAGCAAGCCTAGGCAGTTAAATTTTTTTTCTTCTTCCTTTTTTTTTGTCTTCTTGTTTGATACCAAGCTTTTTGTCTCCTACGGGGCCAAGGGGGCAGAAGGGGCCAAAAAAAATCAACTCTTCGAAAAGCTTGATTCTCAACAACCGCTCCCTCGCCGATCGCCGCCATCTCTGTATGCTTGTTTTTCTCTCCCTCTTCTTTTTATTTTTATTTTAATACAGTTATCCCGTTCCGGCCGAATCATGCAAAAAATTGAGACATGCAACTAGCACCGACGCCAACACTACCCGTGTCGTGATGTGGCTTGGCTTGGCTTGGCTTGCTTGGTACAACCGTTCCCCGATGTGCTGCTGATGCGCAGACTCGCAGTGCAACACGTTGGCGAGACATGGACGGTGAGGAAGCAAAGCCAGGGACAAGAGCCCGCCCACAACCCGACCTGATCACATCTTGGTC